ATCGCAGTCATTTTTAATCCAAAAGGAGCAATGTCGGATGGATAAATAAAATTTGTCAAAAAAACGAAGAGCAAAAGACCCTTGGCTTTAAAATTGCATTTTTTCTGCTAAAAAATCGAATTTTCCTTATTAAAAAGTGCAAAAACACTTGCCAGAGCCTAGCGCGTGCGCATTAAAAACAGGGGGACAAGATTTGCCGCGAGTTCCACCTCTGTGTAGTACTCTGTGCCTGCAGCAAGCTTGTCGCAAGCTCGTTTCAACAAGCTTGTTGCAAGATTTATTCGCACCGCTTGTCCCAAGTTGTTGTGACGGACGTGTAGCAAGTTGTTGTCAGACTTGTAGCAAGTTTGTTGTGACAATGCTGTACCAAGGTTGTTGCCAACAAGCTTGCTACAAGTCTGACAACAACTTGCTACAAGCTTGTTGAACTTGAGCTGTTCCAAGCTTGTTATAACAAGGCCGTTACAAGCTTGTCGCGACAAGCTTGCTGCAAACATGGCCGCGCATTAAATCTCGCTTGAAAACACGCGTGTTTTCCCGGAGATTGTGAAACAAAGAACAAACAACACAAAGTTTGATGTAAAAATCATATTATTTTAAAAACAAATTCAAAGGTTAGCAATTAAATACAAACTTCACATTTGAAGTACCAAGATTACTAAAGACTCAGTACAAGAACATATGTATTTTCCTTTTTGAGTATATAGCCTAATAATCAGTTCGTAAGAAAAGTTTCTTTGCATTCATACGGTAAAAATTAACTGGTGCATGAATATTCTTGTATAATACCAGTATTTTCAGTCACTTGTTGAATTGACTTCGTCATCCCAAGAATCAACAGCTAGCTGCACCTCTTTCCTATAATTCACTTTGTTTGATACGACTTTCCGGCCAATACCTCAGTTTAGCTCCAGTTTGATAATCAAATTCCTATAAAGTATAATATACAATGGCTTCAGGAATCAGTTACTTTAAAAAATATGCAAATATTTTTGAGGAAACTGGTTTGCAAATACGTTGAGGAAACTCCATCCTGTCTGCTGTGGCGAGGGTCTTGCTTGCCATCCAAGTCTAATGTCAAATAAGTAATGTACAAATACTTTATTACCATAATACGTAAATATATATTATTATTTCTAATCAGAGCATGCTAAAAACATACGCACAGATATTAAAAATAGGAAATTTTGCACTTTACCGTACACCTACTCGTCATTAAAAATATTTGAATTATTGAATACAAAAAACCGGCAAAGTTTCGATTTTGATAAATATCCACAGAAACTAACAGTTCAATGTTTATAAAAAAGCAATAAATTCAACAAATATTTTAAAAACTATATAGTTTTAAAAGGCTAGCTTGTGTACTATAATATTAAAATTGTGTTGCCGGCGTTGTGTACGCCATATCAAATATAAACGCACATACCTTTATTAAAACGTCGAACTGTAGTATTCTTCAAACTTTTTTAAGTTGCCCATCCGTTTTAACTGATATTTCAACGTTTATTAAACTTTTAAAGGCTTAAAAAATCAAAGGTTTTCGCACAAAGATAGCTCAATGACCAGGTGAATCAGTGAACTCTTGAAAAGAGCAGGGAAATTTGCAAACATACTGACGTATATTTCAACCAATAAGATCACTTATACATAGTTTAAACAGAGTCTGAACCAATGAGATTACTCCGTTGAAATCGTCACTTCCTCAACGGTTCAACGGTTATAGATATCCTTGAAACAAGGAAATGTTCATCTGTAATGTTTTTAAGGAATTCGGATTCTTTTCAAATCTTATTACTAAAAGAAGTTATGAACTTCGTTGCAGAGTGTTAAAGTGTTTAAAAGCTCGTTGATCTTGCTTTTGCCATTTGATGAATGGCAATGATCAATAAAATCATATTTGGCCCAGTTCAAATTGATTTTGTTGTTATCGGAAAACTTTTGCCGTTAACAATGTCGCTACAACTTGTTGGAACTGTCTTGTTACAGCATTGTCACGCGCAGACTTTGTACAAGCTTGTTGTGACAGGCTTGTTACAACTTGATGACTATAACAACTTGTCATCAAGTTGCTCTAACAAGCTTGGTACAGCTTGTTGTCGACAAGCTTGGAACAAGTTGTTCTAACAACTTGCTACAAGTCTGCAAGCCAACAAGTTGTAGCAAGCTTGATGTCAACAAGCTTGCTACAACCTGTTGTCTCAACAAGCTTGTTACAACTTGTCAACAAGCTTGCTACAAGCTTGTTGAGCTAACAAGTTGTCAACAAGATGTGAGATTTTTAGGTGTGTACAGCTTCGAATCCTCGTCGCGCACGTGAACAATGGATGACAGACCGTGCAGACCAATATTACGCATAATATTTGACCAGCAGTCAGCATTGCGTTTGCTTTGCGTAATCAGAAGTAAACCTTTTTTGATTATCTTCGACGGTAGATAATTGGCTCATTATGAAAATTTCTTATTATTCATCAACAACAATTAGAAGCCGATCGAGGTAAAATCTCTGCTCACGAGTCACGACCGAGTTTCCATGGCAGACCGTATTCATCGTAATTTGCACGAAGTCTATTGGAAGTGTGAAACTTTGGCCAAGGATATTTCAATGAAAATGGTTGTATACTCCATGGTATGGCCGGTACATTTTGTAACTGAATCAAACTGCGAGACTGAAGAGATATAGACAAACTGTAGAGTCCACTGTCATTGCGAAAGTTCCTTCTGAATTGTAAAACTTGAAGGGTGAAATAAATACTTCAATATTTTAGAGACACTTTTGAGTGATCTGAATTCCAACGGCGCATTTGCAATGAATTGCAAAATATAGTTGTACATTTACTACTCGAGCTCAGAGTTGCTGGAACTAGGAAAAGAGGGAAATTAAGGCGAAAACCTAAATTTTTCAATTTCATAATATTGTTGCCATTCCGAGATTAAACATTCTACAACAAAAGACAACCTTGTTTTTTTTACGAGACAGCTGAATAAAAGGGTTCCCGTTCTGTCTCTTGAATGAGTTGGCACTATGCCTACAAGATGAGCATAAACACAATTGTGAAATAAAAATACATCATTGAAATGAAATTTCATTTATCATTATTGCAAGGAAATTAAACAATTGGGGGCAGTTGTATAAGCGTCAGTTAACTTTTGACTGCATGTAGATATAAGGACAGAATTGGCTAATCAGAGTCGTGTATTTCTCGGTTAACTATAGGATTTAACAAAATGTAGTTAAAATTTTTATAAAGCTCGCCCTAACTTCTTAGGGCAGCCTTTTTTCTGTATTAATCGAGATCAAAGGATATATTAGATACCAACTCTACCAAAATACAGGTGCCCTTGCTATAAAACTCAGATGCGATGATCTATAAGCGGTTGGTTTGATTCCTGCCTTAAAAACCATTATTGTCCTATTCTGTACGAACAGTTCATTTCTTGCAAGTCCGAAACTAGAAAGATAATTCACATTCACTCGGGTCGCGTAGCATTTGAGGTAGAAGGACTATACGCTAATACAAGTCAGCCAAAGCACCAAACTGTTTCTGCAAACTGCGTAAAAAGGCAATTTTGTTTCGATTGTTCTACCAATCTGCTCCGTTTGTACAGATTTGTTGGCCTAGTTTTCAAAACAAACAGGCTGAGATTTACTCAGCCATTTAAGCGTAAACACTTTAGAAAAACGAGCCCGGATATTGTTGTATGTCAGTGATAACACCGCAGCGAATGCCGGACATATATAATTTGAAAGATTTGTCTTCAGCTGATCAGAACTAACAACGGGTCAAGATGATTTGGTTCGCAGTATTTTGCACAGTTTTGGCACTTTCCGATGAGGTTGTTGATCAGACACAAGGTATATCTTTTTAGCCTAAATCATTGATTAATATCCTATATAGTTTAAAAGATTAAAAGTAGCATTTTTATACTCTTAAGTTAAGTAAAACTTTGAAGTCATAACTTCACTTCAGATAAAAGAGATACTCTTTACTTAGTTTACGTAACCGTTAAATATCAAAATAAATAGCGAAACTGTTGATAATATATGATATTTCCGGGCCCAGTTTTGCCTTGCTTTCGGCTGTTTCTTATTTCTCCTTTACTTCCATTTTAATTCTTCAGCTCTGGATTGATAAAATAGCGAAACTGTTGATAATATATGATATTTCTCAGCCCCAGTGTCGCCTTGCTTTCGGCTGTTTCTTATTTCTCCTTTACTTCCATTTTAATTCTTCAGCTCTGGATTGTAACTTCGAATCGGACGACTTGTGTGGTTTTACATTCGATCTGACCGCAGAGTACAACTGGACTCACAGCAATTTTACACCGAGTCCGAACACTGGTCCTTCGTCTGATCACACCAGTGGAAACGGTAAATTTCGAACACCATTTGTACATTGCATCTTTATCATGGGACCCGCCCGATAGGCCTGTAAAAATTCAAGATAATTTCAAGATTTGAAGCATTGCAGTCGCTAAAAGATTTTAAAATTAGTCAAACGAGGGAGAATATATACATAAATGAGTTGGCTTGGTTGAGTCAATTTAGGCCATACATTCAGACAGAGTGCCTGGCGCTACACGGTGGGTGCGCCTTCTTTTTGGCGCTGAGGTTGGACACAACGCTTGGAAATGAAGTTGGGCAGGGCGCCCAATAACAGGGATTACCTCTAGACGTATAGTACAGGAGCACTGTGCTCCCCACGTTTTACCACTGAGGTGACGCTCAGTCTGAACGCAGCCTTACACACAGAAAATGGTTTTATCACCATCCGCGCGCATATTAAATTTGACCCGGTTTGTGTGATCTTGCACATTCAAACTAGAATCGATTGGTACAATCGGTACAACAAGAATCTGTTTGAAATTGTTGAGTTGCATGGATATAGTTAATATTTTTGTAAGCTAGTGCGTGTACAAGCCTAACCAGGAATGAACAGTTCCCTAAACTCGACTGTTGCCAAGATTTCTCGTTCTTCTATCAAGATTTAGATACTTATATGAACGTCAGTTCTCACCTTTTCTCAGGATGGTTCATGTATCTGGAGACCAGCGCCCCAAGACTCAACAAAGAGAAGGCTCGTCTTGTCTCCCCTGAACTCAATAGTTCCAATCACAACTGTATGCAGTTTTTCTTTCACATGCTCGGAGATCACGTGAACACACTGAATGTGTATTTGAAACGGACAGGCGTGAATGACAAATTGATATGGACACGATTAGGGGACCAAGGCAATACTTGGCGAGAAGCACAGGTGGCTTTGCTGCAAACACCTGGTGAGACATTTCAGGTACGTTTGCTTGCTTTTTTTTCAAGCAAGAATGAAATCAGCACCGCGTGCATGAAATCAGCCCGGGCTGTGAAATTTAGCATTTCGAATTCAACTGTGGCATAGCGCGTGATCACCCCTAGGAATAAGGTTGCGTTGCGTTAAATGTGGGTGGATTGTTTTTGATAAAAGTGTTTGCGTTTGAATTCCACTGACAACATTATTTTCCCCCTGCAACGATACCGTTATAGTTTGACGTCTGGTCAAAATCAACTATAGTGTTTTTATCCTCGGTATCTCCATACTATAACAGTGACGTGATATTTCACAACTTCAGGTAGTATTTGAAGGCGTCGTTGGCCCTGGTTACCGTGGTGATATCGCGATTGATGACGTCAGCACTACTTCCAGTTCGTCATGCGCAATCCTTCCTATTACAGCTGATCCACAGATACCAAAGCCGCCTCCAACAACAGCTCCCAAACTACGACGTAAGTACGAAACCTAGTTTTGACCAGATAATATGAAAACATAGAAATGACTTGGAGCAAGTTGTCTAACAGATATTTCGGTTATACTCGGTAACAGTTGTATACTCGACCATGGTAGAATGTACCGAAAAACGGTATACTCGACCATGGTATAGAATATACCTAAAAACGGTATACTCGCGACCATGGTCGAATTTGCCGAAAAACGGAATACTCGACCATGGTCGAAAATACCGGAATATGTCGCGTTGATTGAATGATTCACTTGTAACTATGAAAAATTGATTGTATGCAAAGTGTCTTCGAAAACTAAGTTCAAGCAGTATACTAAAAGTGTGTCAGAGAACTTGAAACGAGTTTCATTGAGTATCGACAGTCGAGACTTTCGTATCTTTTAATGTTTAGCTCAACCGAGATTCTGTGGCCGCAAACTTGAATCTCGTATTGTCGGTGGGAGTTCAACCAGGCCTGGTGACTGGCCTTGGGTCGCCATGCTGACGAACAAAGACGTGAATGGCACCTCTCGCCAGTATTGTGGTGGAACACTTATATATCCAAATGTTGTTCTGACTGCGGCTCATTGCGTGGTGAATACGCTTGACGACCTGGGAGGTGTCCGGTCAGTGTTTTTACCATATATGATATATAATCTTATCAGAAACGTCGGGTTTATCAGTTTATGCATGAGCGGGAATGAGGTTAAGCCTATCAGTTTATATACTTCCTCATTTTCTTATGGTAGAACGAATCAAGCTTTGGACAATCGGCCGTAGGCAGTTGAACTAATTCTTTGTAAGATATCAGAGATTTTAGGGGAGGGATTCCGCTAGACTGCTGTGTTTGTAGCTTATTGGACGCTGCTTTTCTACCGTTTTGAAAAACAAGTTTATAAACTCCATCCACCATGTTTGCCGGACAATTCGTTTTATGAAAAATGAGCCGTGTTCCCTCCAATGACCTCTCCTGATAAAAGCAGGCTCACTGTGCGTTCCTGTGGACGTTAAATATAAACTGCACTGAATCTGAGGCTGGTTGTATCAAGCCCGCTCATTACTAAACTAAACGGGCTTGATACAACCGGCCCCTGACCTTATATTGATACACTGTAAATACGCGACTGTCCGCGCGGAAGACTGAGCCCGCGACACAAAAAATAATAATAGCGCGAATAATAATCTTCTCCCGGCGAGGTTTTAAACACTTGCTAGAGATACAATATCTCTGCTCTTTTTATCTAGCATGGGGGCGTATTTCAGGGATACAACAAAAAGCATTGGGAGTGAACAAGATTTTGATGTGGTTAGGATCTTGTATCATCCCGATTATAACGCAGGGGCCCGTTTCAACAACGACATTGCCTTGTTGCAACTTGATAGAGACGTCGTGAGAAATTATAAAGTTAGCTTTGCTTGTCTCCCCAAATCCAACAATGATTTCCCCCCCGGAACGATGTGCTATATCGCGGGCTGGGGAAGGCTGAAATCCGGGGGGAAAAGCCCCGAGCATATGATGCACGTGGAAGTTCCCATCGTATCGAATGAAGAGTGCACAGCGAAGGACTCTTATCACGATTCGAAGATCACGCCCGAGATGCTTTGCGCGGGGTTAAAGGCAGGCGGAAAGGACACGTGTCAGGGGGATTCCGGGGGACCGTTAATGTGCAAGATTGGATTTAGCTGGCACATCGTGGGCATCACAAGCTGGGGCTATGGATGTGCTATACCTGACTATTACGGTGTCTACGCAAGAGTTGCAAATTTTCTGGACTGGATAGCAAGTGGCGTTGAATCAATTAAACAATCGTCAATAAATGCTTAAATTTATTATAAAACTGTCATGAAATAAATATACGGGTTAAATAAACACCACTGATGTATTTGCATACTGAGTCTATAATCTGTGTGTTGCCGAAATACTTTAACAGCAGACGATGAATGAAATAAAACGAAGTAAGTTAACTTCGAACAACATCGTCTTGGAAACTCAATATTTGAGTTATTAAAAACACAAGACGCAGATTTCTGCTGATATTTCGAGTATACCCTAATGTTATTGTCAAACCTGATTACTTTGCATGATGATTTTGAAGTAAAGGACGCTTTCTAAGATGATTCAGTATTCGGAGTTTGTTTCATTTTATATTCGTGTGTTTAACTTTAGGTGTTTTTTAATCCCCGCGATCAAAAGAGAAAAAGAAGAACCTAAGAACAGGGCCGTCGCTAAGCGGTTTAAAGTAGTGGGGGTGAGTATCGAATTTGCCGACAAAATGGGCGTGATCAATTGGTGTGAATTTTCTAAATTGACGACATTATTACATTGACTACTAGTTACAATGTTAGGGTTAGAAATCGTTTATTTGCCGGCAACTAGTTTTCAGGGGGTATCACACCCCCCACAACCCCCCCTAGCGACGGCCCTGCCTGAGACTCATCCAGTTTAGTTTATGAGACTGTCATGAATTTTGAATCTCTTAGCTTCAGCGATCTAACCATACTATCATCGCTCCAGATATGTCTTTGTATGCGCTTTCATTCCATCATACAATTGCAGGGGCAAGGGGACTCTAATCAGACTATCACTCTATAGTAGCTTTTTCCAACATTGTGCTTTCCGCCTGGTTACGAGTTTGTTACAGTAATGAGGCATTGACCATTGAACTGTCTATGACATAATGACAAGCGGCCAACCAAGCGGCCGGATATTTAACCCAAAATGCACCAGGATTCAAGATGGTGTAATCACCGTTGAGTTGATCCATTCACATTTAGCTATGCGTGTAACCCACGCGCGGAGTCCACGTTGTGCTTTGGGCATTTCGTTCAGAGACTGAAACTTTCACATCAAAATGTAAATTTTGGACTCAATTTTGAGTCATTTTTTGCCATGATTTCGCTAATTTGTCAACAAATATGAACGAAGCTCTTCTTTCCATTACTACAGCAGTTTTTGTTCACCAGAGAGAAGAAAAAAGAGAGAAATCCCTTGTGTAGTTTTGGTTCCAGACGTTCTAGCTGATATCAGTGGTATGATTCGAGGTATTTAAACCACGAAGATTAGTGTCAAATTTAAAGACGTGGAAATTTATGTTGAACGCCATCAACAGTTCGATATATTAACTTTTCATTACAGTATACTAACTTTGAGTCTAATTTACGTGAAATCCGAAGGATTGGAGTATTACAGCTATGCAAAGTTAAATATTACTCAATACAGCAAGTTGAATATTTCATCTTTGTTTACGTTTTACAAAGATCTGTACAAGAAGCTCATCGGCTTTTAGCCGTATTCTAGTTGCCTTTCCTAGCTTTACTCATGTCAGAGGAGGTTATAAATGATATTAATTCCAATGGATCGGACGTACAAAAAAATTGTACGGACAAAATGGATTCTGATATAAAAGTCAGTAAAAAAGACCAAAGTTTTGATGAAAATATTGATCCAACAGAACACAACAATCTATCAAATTGCAATGAAATAACCTCCTTGAAAACAGACGAGCAGACCTCGGAGAAAGAACATGAGTTAAAGAGAGAATTGATAAGGATCAAAGCCGAGTTAAAGGCAAGTTCGGAACGGGAAAATGAACTCTCGACAAAATTACAGAAAATTGATTTTCAGACCGTCAAAGTTGCTGAATTGGAAATCCTGAATGAGGAGCTACGGGAACAATTAAACGACTCCTTGAAAGAATGTGGATGTTTAAAACGAGATTTAGAAAAGTAAGTTTATAAATGTGTAATGTGGGGATTTGCAGCAAATTCTTACAGCATGCCACGTTTATATTATTTTGAAGTACTGCTTAGGTTACACAGTTCATAAGTGTATGTACACTTCAAAAGGTACAACGACGCGAAAGAACTGTGTTTCTATGTATATGAACTTGTTAGTTAACTATTTCTCAATGTTTTCTTTAAACCCTATTCAATTATTTAATTCTGTTCTGTTTGGCATAAATATTTATGTCTAGGTAACCACTGGGTATCACAAGAGACTCTGTTTCTCATTATAATTGACATAATTGATCCACTTCCTCTTTCATTACCAACTTCATTTGATCTGTAAAGTACAATGAATGCTTTGAAATTTGTTCTGTATCTGATTTCCTGGTGGGCACAGACAAAATAGTACCTCAAGGAGATATTCTCCAGCAAGCAGCATTAGAATATTGTGTTGCAGCAACACAAAAACAATTCACAAATGGCTTGACAATTTGTAACTAATTTGAGTTGCAAATTCAATAGATTGACAGCCTTTTTTGTATGTAAAACTATGTAGTTGTGCAGCTGTGTTTTTTACATTTTACATTATTTTGCAACCAAACTTTCCAAATATAGTAAATTTCAGTTATTTCTAGTCTTGCAGTGCAATATTGGTACATTTCTCATGTTATGACAGGCCAATTTGTAAACAAAGCCTACCATTGGTTGAGCATCAAATTTTGCTACAGATATAAATTTTTAATTTACAATTAGCTTTCCTGTGCAATACTGGTAAATTTCGTATTTCAAAACTGGCCAATTTGTAAACAAAGCCTATATTTGGATACTTAAAGCACAAATAAGCAATATATTTTGTTATAAATATAATTTTTCAATTGGCATACATCCATTACAACTTGTCCAAACAGTCTGTAAGCCAGTGTGGCACACCTGTTAACTCTGTCAAAAATCAGACAATTTTTCTCATTGCTAGACAAGCATTGGTAATTTAATAAATTTATTATTTGGAAAGGGTACCTGTAATACAATAAAGATGGTTAATTCACGGTAATTTCTTTAATTAGTGTTATTCAGGAGAAGAAAGATCTTCAAATTAAAGTTTCATCGTCTAATGATGAGAACGATACAAATTACAAATTACTTGAGGAAAAAGTAAAAACTTTAGAGACAAAACATGCCGATTGTGAGAAAGAATTAACGGTCACAAAAGATAAGCTTTATGCTCATGATATGGCAGCGAAGAAAGCGATATCCTCTCTTAAGAAAGAACTGACACTCAGGGTTGATCAGGTGACCAAAATGTATGAAGATTGTTTACGAGAGCGGGATGGTTTGACGCAGAAGGTCTCTCAACTTACTGAAGAAAAACAAGAAATTTCCAAGATGCAAGATGCAGTTGATAAAAAAATGTTGGAAATGGCAAAGGTGAAAATAGTAATGCATTAATACTGAGAGGGGCAGTTACATGTCTTTCCATGGGTGTACAATTCAACTAATCTAGATCAAATTGCATCTCCGATTTGCTTTGAATTGTGGTGGAGAGTGCTGGAATTTCCTCATAATAATCTCTCCATAGGGTGTCAATGATATCCCAACTATAACTGTTTCCATGTGTTTTTCTTCAGGAAAATGAGAAACTACAGCAACTTGTGAAGAAAATACAGGCAGACTACAAATCATGCCAGGCCTCGCTCCTTGACCAGGAGAAAGAAATCATTGAAAAACAGAAGGAAGTGGACAAAGTTCAGGAAGACATCAATGCACATGTTGTTAAAGTGAAATGGGCCCAAAATAAACTGAAATCCGAATTAGATGCGCATAAGGTTAGACGCGAGGCCCTTTTAATTTTATTTGTGAAGCTTAGTGGCACTTATTTGAGAAAATTATCAATATTGAAAACTGTCAAAAGTGGCCCCTTATATAGTGCCACCCCAGTTGGCAAGATCCCCTGTTAGTTCACTTAAAAAACAACAACAAACTCCTCATTCAAATCTTTTGGTGGATTTCCCAACACCTTGGCAGTCCAACACTTATCTAAGCACAGAAAGGAACAGAACATGCTACTCCTTGCTTTAAGATAGTTTCAACCTTGTGTGATATACTCTTTTCTCTTAGGAAACAAAAACAAAGTTGACGCAGACTTTGCAGAAACTGAAAGAGGCCAAGGAAGAAGGTGAACAGATACGAGCAGATTGCCAAGCAATGATAAAACAGTATCAGGTAATGTTGATTGTGGAAGGGAAGAAGTTTGCCTAAGTATTATAAAGATTGCTTTCAAGTTTGATGCTGGGGCGTAGGATTTCTGGGAGCAACCCCTCCACCTTCTAATAGTGTATTCCGGAGGCGAATGAATATCTTTTTAGCCCCCCCCCACAATAGTACAGTACTACCTAAAAGAAAATGGTTTCAAATTGAAACGTAGGAGACCTACAACCCCCGCCCTCCCAATCCTCAACATCTTCCTACGCTTCTGATGTCACTTTGTGTACAGTGGAATTTTGAAGTAAACAAAAAATATTAATGTAAACATCGTGTATGTTTGCCTTGAAGGAGTCAGAAGAGATGAAATCAATCTCCCTCGATCAAGAGTTGAAACAGAAAGAGTCAGAGCTTCAGAAACGTCGGATTTCCAGCGCAACACAAGACGAGGTGCGGTATAATAGGATTATCGCCTCAAAAGAGGGCGGTGAGAAAACTCCAAGTATAACAAAGAAATCGCGTGTATTTTGTGCTACATTTTTATTCTTTTTAGAACAATAAAAATCTTTCACAAGAACTCAATAAGAGGAAAGAAGAAGTTAAGAACTTGACCGAAGAGAAAAACAATCTGAATGCTAAGGTTTGTGTACTGTATTAGGTCAATCTGTCGATCACAATTTAGTACTATGACCGAGTCGAATAATCGGTGACTTAGGGACATCCACACCCGTCAATACAGGACTACTGATGAGATTTTACCAAGTATAGTCTTTTAGAGCAAGTAAACACTCCCATTTTGAAAACATCCGCAGGCTATTTCTCAGAGTGTCTGCGAGGAATTGATTGTAAAAACAAAAGATTGTATTCACTTGGCGCTACACCTTTGTAGACCTTCTCGCCTAGTTTGGCTTGTTAAATCTCACTTTGTTTAACTGTATATGAATCTGACATATCTGTTACACAAATTATCGCTTTCAAGTCATTTCCTTGTTAGAAAGGGCATTCCCCCTCCCCCCAGTGAAAGAATTGCCAGACGCCACGTATATAATATACATTGAGTATTGGAAACAACCCTATTTCAACTGAGGATTGACCCAAACTCTGTCTTCTATATCCAATATTATCATATGGACTCTTTTCATTATTGACCTCGCCTGACTAAAAAGCCTCGGTCTGATATTTCACAGTACAGACCTCACGCTTGGTCAGTAATCAGTTGTTATATAATGCATGTGTAAATCTATATCAAATATGTAGTTAAAAAATTTGGACGAGAAAGTTGCCAAGTATGCTCTCGCCATCTCAACGTATGAGAAGACGGTGGTGAATCAGAGGAAAGAGATTGATAACCAGATCACGAAGATTGAAGAGTTAGAAAAGTTAAGAAGCCTTCTGTTCAAGTAAGGATGCGTGAGAACTCAGCCAGTCTTGTGTTTGATAAAAGCATGCAGCTATTCCGTCCCTTCTAAAGATATGCCAAAGAATCTCAATCCTTTTCTTCTCAAACCCTTCTTTGCCTTTTCATTTTACCCTCTGCATACACGATAAGGGAGAAAGCTCTTTGAATTTTACCAAATCCCCTAGAGATATTTAGATAGTCATGACTGTGTCTTCCCTTATTTTTGCGCTAGTTCTGATGAAAGCAATCAGAAACTGATAATGGAAAAATTGCAGCTTACGGACACAGTTAATGAACTTCAATCGGAGATGGCGGCCGTTCACGCGAAGGAATCGGAACTGCTCGACTTCATGGAGAAAATGACGGCAAAATGTACTCAATTACAGTCGACATTGTCCGTCATTCAAGCCCAGGTTCGTAGAAATCCAGGTTTCTTTCATGGTAAATCAAAAATATGTTCAGCCCCAAGCTCAGGGAGAGAGAGTTGTTCGACCCATATTACGCAATCACCGTGGGCTCATACCCAGGCACCTCAGTACTTCATCTACTGTGTGAACACTTAGGATATTTATGTGATACACGGGAATTTGGCTATACAAATGGTGGTTTTTGTGGTGATCACCACATATTAAGTGAGACTGACTGGTTAACCGTTGACTTCCCTTTCTTGGGAATTACACTCTAAGTCACTAAGTGGTGTGTTTATGCTCTTGGAAATACTAACAGCAAAGAGGTTGGGAATAAATCTTGTTTCTTGTTAAAATTAGAACGAAGCAATGAACAAGGAGAACGAGGAATTGAAGACAAAATGCAGCGATCTCGAGTCGGACAACAAAAGATTGGTGAGTGCAGTCGCGTATGTGCGTAGCATGGTACTTGATGTTATACATCGTCATAAATAACTCCTCTGTTTTTGCAGAGTTCGTCCCTGAAGAGCGAAACTCAAGCCAAACGTGTTCAAGAATCTGAGCTGCAAGGAAAACTGGAGGAAAAAACGAAAGCAGGTATTTTACATGACGTTTCATAGATTTATGAGCCATGAAAATGGCATATAAATATATAAAGAGTGTTGCTCGGTTTGCACATACTGAACTATGAACACACTCTTTCGTTAACAAGGTCAATGGACCATTTTGAACACTAAATTTAAAACGAGGAACATTTATCAGCGTATATAGCCGGAGGTTAGGGTTCATAGGGGCTGAACCCAAGGCAATTGCCAAAATCTAAGTGTCCATATCTCCTCCAGTGCAAGAATTGGCGACCAGTTTGGAAGACGTAAAGAATGATCTCAAGGTGACGAAGAAGAAAAACGCGGCGCATTTAAAGGTATAATTTCGCGAGCAGGCCTCTTTTTAAAGGTGTAGAAACTTTACAATCTTTACAATGTCTTATACATAATGCATTTCTTACACTCATTTCCCTTCCTGCTAACTATAAGTTTATGGTTTTAGGATATCACAAGACAACTGCAACAGTCCAAAAGGTGAAGTATTCAGAATGTTATCAAGAAATATTTCTCGTGTATACCATGGCTCGTGTACTATTGCCACAACTTGACTCAATTTCGCTGTTTTTCATTTTCGAAACAGGAAAGTTGATTCTCTGGAGAAGAACTCAAACTCCAAGGATCGTCTGGATAGCGATTCTCGCACGTCGTCCAGCGGTTCACTTGATAAAGCTGACAATGTGACGCCACATTCGTCCATGAATAACACCCATTATCCTCCTGCGTCCCCTCCTGCTTATGGTATCAACAACGGAGGGGTGAGATATACATTGGAAATATGCTTTTCCGTGATAGAATTTCCGTGCATTTATCCTTGTACAAATATTTCATCCACGCCGGTTGTACGAAAGCTGGAATGCTGGATAACTCAATACACCAGTGACGTACCAGCATCAATAATTGGGGGGGAGGCGATATTCATATATAAGTGTTCTGCCTTATCAATTTCTTTTGAAATCTATTGTCTTTACCATCACTTAACATGAATATATAAATACCCCCCCCCCATATGAAAAAGAATCACAAATTTAAGGAATCCCAATTTTTAATCCAGGTTACACGGAACAACCCACAATTTTAGAGCGATTAAAAAACACTATTCGGTGTGTTGTGCTATTTAGCTTTCGTACAACTGACCCCAATACTCCAGTTCCAAACTTCGTCCAACGGGCTCCAGTAATTGCCTGTAATAAGAATATGAATACTTCTACATGCGTCCACTTGACTGTATTTTCTTTTCTTACAGGTTTCATTATACAACTCGAATGACCTGGTTAGTTGAAAATTTATTTCATTCATTTCATATATATTCGCTAATTTTGTTGGGAATTTGAACCTAATTTTCAGAAATGTATATATACCTGTTTGATTTAAAACTTTGCGATAAAACGAATTCTGCCCATATCTAGATTCAAATATATATTTTAATAAATCTTCTCTTTTTCATGAAGATGTCAACAGAAGTGGAAGTAAAAACGAAATCGTCTCATAACAAGATAAGCAATCATGAATTAGACCACGAGAAATCTATCATGTTGTCCAAAATATGTGAACTGCAGAAAGTACACGCGAAGAAATGCGAAAAACTCGATTTCTTAACGGAGCATAATAACACTTTGGTCGACGAAATAGCGAAAAAAAATAAGTAAGATTTGAAACGAAATCTATATAGTGAATCAAATCACTTCACGGCCCATGTTTATTATTAGAGGGCTTTTGCAAATTAGGGGCTGTTAATTTTGGTAGTATCTGATGATTTTAGAGAGATTGGAGTGGCTGAGTGGAGATGGAAAATGGGATTCGAAGACTTGAAAATATGTTGTTTTGCTTCTCTAGAATTATTCAAAATTACATGATGAAGGAGGACAGCGGGCAGCTAACATCCACCGACTATGATGAAAAAAAGGTAAACAAAGAAAACCTGATACGTCTTCTCTCTGTAGGGTAGACTATTGCCTGTATTTGAAAAGCTCACTCACACTCAAGCACATTGAGTGGGAGATCTCATAACTTTCCCATGGCGGTATTTCGAATAAGAGCATTTTGAAGAGAGTATTTTACCTTTAATCTTTTGATTAAAAAAATCTTTCTCATTGACCAGCATGAACGAAATTTATCTGTCACACCATAGACAATCCAAAAGACAAAATGTCTTTTGGATCGTCTCTATGGTCACACTCAATGAATGTGAGCAATCTTCTTGAATACAGGCGATTGTGAACAGAAGTAATGATACATGGACCAGTATCAATGACATATCTATTTCATTCCTCAACCTAGGCTAAACTCGCGAAGAATCGTGGCGTAATGTCGTCAGTGTATTCCTCGAAGGCCACCGACTCGACGATGACCCTTGAACTGTCTCTGGAAATCAACTCAAAACTACAAGCACTTCTCGAAGACACGATTCTGAAAAATATAACTCTGAAAGTAAGTTGAATTTGTTTGTTTGGTGTGCTCTTGGACCTAGGTAACCCCCTTGTGAAAGCGTTGAGATTGATGCTTCAGCGTGGGTTGCAAAATACCATATCAGATGAGAGGGAAAGCATGTAAAAATTGTTAAGGATGTTGAATTGTAATTGAAATTTTAAATACTGTATACTCGCCATATGCATGAACTGATTTCGTCTTCAACCCGTTTGCTTTCCTTTACATCCTACACGTGTCCCAATACTACGTCAAACCGTCTTCTTAAAATATATCGATACGTACCCTAGTCGGCCCATGCTGTGTGCTATTTTAATTAACCCTCATTTACATGGGGTTGATATTTTTCAAGAGCGACACGTACCCTACTTGGCCCATGCTGTGTGGTATTTTAATTAACCCTCATTTACATGGGGTTAATATTTTTCAATAGCGACACGTACCCTACTTGGCCCATGCTGTGTGTCAGTGTGTGAAATTTTAATTTCCCCCTTATTCACATGGGGTACGTACCCCACTTAGGGGCTGTTTACATGATCCCGGTTACCCGAGATTCAACGAAGCGTGAGAGGACTTTGAGGTATTGAAATAAGCCTTTATGACACCAAACAAGCACATGCCATTGTAGTGGTGATTATACGACTGCCAGGATCATGTTATCTGCTCATTTTAATACCTCAAAATCATCTCACGCTTCGTTGAATCTCGGGTAACCGGGCTCATGTAAACAGCCCCTTAGCGCATGACATGTGATTGAACATGTTGAGAAGCACTGCCAAATATCGTAGCACCATTCATTCTTTTTGTGTTTGTTCTAAAAGTTAATTAATTGTATCAAATTTCAGGAGAGTATCGAAACGCTGGGAGACGAAGTAGCCAGGTTAAGTACAGCTTTAAGCGTGGAGCGGAGCGAGGGTACAAACAGATAGCAGAGGATATAATGATTACTAAAGAAAAGTATATAATTTTAGATTTATAGTGTCGTGTGTAGGTAACCAACCCCCTTCCGCTTGTCCCATGAAGCATGTAATTAGCATTCGAAATCATTAATTATGCATGCAAGATGGCGTCGCATAATAATGAGGAGCGTAGGCAAGAGATTTTGCGTACAAAGAAAAGCATAAAAAGCCGCGTTCACTTCCCGCAGGCCAACGCATTCTCGCTCGTTATGGACCGAAGACAACGCAATGCCGAACGCGCCCGGTTGAGTCGAAAAGTTCGTCGAGAACGCGAATTAAAACTGCAGAGATTTCACGAATTTGTGAGGGACAACTATCCGCAGTTATTTTCTGAATTCGAGAAGGTTTTCGAAGCAAAGAAGAAAGATCTCGTACCGTACCAATACCCGACGGAAACTTTAGCGGAACTAGAGCATGGCTGTACAGTTGCAAGTGGTGTTTCCAACGATTACCCTGTCGCTGGCGAGCCAAAATATGGAATCAAGCTGGATGATGGGACAGTATTACACAACGTTGGGTATATTACGTTCGAGCAACCGAAAGAACAGTCGTCGCCAGATGACCAACAGGGTGTCATAACCTTAGCTGGTTGCAAAGAGGCGCCAAAAACAGAAAGCAGTCGGGTTATCGAAATTCTCGATGACTGAACGGCGGACCACGAAGAAGTGGAAGATGTCGTGTGCAATGGTATCATCGCTTACGTCGAATTCACACGAGAGGTCGGAGAGGACAATCTATAATCAAAAAAGTTAGTTAATTGAACGTGTATCTGTATTGATACGGTTCATCGGCTTTTGACTGTCATGCACTTATTGCTTTTTAAGTTATGAAATTGTAAAAACACGTATACTATGTCTCCGCATCTTCGATGTGAAGCCCAACAGTTTTCCATTGAATGGATACAATTGGTATATATATGTCAATGGGTACAATACCAAGTAACTTTTCGTAAAGTATCGGTACACTCCTTTAATAGCCGAAAGCACGCAATAATCACACCGCTTCAATAGCTGTCAGTGAAGAAAACGTTTAGACAACCTCATTCCAAGCCCTGGGTTTCGCTCTGTCATCATAGCGAATATCCGTGGAAGTGGAACGAGTTGGCCCATTTCGATACTAATAACAGGCTTGAGTGGGGATGGAGTTGGGATTAGTTGCCTACAGCCTACTTGTATAATACCTGAATAAAATTATACCTAAGAATCGTGAGCAAGTAATTTCTAAATCGTCAGCGAACTATTTGACTTTGAGAGGGCTTTTTATTGCATTGATCTAGATTATTTTTAATTAAAGGGTTACTTCTCAAAGACATTAAGTTATATTATTGTAATTCACGCTTCTAAGTGTAAAAAATGTTCATACTTTGAAATTTGAATGTAGAATGATTTTTCTTGCTAAATATATTAGAATGTATATATTTCAAGGCTATTTGACGTATTTTTACTAATGACAATAATTGAAACTTGAAATATATATTTATAAACTGGAAACACTTTCTGGAATGCTGAAGTTGTATTAAGATCAGCGTTAAATTCCAAATTCCAGTGTAAAATTCCCAAAGGAATAAATTACCCATATTGACCAATAAGGAAACGAGTTCGTGATATGAAAACTTTGAAATATTTTGGCGGTTTGTTTTAAATTTGAATAGGATTCGTTAGAGGAACATTGAAGAATTCCCTCGGGAATTTCGACTCTTTAAATTTCGGCTTTTTTCGGACATTCGAATGAAAAAATAAAAGACATTTGGTTTAATAAGGAATATAATTGCCGAGATGAGCGAGGATTATGCAAGTATTGTAATTATCAAGCGAACTGGAGCTGATGGTCCACGATTTCCCCTGCGACGAAGCGATTGCTTGTTTGGAAGGTGTGTATATAAACGTCCTTCCTTTATTAAAAACGTCGTCGAATCTTGCACTTCTTGTAATGTTTAGTTCTGTTTTGAGTGTTGAATTGGATTACTTTCTTTGATATTGTAGGGACACTACGTGCGATTTACGTGTCCAGTTACCCGGAGTTGCTTTGGAACACGCGAAGGTGTCCCGCTCTGAAAACAATAAAGTAAGTTGAAGTTCGTTGTAAAATGTAAATATTATACAAGCTTCACCTTCCTTGTTTAAATGTTTTGGTAAATACTTCATCATTTGCTCTAGCAGTTGTACTTAGTAATTGATCGCTATCTATGAGCTTAGCCAGTCAAAATTATATTCAGGTTTTATATTATATTCAGTGCAAATTATATTACTAGTAACTAAACTGGGCGTCAAAAAATTATCTATGATTGATAAATAGATTATATCAAAAAATCATAGATTATACAGATAACGTTGGTTTCTGTTGCCAGAGTTTTTTGGGCCAAATAAAACGTAGCAATTATTTCTGCCCCTGCTTATGCAGCCCTTTGAAATTGCTGCTAATCCAATCTTGGATTCCCAAAAGTTCCAGAATATTCTCCTAATTGGAAATTAAGGTCTGCATGTTATATTACTGTGTATAATAAAATTCATTGTGGCATATGTTTATACAAGACAGCCTGTGAATTATGGCCAGATTTAGATTAAAGATGGGAAAGTCAACAATCAGAAAATAGTGTTGTACATGGATAAAGGCTAAAGCATGCTGTTTGCTATTTTACGCTATCTTTGTTGTTCCTGTCCTTATTCTAAGTCTGCCTATAAACTGACAGCCCAGTGCAAATTTCTAGTGCAGTAAATATCTGTGATGTCAAAGACTGATGTATAGATTTTATACTTACATGATTTTACTTATACTGTTTGTGCTTCAACTTTGTCTCCATAGATGATATATGCCATAGATCTCATTGCTAAATCTCCCTATAGTGTGATTAATAACGTCCAATTTTCCAAAGCTATCCCCTCTGAATATAGGACTGCCACCTATACAAGCAATCTTAGAATTGAATTGGTAAATTTTCAATCTGCATTAATTTATTTTTCTAGTTTTACTTGGAAAATCTAACAGATAGTGAAACAATGATAAATGGTGACCCTATGAAAGAATCTGTTGGCCTTAGCAACATGGATGTTTTCTCGATTGCTGGCAGGTCATTTCGATTTGAATGTGAACAGCCGAAAAGAAAGGTGCGTACCATTAAAATGCAGAAACCCAGTTATCACATAAAGTTGAATTGCATGTTTCTTTAAAACTAACAGGCTAATCAAACTGCATTGATTTACTTTTTAAAGTTAGAAATTTTAGAATTGGTTCATTTTCATTTAAACATGCTGTATGCCGTAAAAAAACCTCAAGGGGGTGGGTGGTTGGTTGAGATAAGATCTAATGTAATATACTACAGGTATAAATACTAAGCTTGTTTTAAGAAGTTTTATTTCCAGTTTGTTAGGAGCTGAGCATGATAATATAATATGGTAATAATATTGTGGTGTTCATTGACTGTGAAAACAATGAATTTCTAAAGAAATGAATAATTATAATCATTGGAAATTTACATAGCCGGACAAAATCGTCAGGCTGGCTATGCCACTGTTTAGAAAGTATAAATGCAGACAAATTTATACCTAGAAAGTCTGGTTTTAGTGACTTAATTTTCCTTTCAAAACAGAGCTTAGGGAAGAAGAGGACGTCCTTGAATAACCCCGCCATCGGGCGCCTCGTTTCACCTTTGAAGGAAGCCAACCGTATCGTGAAAGACAGTCCACGTAATCCTGTGCAGCGTCGAGCGTCGCTGAGAGAAAGCCTGGGAAAACTCAGACGATCTTCCACTACATTTCAAGAGGTGAAGGAACCAGTTGAAAGAACTCCTGAGAAAGTGAACGAGCAACCAAATCCACCACTCCCGTGCCGGGCATCTTTGAGAGAGAGTTTAGGCAACTTGAGAAGATCTTCCGTTGCGCTCCTCGAAGTAGAAGAACCTTTGGAAAACGAGAAAACTGAAGAAGACTTCCTTCCCGTATCGCGTCGCTCGTCTTTACGAGAAAGCATTGGAGGATTGAAACGGTCATCGGTGTCTTTACAAGAAGTAGAGGAACCTTTGACAAATACACCTAAAGAAGAACAGGCCTTCGTCGGTATGGTGAACTCGGCTGTATCTAACTCCAAGGCTAACACTCCATTATCCACGAGGAAACTGAGGAAACGCGTGTCCTTTGGTCCAAAGTTAAGTCCAGAGCACTTTGATAAGACCCTGCCCGTTTCGACACCGATCAAGAAAGGTTCCAATCCACGGAGACTGTCCGCGCCGTTGTCGAAACCTTGCATTAGTCCAGCAAGAAGAAGATATAGTGTCGCCACGCCGTCGTTCGTCTCGAGGATCGAGGAAGAAGTTGAAGAGAGTGATGAAGCTAGGTAGGGAAAGGATTTGCATGCTTCGGCAAATCGTGTGGGTGGGAGTTGCGTTGCGAGTTGATGTTGAAAGTTTTTTCGTGTAACATTACCTTGTAACATTTCGTGTAACAAGTTAATTGTAAAAATGTATTAAAAGGTCGCTATTATCTCTCTTTCAAATCCCTCGACACTGAGTTTTCTAAACCCGAGCCTTGGATAAAATTCGTGAGCTGTAAAATTGGATTTAATCCTAGTCCCCCCCGTCTCACTTTCAAACAGGCACCGAGGTCTCAGCTACCACCACGGCTTACCGGGGGGGGGGGGCATGATTTGGCTGTTAGCTGTTAATATTTTTAAAATCCAAAACTTTATTGTATTAACCACTTGCATTTTACTTAGTGATGAAGAAGAGCATCCTGTGAAGCCGGACAGTCCTGCCGTCGAAATCGTTGAGGTATTCCAGACCGATCGACCGAGAATGGCGACCCCTTTGAGAGATGAGATCAAGCAAGGAAAGCAATTACGTGGGAAAGACAAGAAAATGGCGACACCGTTAAAGAATGCGATTAAGCAAGGTTTCCGTTTGAAAGCGAGCAAAAATAAGATGCATACGCCTTTGAGGGAAGAGATTCGGGCTGGTCGTAAGCTAAAACCTACCAGAAAGCGGTTAGGCACTCCGGTTCGTAAAGCCATCGAGTCCAGGCCGAAGTTAAGAACCACCAGAATGAGAATGTCAACACCACTTCGGAAAGAGATCGAAACGAGACCGGCGCTGAGGGAGACCAAGAAAGTGATGGCAGAATCTTTGCAAGATGAGATCAAGTCTGGAAGGAAATTCTTGAAGATTAAAAGAAGAATGAAAAGCGAGGTACAAGATGAAATCGTCGCCGGGAAGGAATTGAACCAGACGAAAAAGAAGATGGCGACCGAGCTTCAAGCAGAGATTACAAAAGGCGTTCAACTACGACCCACCAAGAGGAGAATGCCGACGATGCTTCAAGACGAGATCAAGGCCGGTGTCAATCTTTCCAAAACGAAGCAGAGCTTGAAGACTCCGTTAAGACAAGAGATTGAAACTGGCGTCAACTTGCGAAAGACAAAACGGCGAATGGGAACCATGTTGCAAGACGAGATAAAGTCCGGAGTTGAACTGTCTAAAACAAAACAGAGCTTGAAGACTCCGCTGCGAAAGGAGATTGAGTCTGGCGTCGACCTCCGAAAAACCAAACGACGAATGGGAACCATGTTGCAAGACGAGATAAAGTCCGGAGTTGAACTGTCTAAAACAAAACAGAGCTTGAAGACCCCGTTAAAAAAAGAGATCCAGGCTGGAATTAATTTGCGAAAGACGAAACGACGAATGCCGACTATGCTTCAAGATGAGATAAAGTCCGGAATCGAACTGTCTAAAACAAAACAGAGCTTAAAGACTCCGTTGAGAAAAGAAATTGAAACTGGCGTCGACCTCCGAAAGACCAAGCGACGAATGGCGACCATGTTGCAAGATGAGATAAAGTCCGGAATCGAACTGTCGAAAACAAAGCAAAGTTTGAAAACGCCATTGAGAAAAGAAATTGAATCTGGCATGAAGTTACGACCCACTAAGCCTAAGGAGGAAAAGCAACCTGACACGTCATCAAAGACACCCAAACGTCGCTTTTCCAACATCGATGATAATCCCACACAATCTGCAAGAAAGAAGATAAAGACTCCTTTGAAAATTCCACAGCGAGCGGGCTTTTTCCCCAGCACAAGATCCAAGACACGCTCCATTTCCCGTCGTAGAAAGTCCACGAAGAAGCCAAGTTACGCGGAAATAGTGAAACGTCAGAAGCTTGTTGCCAAGCGACGAATGTCCACGAAGAGTGTCCTCAACTTTGAAGCAGAGCAAAAGGTACGTCAAAAAATTACTTTCTACCATGCCGCAGCGAATCAAATTCGATGAAATTTGAAGGTATTTTATGTCAGTGATAATTAAGTGTTTAAAAGTTTTTATTATACTTATTTATAGGCATCGTCAACTTCAAATCAAAATACAAAACCGAAATCAACTACAACTGCAACTGAAAAAAGTAAGTTCTTCAATGTGTTGAATGGCAAATCAATCCCAAAGCTTAATAAAGGAGTGATGGTTTATTAAAATCGCAATTTTTTTGTTCCACAGTCAAGAGGAAGAGCAAGACCCCTTCTCGAAGAAAGAGTCTAGCCAAAAACGCTAAAGTTTTCGATGGTAAAACTGGAGGAGAATGGAACGTTGTGGTGAACAAGAGGAAGATATTAAGAATTAAAAGGCAAAGAGCAGGTGTGTATGTGAATTCACTTAGAGGCAGGCCAAGTCATTGTGTGAAAATATTTGTCCGACTTGCGAATAACCGCATATTCTTGATTCTGAAGGCGGTGGTTCTCCACTGGGCAGAATTTTTCGATTGAAGGAAATTTTTCGCTTGATTTTCTTAACAACGGTCGAGTGAATACGTCGACAAGTGATAAAATTTCATGCATAAACGTTGTATTCGTTTGAATTTTACAGTCAAGTTGCAGCAGCAACAAAACGATGAACGCCGCATCGGGACAAGATCCTCTTCAGGCGACGAAATCTTCTATGATATAGCACAGCTTATGAAGACGCCGAACGTGAAACAAAATCAAGAACCTGACATCGAAGGCGTTGCAGAGTTGTTTGAGGCGTTTGAAATGGCTTCGCCGATAGCGGCCACAGGTACACCATCCTTGAGAAGAACATCTGATCGTGTGAGCGTTGTCACTCCTTTGTCCATCGACAAAACGCCTTCGTTGCGAATGAAAGAAAGTGGGTGCGATGTCGTTGTCCCGTTACAACTTTCAAGCACTCCCTCTCTGCGAAAATGTCCCGACGTTTTGACAGTTGTGTCGGCAGAGGAGCCTCAACTTACTCCGTCACTTCGAAGAGTCTCGGAGACTTTGACTGTGGCGTTCGCAGACGAAGGAAAACTGACTCCGTCGCTGAGGAGAGGTTCGAATAATCTAACCGTCGTGGCAGCCGAGACACCAAAGCATACCCCGTCTCTGAGAAGAGCAGGAACCGCTGAGAAGGTAGTGCTGTCATCCCCACTTCACGTGGCTGTCACTCCGTCATTAAAGAAAAGTCCAGCTGCAGTTGTTGTCGAAACGACACCGGCTCAAGAGACATCCGCGACCATCCCTACAGAGATTGTCAAGTCTGGCTCCACACCTAAGATCGTAGCTGTTGTTTCCCCCTTCCCTGCAGTACAACCTACCTCCTCCGCACCTCAACTCGCGTTCCCCTTAGCAGAACCCACGCCATTAGAGATGGTAACCGCTCCTGTTACATCAGAACCTTCCCCAACAAAAGAAACCCAGTCCACGGAAGATTTATCATCCGAACTGCTCGACGAGGAACAATTACCATCGAAGAGATCCACGCGATCCGTTAAACGCAAAGTTCAACCCGATTCGCTTCCTCCAACAAAACGCCCTCGTCGCGCAACCTCGCGGAATACTGCCGCCAAAGTTGGCGAAGAAAAGTCCGAATCTAGAAACGTGCCCGTTGATGATGCCGTGGCGCCAAAACACCAGATTCCAAAGAGAACCAGTGCACGATCTGCTAAACAGCAGCGCGCTGCACTTGATACGAAAGAGAATGTTCAGCAGAAGATTGTTGAAGTTGTGGTCTTGGAACAAGAAGAGGCTGAAGGTGAAGTCGCACCGAAGGTTAAAAGAAGCACGCGTGCCTCTCGCAATCGCGCAATACAGCCCACACCTTCGTTACCAGACGTCGTCCCGAGTTTAACTCAACCTCCTCCTCCTGAGATGAAACCCTCTCCAACTATGATGGAGCCTTCGCTTCAAATGGTGCCCATCCTCTTCGCAGTCGATTTGAGATCCAATCCAGTGAAAAAAAGTGAAGAAATTTCAAAATCCAAGAAGACAAGATCGACACGATCGAAACACAGTGTCGAGCCGGATACCCTGGAGACAACGACACGCACGCGCCGTACCACAGCACGCAACAACAACACGGATCCCGATGTCGACAAAAAGAGCGAATCGCCAAGCGAGGTGTCGAATGGTAAGCGAAGTACGAGATCTCGAAAAACCGATGACAAAAATACCGTGGCATCTGGATCACGGTTGCGTAGGGGCACCAGAGAAAGATCACAACAGCCAGAAGTCGATGAGTCCGAGAAAATGGTCGAAGAAGCCGAAACTAAGCCAGAAAGAAACACTCGTTCCAAGCGTGGCAAATCCGCTAGTGGAAAGGGGAAGACGGAGACGCGGGGGAAGGCCAACCCAACATCTAAAGTCGCCACCCGCTCTGGGAAGAGCAAGAATGTTCCCGGGATACCAGAGACACCTCAGCCTTTGAGATTCACTCGAACACAATTGGAACCCATCGTTGAAGTACCGACACCGCTTCCAACACCTGCTTCGTCGCTACGCGGCAGCGCCTCAAAGAAGTTGTTCGTCCTGGCAGAAAACAGCTCATCGCGAAGTGGAAGGAACATCACTACAGTCGTCGAAGAACAAGCACAGCTAAATGACGAGATTTCGAAAAGCAATGCCGCATCAAAACTGCGAAGAAAACGTGCTGCTCCTGAAGGAAAAGTTGATGAGAAGAACGAAGCATCAAAGGAAGAGAACGCTCCGTCAAAGAAGCGTGTGACGCGTTCTAAGAGAGATAACGACGTGGTCGCTATCGAGGCAAGCCTGCCTAGCTCAAAACGACAGAGAAAGGAAAGCGCAGAGCGTGATGAGAAAAAAGATGACGAAGAGACTAAGAAACGTGTGACTAGACGGAAACGAGGTGCCCAGGAGAAGAAAGTTGTGGAAGAGATAACCATCAGCAACGTAAAATCGACTCGGAGAAACAAAGCCGCCGTTAAAGAAGTTGAAATCTTGGAGGAGACGGTCGTGAAGTACACAAGAACAACGAGACAGAAAGGAAAGCTCGTGCGGGAAGAAAATGGCAGCCCACAAGCACCGGTGGAAAAGGGGAGGAGAACCCGCAAGGGGAGCAGCAGTCAGACAACCGAGGAGAGCTCTGGTAGGAAAACTCGTGGAAAAAGAGCAACGGTAAAAGAGAGTGAAAATGTTGAAATACCAGTCGAGAAGAATGCGAAAGGTGGTCGAAGACAAGCCAAAGGAAGTAGGAAAACACCAGAAAAGGTAACTGAGCTGGTACCAAGAGTGACTAGGAGCCGTCGAGGTGCTCAATGAACTGTAGGTTAGGGACAACTTAACCATTTCCCCATTTGAAATTATTGGTTATCAAGCCATTAATCATTAAAACAACCTCGCAAGCTTCAAGCAATTTCATATTTCAGTGACTAGACTATTACAGTAATTGTTGACTGGGTGTTTTATTAGTATTCATATGCTCTTCTTGGGACCAATAGTTATTGAATATTTTGCCATGAAAGTAATCTTTAGGACTATAAAAGACACAAATAGTAACCAATAATTTTCACTATGAGGATATCTTCGGTTGAACAGATGGACATGCAGTTCTTGTCCAGCAATTCCTAGGGCTGTACAAAAAACTTTGTTCTTTACAATATATCTCATTCTTACCATTTTCAAACATCACTGTATATAAGTTCATTTAAATCACAGTAGGGTATTGTGGACTTCTAGTTGATATAATCATATGTAATATATACAAAAAAGGGGGAGAAAGGAAAAGGCTTTAAATATATTGAGCTTTCTGTTTGTAAATTGTTCAAATATAAGTAAAGTTTCTGATTCTCACTGTGTTGTATTCCTTTATTTCTAGGCCTAGTTTACAACTTCAAAGTTTCAGTGCTCTCAGGATTAGAGCATTGGGATTAGGATTAAGAGTTAGGATTGGGATTAGCATTAAGTTAGGAAAATGTTTGGGATTAAAATTAAATTCGGTATAACAGTTTTTCTACTTTTGGATTTTAATAGCCACCAAGTTTAATGATAAACATGGCTGTCACTCTTTCTGCAAATCAATCATTGCCTTCAAATAGCAGATACTATTGCCATGCCACTACCAAATTGGCCTGAAGGGTCAGTTGGTGGGAACTGCCCTTGGAATGGTTGAGCATAGGTGTACCTTGGCACATAGCTTTGATCTCCAAAGTGTGATCTGGCGTCTGCATCACCAACATTCACAGGCAAACCTCCAACTGCGACGGCATAGCTTGGTGGGGGCATGTCAGGGTAGCCAAGGGTGGATGTGGTTGGCCCAAATTGTGGTGCCAATGGCTGTACTTGGTGTGTGTACCCTGCTTCCATCACCTGATTTTCAGCCAGCTCATAGGAACATTGTCTGCCAAAGGTTCGTTTAAAAGGTATGGTACCCATAGTAATACCAAGAAAAATTTTTGGGCTAAGCCCCATGGGAACTTGAACATCAAACTTGATATGGTAACTGACACTCACAGGGTTGGTGTTAATTGTTGGGGCAACTGGTGGAATTAGGAATGGTTGGTTATTCCATAAGTCCTGGCCTCTTGCTGGGATTTTACCACCTTCAAAACGTGTAATTGCTATTGAACTTCCTGTTGTATGTCCGTCTGCTGCACGGAACAAAATATTTTGTATAAGTGTCGCCCTCATACAACGCATTTCTCGAGTTGACAAGTTCTCACACAGCGCATTGAGGAAGATTTGCTCACCAGGACAATAGCCTGCTCTATCAAGACTTGCTTGCATGTCGAGGTTGCCAGATACACAACAAAGGCATCCAATTTGCTTCTCTTTGCTTCCAACAGGAACTGTTGAATACTGAGGAAGATTAATATCGATAATCTCATTGACAGTGAAGGGCTTTCGAATTTTATGATCAAACTTCCACGGTCGATCGATTTTTGCTTCTATGTAATAGCGAATGAGACCAGTGCCTCCTTCGAACGAACTGGGTAAAGGCGAGGGAAGTTTAAATACGAATGGATAAACATGTCTTCCAGGAGGATGCTGCACTGCTCCGGTTGAACTTCCTCCGAAAAGAAGACCTTGTAGACTTACCAATAACTGATGGCCGGTGTGATGATCAGTCTGTGTTCTGGAGTTTCCTCTATTATCAGTGGTCGTCGTTGTCCAGTGGCAGTAAGAGGCTCCAACCAACATGACGTTTATTTGGTTGCATTTCATTGACTGTAAAACGTCGACGACAACATTGCCTCGTACATCTTCGCCTGCGTAGAACACCTCTTTGTTACCGTCAATTTCGACTTCGAAATTCTGCAATTTTCTGACCATTTTGCCCCCCTGCTTGTCAAACCAGAAACAGTCAAGTTTTTACACGCCTAAACCGGCAGGCAACTATAAAAGGCACATTGTGGTAAGTTGATTCGCATTGATCCGCATTATTCGGCGCCTCTTATTTTAACATATTCGACACTTTATTTTCCACATTTCGATTTTCGAACACTCATACGTGACAATCATTTATATTTATTTACATTTTATATATTATTATATATTCATTGTTGAACGATTATGGCTGTGGCAGGCGAACTCATGCCAAACAGATGGCTTGTTTTTTGTTGTGTTTCATAAAATGAGTGCGAAGATGGATAATTGCTCGGAATATGAACGTTTCTGTCATGCCCTGCTGAATCTGATAGTAATGATACCGGTACTGATAAAGTCTGAAAGCGCGGTTCATTCATTTTTTTGGATTCCAGTGATTCCAGGCAGTTGCAGTCCAGGCTTTATTAGGGACCTTAAGCACGTACTTAAGTTTATTGTACAACGTTCTTGCATATTATCAACTGTACTAATTTAATGAGATATAAGACGTTGAAAACATTGTGTTTACGTTTCGAGGTAGCGCTCACTCGGTCCTGAAATGCCAACGTTCTACATAGGACGTAATAAACGACGTATTGCCGTTGTAAACAGAACGTAGATCACGTCTAAACCTCCCATAGGTATTGACCGGACCAGTTCAGTCCAGTCCATATTTTGTACTATACCGGGAAAACAGATGCAAAGCTATCAACTACTTGTGCTTTTAAAAGGCATCTTGAAGCCTAGTTTGATCAATAACCGTGTTATCTAAGACCTTCTAAGAAACCTTCCATTTAAAGTTTTATTTTTTTGTAAATATGTTTTTATCTCTGTGACGCTTCTCAGGAAGAACATCAATTTAATGATGATGAGAAATTTGCATTAAATTGTTTATGAATGTTATGTATGTATGTATTGCCAGAATTTCGAGTATAGAATACCCGGTCACCGGCTGCGACGAATTCTGTCTTGTCCGGGTGGGGGAACGGCGTAACCTTCCACTCCAAGCCTCATAGTGTTTCACCCTTTTTAGTATTCTCATGATTTAAGAAAGAAGTAAAGTCTTTATGTAAACTTCTGTTCTTTTTTAAGTACTATGTCTATGTCCTATGTGAAAATATAACGCTATTTAGGTTTGCTACGCTTCTAAACGAATAGGAACTAAATCTTCTTTTCAGAAAAATTCAACTGACCTTGCAAAATTCGGATATTTTTTCATCAGATAGCCTTCGCATTGTTTCGAACAGAACCGATGTAATAAAGCTCATTTGATGTTCAAAGAGTGGAAAGATAGTAGGATTTTACGATCTACGACGTGGTCACGTCGCCAGTCGAGTATTTTGCTTGGAATAGCTATAGGGAAATGATTATGCTGGTAGGACTTTGAAATAATCGTACAAACGTTTCATTTTGCTAAAAACCTTTGATGTCTAGCTGATATTGCAGTTTCATAAAAGCTTTAAAACAGCTATTAGGTTGCCGCTGCTTCATGTCATCGAGAGGCCGTGAAAATGCCTTATTTGAAGGCGTCGTAAGAATGACAACGCTGTCGTGGGACCACAAATTATGCATACATATTATCTTGCGTGTGGTGTTTCTTTGTTTTGGAAGAGCGTCGTCGAGCTGCCCGCGTCGTGAATCGTAAACACGCTATTTGTGGCAGGGGTCAGACATCCGAACGAAGAATTCTGGCAGAAAAGACTAGGGCAGAAATACATTGTAACATGTTGAACACCGTTACACCGGTCGAGGACGAGAAGGTTGCGAGTAGCGGTCCAAGAAAAGCCAACGGAGACAGAAAAACACCATATAATGCAACTGAGCTGGTACCATGAGTGTTTTATAATGAAGTTTTAATAATTTAAATAACCATACAATGTTCAAACAATATCATATTTTGTGGTCAACTAAACTTTTACAGTAATCAGTAATTGGTGATTCAGCGTTTAGTTATTACTCAGTATACTGTTCTTGGGACCAATAGCTTTTTGATATTTGCCATGAAAGGAATCTTTAGGTTGTTTACATGCCCTGTTCTTACCATTCGTTAAATGATGTTTAAGAAAAGCAAATGTACTAGTGCCTTAATTAATGAATTAATGCCTTCAAATAACAGAAACTAAGTGTGCTTGAAAGGCATTTCTCTTTCAGCAATACCACGGTGGGGAACATACAAGTGTTTACACAAATCTTGTTGACTAGAAAATACTAAGACTGGTGTAACTTGTCTTAGATATATTGTTTAATTTATAGAAAAGCCGTGAATGAGGTGAGATCACTGAGATGGTATGTAATTACAAAATTAGACGTATAACAAATGTTGTTTGCGTACTCCCCAGTCCTCCTCTTATAATGATTTAAATATCTTTATACCATTTGCTATGTATTTCATGTGTGGTTGCTCAGGTTGTTTATAAGAAAGGAAATTAAGTCTGGGGTTTAGTGTCAACTATCAAACTTCTTTGGCACAGCTATTGCTGCAGGGTAACTAAGAGCAAATCACGAATGGTGTTCCAAAGGACTGCTGAGGTACTGTGCCAATGGTAATATCAAAATAAATTGTAGGGTTGATTCCCCATGGAACCCTAACATCGAACTTGACTTGGTAGCTCACACTCACGTGGTATGTCTTAACTGTTGGACGAACTGCCGGAATCCTTAATGGTTGGTTATTCCAAGTAGCCCGGCCTCCTCCAGGAATTCTTTCACCTTCAAAACTTGCAATTACTTTTGAATTCCGTCTGGTTCTTCGATCTATACGATACAAAACATTTTGTAAAAGCGTGGCTCTCATACAGCGCATTTCTCGTGTGGAAAAGTTCCTACATACGGCATTGAGTAGGATTTGTTCACCCCGACAATACCCTGATCTATCAAGACTGGCTTGTATGCTGAGGTTACCAGCAACGCAACAAAAGCATCCGATTTGCTTCTCTTTGATGGCAAAAGGAACCGTTGAATACGATGAATGATTAGTATCGATGATCTCATCCACAGCCAAAATCCTTATCGTTTTATGATCGGACTTTCGCGGCCGAACAACTTTTGCTTCAATGTAATAGCGAATGTATAACCAGTGCCTCCTTCAAACGAACTGGGTAGAGCTGGAGGGAGTTGAAATCGAAATCGGTACATATGTCTGCCAGGGGGATGTTCTGCAGCTTCAGTTGACCTCTCTTCAGAAATAAACTTATATCGATCCATGAGCAACAACTGACTGCCAGCGATGTCCGCTTGGTTTCCAGATCTTTCAAATTTACAATAGGAGAGCCCTGTCAACTCCACGACTATTTCTTTGCATTTAACTGACGTGGCTGCGTCGATGACAACATAACCATGTATCTCTTCACCTGGGTGAAACACCTCTCTGTTTAGGTATATTTCAATTTTTAAATTTAATTTTCCCATCATTTGCCTGGTTTTTGTCAAACTAGCAACGAATAGAAGAAACCTCGCCGTATCTGTTGGAACAAGCAAGCAGTTCAACTAAACTCAGTCTCAGTCCAAATGACCAGTATTTGCATCGGAGGCTGCTATCTCATACTTGAATCTTTGATATTGGCTTCCCTCAATGAAAATAACTTTCAAAATTCCAGCCACTCTGAAACTGGTAATTGAAAGACATGTACTGAAGTGAAGTACAAACTCAAAGACAGTTTGACATATCTAAGAATAAAGAACTTCAAGAAAAATTTAGGAATATTAATAAAAAGAACAAAGAAGACACAATCACGATTATATTGAAAACTACTGATTCTAAAAACTGAATTGATCATAGTGTAAAAACGAATAAAAATCGTACGGATGAAATTGAGCGATTGGACAGTTAGAATTTCACCCGTGCCGTCGGTTTCTCCGAACCAAGTTTTAATTTACCACGAAATGCATTGACGAGACACAAGAAATGGCTGCCCGGTGAATGGTGATTAGTTATTTATCGTGTAGACTCTATAACACATTAACGATTTCAATTTTTCTTAACACAGTGACCATAACTGATATAGGCTATATGAAAAACGCAGGCGACGCGTTTTTTATATATAAGGTAATAGGTGCTGGCCACGTTACTGAGCAGATATAAAAATTTATTGAGTTTTTGCACTGTGTGCTTGAGGGTGCAACCCCCCGCCTCGTACACACGTGGTTCGGTTTAGTTTTCACCTATGCCTATGGTTCAAACGTCATGTCGTGATAGTTTGTTTCGTCCATTTTCAGTTTAATTATGCTCAATGCGTCTCTCGATCTTTCATTCAGATTAATTTGAGCTGCAAAGGCGCAGTTTTCAAAGAATGGGTGGCCGGTAGGATTGGAATGAGGTGAAAGACAAATAAATCATTACTTTAATAAGCATTTTTGTAAATTTTTTTGGGCATGGGCGTAACTAGAACGATAATTGGGGGGGGGGGGGGTGGGGGGTGAATTTTCATATATACAGTTCTGCCAGACGAAATCCATCCGGTAGAACTTGATATATGAATATTAACCCCCCAATTATCGTTCTAGTTACGCCACATACTCCAGGGCTGCTGCTGGACATCTTAATTCGGGGGGGAGAGTGTACATTCATGTATTCATGTTTATATGAAAGGAACAAAGGAAATTAGTCAGGCATAAGATGAATATATTATTAATACAACCTCCCAATCAAGCTTCTAGCTATGGCCCTGGGCATTGTAAACACCCACAACCTTTATGAAATTGACATATTCATAAAAACATCCTATGTTCTATCCTATGTTCTATAACTTCTATTTACCCTTTTGTAAACATACACAATTCCAAAACATCACAGCATTTAAAATATATACTCCATTATAAATTATTAAGATACAGATATACAGTTATACCCAAACCATGTCTTACATAAACAGTTGCTTGCTGATACCTTGTTTCTCTTCTTATTGACTAATATGTGAATTAAATTATTTGGAAATGTACATCCTAGCTACAGCATTGATTGTTTATATTGAAGGGTCAAAAATGTAGAGAGGATCAACAGTTATGACAGCATGTGAACTGAATAATATAATATTACTAGCATAACTGGTGCACCTTAATGGGGTGCCTTTGACCAGGATGGCCAGTTTTCTGAAGATGTGCCAGGATAAGCACCAAAATGTGGTGGTAGATTTGCAATGTCACTACCAAATTGGCCTGAAGGGGCAGTTTGTGGGAACTGCTCTTGGAATGGTTGAGCATAGGTGTACCTTGGCACATAGCTTTGATCTCCAAAATGTGATCTGGCTTCTGTGTCACCAACATTCACAGGCAAACCTCCAACTGCCACGGCATAGCTTGGTGGGGGCATGTCAGGGTAGCCAAGGGTGGATGAGGATGGCCCAAATTGTGTTGCCAATGGCTGTACTTGGTGTGTGTACCCTGCTTCCATCACCTGATTTTCCGCCAGCTCATAGGAACATTGTCTGCCAAAGGTTCGTTGAAAAGGTACAGTACCCATAGTAATATCAAGCAGAATTTTTGGGTTAAGCCCCATGGGCACTCTCACATCAAACTTGATATGGTAACTGACACTCACAGGGTTGGTGTTAATTGTTGGAGCAACTGGTGGAATCAGGAATGGTTGGTTATTCCATGAGTCCTGGCCTCTTGCTGGGATTTTATCTCCTTGACAACGTGTAATTGCTATTGAACTTCCTCTTGTATGTCCGTCTGCTGCACGGTACAAAATATTTTGTACAAGTGTCGCCCTCATACAACGCATTTCTCGATTTGACGAGTTCTCACACAGCGCATTGAGGAAGATTTGCTCACCAGGACAATAGCCTGCTCTATCAAGACTTGCTTGCATGTTGAGGTTGCCAGATACACAACAAAGGCATCCAATTTGCTTCTCTTTGCTTCCAACAGGAACTGTTGAATACTGAGGAAGATTAATATCGATAAGTTCATTGACAGTGAAGGGCTTTCGAATTTTATGATCAAACTTCCACGGTCGATCGACTTTTGCTTCTATGTAATAGCGAATGTGACCAATGCCTCCTTCGAACGAACTGGGTAAAGGCGAGGGAAGTTTAAATAGAAATGGATAAACATGTATGCCAGGAGGATGCTGTACTGCTTTGGTTGAACTTCCTCCGAAAAGAACACCTTGTAAATTTACCAATAACTGACGACCAGTGTGAAGATCAGTTTTAGTTTTGGAGTTTCCTCTATTATCAGTCGTCGTCCTCGTCGTTGTCCAGTGACAGTAAGAGGCTCCAACCAACACAACATTTATTTGTTTGCATTTCATTGACTGTGAAACGTCGACGACAACATTGCCTCGTACATCTTCGCCTGAGTAGAACACCTCTTTGTTACCGTCAATTTCAACATAGAAATCCTGCAATTTTCTAACCATTTTGCCCCGTCCTCATCAAACCAGAAACAATCAAGTTTTTACACGCCTAAACAACGAACTACAAAGGCACATTGTGGTAAGTTGATTCGCATTGATCCGCATTATTCGGCGTCTCTTATTTCAACATATTTGACACTTTATTTTCCGCATTTCGGACACTCATGAGTGACAATCATTTTTTTCTTTTCAGGGAGATTGCAACGAATTCTGTCCGGCTTGTCCGGGTGGGGGAACGGCGTAACCTCCCACTCCAAGCCTCATAATGTTTCACCCTTTTCAGTCATTTCATGATTCAAGAAAGAAGTGAAGTTTTTATGTAAACTTCTGTTCTTTTTTAAGTACTATATCTGTGTCCTATGTAAATATATAACGCTCTTTAGGTTTGCTACGCTTTTGAATGAATAGGAACTAAATCTTCTTTTCAGAAAAGTTCAAAACTTGCGAAATTCAGGTATTTTTTCATCAAATAGCCTTCGTATTGTTTCGAGCAGAACCGGTGTAATAAAGTTCATTTGATGTTCAAAGAGCAGAAAGATTTCAAAGATAGTAGAATTGGAGAAGGTCAGGAACAAAAAAATGATTACTTGTATAAGTGGAGAGAAACTGGTGAAGATAGCAGAAGAACGCGCAATGAAGCAGCGGCAAGGAGTAACTAATGTGGCAGGGGTCAGACATCCGAACGTGCAGAATTCTGGCAGAAAAGACTAGGGCAGAAAGACATTGTAACATGTTGAACACCGTTACACCGGTCGAGGACGAGAAGGTTGTGTTTAGCGGTCCAAGAAAAGCCAACGGAGACAGAAAAACATATCTAAGAATAAAGAACTTCAAGAAAAATTCAGGAATATTAATAAAAAGAACAAAGAAGACACAATCACGATTATATTGAAGACTGCTGATTCTAAAAACTGAATTGATCATAGTGTAAAAACGAATAAAAATCGTACGGATGAAATTGAGCGATTGGACAGTTAGAATTTCACCCGTGCCGTCGGTTTCTCCGAATCCAAGTTTTAATTAACTACGAAATGCACTGACGAGACACAAGAAATGGCTGCCCGGTGAATGGTGATTAGTTATTTATCGTGCAAACTCTATAACACATTAACGATTTCAATTTTTCTAAACACGCCTACAACACAGTGACCATAACTGATATAGGCTATATGAAAAACGCAGGCGCACTCGCGTTTTTTATATATAGGTAGTAGGTGCTGGCCACGCTACTGTGCAGATATAAAAATTTATTGAGTTTTTGCACTGTGTGGTTGAGGGTGCAACCCCCCGCCTCGTACACACGTGGTTCTGTTTAGTTTTCACCTATGGTTCAAACGTCATGTCGTGATAGCGTTATCGTCCATTTTCAGTTTAATTATGCTCAATGCGTCTCAAGATCTTTCATTGAGATTATATCGAGCTGCAAAAGCGCAGTTTTCAAAGAATGGGTAGCTGGTAGGATTGGAATGAGGTGAGAGACAAATAAATCATTACTTTAATAAGCATTTTTGTAAATTTTTTTGGGCATGGGCGTAACTAGAACGATAATTGGGGGGGGGGGGGTGGGGGGTGAACTTTCATATATACAGTTCTGCCAGACGAAATCCATCCGGTAGAACTTGATATATGAATATTAACCCCCCAATTATCGTTCTAGTTACGCCACATACTCCAGGGCTGCTGCTGGACATCTTAATTCGGGGGGGAGAGTGTACATTCATGTATTCATGTTTATATGAAAGGAACAAAGGAAATTAGTCAGGCATAAGATGAATATATTATTAATACAACCCCCAATCAAGCTTCTAGCTATGGCCCTGGGCATTGTAAACACCCACAACCTTTATGAAATTGACATATTCATAAAAACATCCTATGTTCTATCCTATGTTCTATAACTTCTATTTACCCTCTTGTAAACATACACAATTCCAAAACATCACAGCATTTGAAATATATACTCCATTATAAATTATCAAGATACAGACATACAGTTATACCCAAACCATGTCTTACATAAACAGTGGCTTACTGATACCTTGTTTCTCTTCTTATTGACTAATATGTGAATGAAATTATTTGGAAATGTACATCCTAGCTACAGCATTGATTGTTTATATTGAAGGGTCAAAAATGTAGAAAGGATCAACAGTTATGACAGCATGTGAACTGAATAATATATTAGTAGCATAACTGGTGCACCTTAATGGGGTGCCTTTGACCAGGATGGCCAGTTTTCTGAAGATGTGCCAGGATAAGCACCAGAATGTGGTGGTAGATTTGCAATGTCACTACCAAATTGGCCTGAAGGGGCAGTTTGTGGGAACTGCCCTTGGAATGGTTGAGCATAGGTGTACCTTGGCACATAGCTTTGATCTCCAAAATGTGATCTGGCTTCTGCATCACCAACATTCACAGGCAAACCTCCAACTGCCACGGCATAGCTTGGTGGGGGCATGTCAGGGTAGCCAAGGGTGGATGTGGTTGGCCCAAATTGTGTTGCCAATGGCTGTACTTGGTGTGTGTACCCTGCTTCCATCACCTGATTTTCAGCCAGCTCATAGGAACATTGTCTGCCAAAGGTTCGCTGAAAAGGTACGGTACCCATAGTAATACCAAGCAGAATTTTTGGGTTAAGCCCCATGGGCACTCTCACATCAAACTTGACATGGTAACTGACACTCACAGGGTTGGTGTTAATTGTTGGAGCAACTGGTGGAATTAGGAATGGTTGGTTATTCCATAAGTCCTGGCCTCTTGCTGGGATTTTACCACCTTCAAAACGTGTAATTGCTATTGAACTTCCTGTTGTATGTCCGTCTGCTGCACGGAACAAAATATTTTGTATAAGTGTCGCCCTCATACAACGCATTTCTCGAGTTGACGAGTTCTCACACAGCGCATTGAGGAAGATTTGCTCACCAGGACAATAGCCTGCTCTATCAAGACTTGCTTGCATGTTGAGGTTGCCAGATACACAACAAAGGCATCCAATTTGCTTCTCTTTGCTTCCAACAGGAACTGTTGAATACTGAGGAAGATTAATATCGATAATTTCATTGACAGTGAAGGGCTTTCGAATTTTATGATCAAACTTCCACGGTCGATCGACTTTTGCTTCTACGTAATAGCGAATGTGACCAGTGCCTCCTTCGAACGAACTGGGTAAAGGCGAGGGAAGTTTAAATAGAAATGGATAAACATGTATGCCAGGAGGATGCTGTACTGCTTTGGTTGAACTTCCTCCGAAAAGAACACCTTGTAAATTCACCAATAACTGATGGCCGGTGTGATGATCAGTTTCAGTTTTGGAGTTTCCTCTATTATCAGTCGTCGTCCTCGTCGTTGTCCAGTGGCAGTAAGAGGCTCCAACCAACACAACATTTATTTGTTTACATTTCATTGACTGTGAAACGTCGACGACAACATTGCCTCGTACATCTTCGCCTGGGTAGAACACCTCTTTGTTACCGTCAATTTCGACATAGAAATTCTGCAATTTTCTAACCATTTTGCCCCCTGCTTGTCAAACCAGAAGCAATCAAGGTGATTACGCCGAAAAGCAAGCAGTTACATCAGCCTACATGAATGACACATTGCGAAAACGAGTTTGATTTCCGGATTATTCGAACTTCTTTCATGCTAATTCTTCCGCATTTCAGACATTCATGAGTGAAAACCATTTATTTATCTCAGGGAAAATCACGACGACGTGGCTGGGATACGTCTTTAAATAAATGTTACGGCAAAGCGGACGTTATATATTATCCTATGATATTAAAATCATATTATCAACGTATGGTAGAGCCTGATTCGAGGTAACGCTCGCTGGGAGTGATGAAATGCAGACGTTCTACATAGGACGTAATAATGATGTTTTGCCGTTGTAAACAGAACTTAGGACGCGGCGTCTGAAACTCTCAAAGGTCTTTAATTATTCATTTCTTTTGAATGAACCATGGTATTTATAGCGCCTACATGCTTAAGCTGCCTATTACCACATGTCTCTTCACCTGGGTGAAGAAAAAGGTGGTGGTTTCCGTCCATTTCTATTTGGAAATTCTTCATCTTGTGACATTAACCACAGTAAAGGTTCACGAAACAAAAATTACGGCTTGAAGCCTTGAACTAATAATATAAGGTCACTTCCGGGGTTATTCCCAGGGTTGGTAGATTTTATGAATAAATAAGCCAAATATATTAACATAACATTTGTTTTCTTTGTTTGAAACAAAGGAATCAAAGGGCCGCCAATAACAATGTTTGGCTTATTTATTCAGTAACTTACCAACCCTGGTTATTCCGAGAAACTTCAAAAATTGCATGCGAAAGCAACTTTTCTGTCCACCAGACACACCATGGGAATTTACAAATCAGAATTATTTAAAATCCGCTTCGACTTCGTACATGCGTTTACGCACGGAAAAGCTCATATCTTTTTATGTATTATACTACTAGGAAATACTTCAAAACACATTGAAGGATAGCCATGTCAGGGTAGCCATTTGTGGATAAGATTGGCCCAAATTGTGGTGCCGATACCTGTATCCTGCCGGCCAAGCCCCCTTCCATAAATTCATTTCCTGATGTCTGATATGAACGTTGTTGACCATAGCCATGCTGAAAGGGGACTGTACCCATAGTTATATCGAGTGCCGAATTTTTAGGTTTTCCCCCATGGCCATGGAACATTGACTTCAAATATGACTTGGTAACTGACAGTCACAGGTTTGGTGCGAATTGTTGGCGGAACTGGTGGAATAAGGAATGGTCGGTTATTCCATAAATCCTGACTTCTACTTGGGATTCTTTCTCCTTCAAAACTCCCAATCACATATGAAACATCTACTGTATGTCCATCATCGAGGCGGTACAAAATTCTTTGTACCAGTGTTGCTCTCATACTGCGCATTTCTAGAGTTGAAACGTTCACACACAGGGCACTAAGAGAAATATGTTGACCGGGACTGTACCCTGATCTATCACGACTCGCTTGCATTGTCAAGTTACCAGCAACACGACAGAGATATCCAACAATTTGCTTCTCTTCGGAGCCAAAAGGAACTGTTGAATACTGCGGAAGATTAATATCAATAATCTCATTGACAGTGAAGGGCTTTCGAGTTTTATAATCAGACTTCCACGGTCGATCAACTTTTGCTTCCATATAGTAGCGAATCTGACCACTGTGCCCTTCAAACAAACTAGGAAGAGATGAGCATCGATATGCATGTCTTCCAAAAGGATGTTGTGAAGCCACTGTTGAACTTCCTCTAGCAAAAAGACGTGCTTGTTGATTTACAAGTAACTCGTAGCCATTGAACTTCTTGTTACGTTCTATACGAGTAAAAAAGTTCCCATGGCTATCTTTTTCCGGCATTTCCAACAATGCTTTCCCGCTATAACAGTAAGAGTACCCTGCCAATATAACGGTGATTTCGTTGCGTTTCATTGACTTGGCAACCTCGACAACAACAGCACCACGTATTTTTTTCACCTGGATAAAACACCTCTCTGTTTGAGTCTATTTCAACTTGTAAATTCTTTAATTTTCCTACCATTTTTCCCGTTTTGGCCAAACTGCAAACAAGTGAGAATTTAAAGCGTTATTGTAGTGCCGTGGTAAAAACAAGCGCTTTTCTTTTGGCTAATGTCAATTCATATGTCGCCTGTTATTGCCTGTATGACATAGTAAAGTTCTGGTGGCATTTCACTCTTCAGTGACTTTCCAAGCTAATTTTCCAAATTCCAACCATTCTGAATATTTTTATTCTAATTTTAAATCTAGAACTTTTATGATAAATAAGTAATGCGGTCAGATTAAAATGATGGGCTGGAAAGGTGCAAGAAGAGTAGGAAAGGCCGGCGGGTTTGGAAAAGGTAAGGGGCAAACAAATTATCACTTTTGTAAATAAAGCTAAATTAAAAAAAGCACATTTGTAAATTTTCTCCTATTCCTAAGGAGCAAAGTTCAAAGTTGGACGTTTTCTTCGCTTCTTTTGCTGTTACAAGTGAACCGCCGTGAACGACTGTCCAACAAACCCCAACAATGGAATGAATGAAGAATTCAAGAGTTATTTTCCTTGATAAAGGAATTCATTAATAATTTCAAAGACAGTTTATGGAGGTTAAAAAGGAGAATTGGAACGGAATTTTTGTGAGGTGGAAAACCTGGAAATAAAAATGGCGGTCAAAACGCGTGTAAGGTATGTTTAAAATGTGTACTTTTTGAAAAATTATACGCTGCGATCTACAAAGATAATACAAGATGCCAATGACAAGAAGCGCTGCTGCAGGTCTTAGAAAGTCTCTGGATAAATCAAGAAGGAGCGAGGATTTCGCTAATGGAGCAGACACAACTGTTAAATACATTTGGCAGGTTCGATTTTTTGTGAAATCTAAATTATGTCATTTTGAAAGTAGCGTATTTAAACATAACGAACTAGTTTCATTTTCTGTATTTACACTATCTACACACTATACTTATTAATGTGGTGATCACTGGTTATAGCATCCACTTTGGAAATTAAGCAAATTGCGTTTTTTTCTCTGAGATTTACAATAGCATGCAGTTGTGAAAGTGTACAGTATTCGTTATATATACCAGACGCAGTTACTCAGATATTTGCCCTAATGCAAACTTAACCTTAGCTAGGCATGTTTATCTTAAAAATATCACCTAGATTCATAGTTTGATGCAGTTTAATTGTGATTTTTAGTATTCTGAAACGCATCAACGATTCAATCCAGCCGAAATGAATGAATATATTGATACAAAAAGAAAGGAACGAAACCAAAGGTATATGCCACTTTAAACCAGAAACGTTTGATGGCTTGTATTCTAAATCATGCATGCCCATCTCTTGAAAAATGCCTATCTCCTTACAAAGTATTTAGGCACCTCTCTCTTATTGTATAGGTTATAGAGATTATAGAGGTTATAAGAACAGAAAGATAGCTGCTTTTGAAATGCACTTAAATGTAGTGGTGATTGATAACTGTGCTTTGCAAAGGCTAATGTTTCATTTTTAAAATAATTCATTGTTCTGAAGATTATTTAGCAAAACTCATCCACCTGAAGCAGATTCTAATGATGCACCTTCCACAAATGGTTCTGAAGAGGTATGTATTGTAAGAAGTCTTGTCTTATACTGAGATTGCACTTTTATTTGGTTGGCAACTGCAGTTAATATTATGTAATAAGACTATCTTGACTGCATCTGCTTAATTTTACAAATAAACACCACAAATTTGTTCCACAAACTGATGCTAGCCTTAAAAGCCTTGTATTTATTGGTTGCAATGCTAAGTCCATTTCACTGTGTTTATATTCATTCAACATCAGGTAAGCCTTGGTAGAAATGAGCAGAGGAAACAAAATATAAAAAGATGTATCCTTTTGCACTTTACATTATTTCAAAGCTTTGCATTTTGGTTGACAATTTGATCAAACCGACTGTGTTCATCACTGCAAACGCAACCAATCTGATGCGATGCCATATCAACTGTTATCAGAATTGTTATGAATTCAGTTACACTTAGCAGTAAAGCCTGGTTGAGATGTAGGTTATTGTCCAAACATTCGTATGGGAACTGTTTCTAGAATTGTTATGAATTCAGTAACACTTAGCAGTAAAGTCTGATGAAAATATAGGTTTGTTGTTCAAACATTTGTATTGCCATTTTCTTAACCTGGTGTTACAGCACTGAAAATGTTGGATGATGCTGTCGGCAGCCCCAGGCGAATGGGGTCACCCTTGCATCGTACGGTTGGCACTCCAGGGTCAATATTGAGAGGAAATCATCAACAAACTTTACCTACACTCAAGCACAGTTCCTGTAAGCATCCTGTTCACCATTCTTAGAATCTACAAAATTAAAATCATAACAACTCTTTGATTCAAGCACAAAACATTGTGGCAGACTTGTCTCTAGGTAGCCCAGAAGTATCAGTCATATTACGGTCCAGTGTTGTATATTGCGATCAGTGACGCACGCATGCAATTAGAGTGTATGTACCAGGCCTCATCATATCACTATAACTTTTTATCAAATGTGGTCTTTGTCATATTGGGGTCCAGTGTTATATATTTCGGTCAGTGACACACTCGCAACTAGAGTGCATGTACCAGGCCTCATCATATCACTATAACTTTTCATCAAATGTGGTTTTTGTCATATTGCGGTCCAGTGGTATATATTGCTGTCAGTGACACACACTCCCGACTAGAGTGTATGTACCAGGCCTCATTCTATAACTGTAACTTTTCATCAAATGTGGTTTTTTAGCGTTTCCCCTAATACATAAACAAGAGTTAAATCTGATGTTTTGGCCTAAGGACCTTCATCAGTAGAGTTATAACAAGTTACAGATAGCGTTACAAATAGCCTTAAAACTAATCTGCACAGACGTAATGAAGAAGCCGCCACCTTTTATCGATTACTACCGCAGAAAACAACTTTTCATTTTTTCAATTGTGCCGTTTCTTGCTTTTGTTTTCTCAGACACTCCAAGTGGTCGCTCGTCCTTAGCCGAAGGTAGTTTTGATATTCAGGTATGGCGATGTTTAGTGCTAGTAAATAACGCTTTGGTAATTGGGGAAATAACATTTAAAAAACCCTTTTATAGAACACATCGTATTTGAATATGGTTGGAACGACGCCAGGACGCTCCAAACTCGGCCATTCTGGAAGACATTTTGATGTAAGTCTCCTCAAGGCTGTGAACGAACGTTTCTTTAAAGCAGCACATAAATAAGTCGGAGAATATGATCATTAATTGACTGTGCTACCATCTTATAAACAATTTCCACCTCGTAATAAGAGGCTACGTGTAGCTTGGTACTATTTCTTGCACGTCAGTTACCGTGGGCTTTTCATACGTATTTCAGGCCAGTATTTCCCTCATGGATGACAGTGGTTACACAAAACCGGTTACTCCAACTGGTCAATATTTCATTGAGGTAAATGTGCTTTCCCTTAACTGTATTTTGCTGTTGATAGAGTGACAAATTTGGAGCAGGGGGGGAGGCTAGGGGGTAAGGGTGACAAACACTGGGTAAAAGTGGCAAACTGGGAGTAAAGGTTGCAAACTCGGAGAAACCATGGAGACTAAAGGGTATGGGTGACAAACACGGGGTGAAGGCGGCAAACAGGGACCAAGGGTGGGAGACTATATGGGGTAAGGCTGGCAAACACGGAGTAAGGGTTAAGAAAAGGGTGAGACTTGATAAGGTTGTTGGATGAAATCCGTTTAAATTACTGTCATTTTAGCATAATTATTCTAAATCATGTATTTGTATCAATGTTGAAATGCAATGTTCTCCAGGATGAGAGAACGACTGATATTACGAGATCGACGACGACTTACGCAGAAATGGATGCGGTCGAAACAGGTAGAAATATTGTTGGAATTTCGTGGAAAGCGCCTTTCCTGAATCAATTTCTTTTTTCATTGACATGCTTTTGTCCTGTATTAATTACTACATAAATGAAACAAACATTTAAACTGTCAAAAGGTTTTCAGCGAAATTTTGCAGTCAGCTCTTTCATTCTCGCAGCATTTGACGTCCTACTGGAAGGCTTCACCAAATGCCTCACGACGCTGACACATTCTTCTCAAGTTTTCCAATTGGTAGATGAATATGAAAAGGTTAGATTCTGGAGATGTTTAACATTTAATAGTAAATTAGGCCAGTTGGTCAAAACTCGTTCAAATCTGTAGTTTATTGAGTCGCAATATACATCATTTTAATCTGAAAAAACAGTGATGCTTGCAACATCGAATTTTGATTGTAAAATTGAGGTTAACTAACCAACAATGTATTATTTAATACTTGGTTATTCATGTGTTTGTACATTGTTTTCTAAGTTTTCGCTTTTCACAAAATCACTATTAAACATGACAATGCTTTTGTTTATGCTGTAGTTGTGTAGCGATACTGCGTCCGCTATTTACAATTTTGCCAGGAAAAGCACTCCTGGAAGAGCAAGGTATCGTGTACTATCGGATATCTAATGCATACCCCAAACGTAGCAAAGGTAGCAAAGCAAATCAAGTTCATTTTAAGAGTTTTTGTTTTGAAATTTCTCGCAGATTTTCCAAACGAATCAAACATATGGATGCTACAAACCAGGAGAAATACACATGGCGGCTTATCGGCTACTTATTCAGGTTAGCGTTTATGGGGAGGCCAGGGTCTTGACGCATACAAGAATGTAGTTAAAACTATTATAAAAGTTCGCTCAGTTCAACGCCTGTTCACACTTGCAATTTTTAGTGCCATTTTAGGAGGGATTCTCCTCCTGATTGATGTAAAGAAGGCCATATTTCCTTATAGGCATTTTCCCGCTTTTTATTTAGGGACAGACTAGAAAGAACTGATAGTAATGACGAAGATTTGTTTTCGGAGACCGTGAGTAAAGAAACTGTAAGTTGTCAAGCTCTGCTTAAATTCAACTTTTATAGAATTGAACTAGTTAGGAATGATCTATATACATTTATTTGAACGATTAATTTTCTTTTTCTTGTGAAGAATAAAAGCGAGAGGGAAATTGTTCTGGAATTGTACAAAAGAGAAGCAAGCACACGTCGTAATCAGGTACTTTGTGTAGCTGGTAGATAATGTGTCGTTTCATGAGAGTGTGTATAAACTGATCTCCTAATGCCCACTGGATAGACCAATCAAAAGCCAATTTGGGGCAAGGCTTTCACATTTTTCAACGTTTTTCAACATTTGCAAACTTTCACATTTTTCGACGATTCTGTTCGAAATCAAACCTGTTTGCTGTGAAAAGCAATGGATTTGATACAACATCATAATATACAGTATGTCTATCTTCGTATAATCCTAGTTGGTCATCGATTGGTTGGAAAAGAACAGCGAAGATTGGCTGGAAAATTTTATCGAGTCTGAAAATGTCGAATACTTTGGGAACTTCTATAACTGGTAACTAAATTAAACAAATGAACATGTATCCTATGACTTCCAGCGAGAATGCCAGGCACTACTAGTAATGTTAGGGTCTGTTCACACGATCCAATTTTGTTGGATCCAATTCACTTCTGGTGGATGTTTTATAGTTTGTTGCGTTGTAATGTATATCAGCAGCAAATCCACCGAAGCCAATGCAGTACTGCTTTATCAATAACTGACTATATTTCATACGTCAGAAGTGAATTGGATCCAACAAAATTAGATCGTTGAACAGATCTTTAAGTATTGATGTTACCATGATTTAATATACCTCTACTTTACTTTGTTTAACACAAGTTGATATCCATCGAGCACTTCTTTCCTTTCAGGGAAAACACTCTTCACTCGTTGGAGCAGTCTGGTCCGACGACCGCTCCAAAACGTCCCTTTGTAACAGAAATGGTAAGTGCTCTGCAGTGTTGTACTAGAAAACTGACCCTATGGAGATGAGATTTCTGTTGATAAATATGTTGGGGTCAAAAATATCTCTGTGCGTAGTAGTGTACTCATAGTGTATCAATAGTTGATCGAGGCTGACGAGGCATGTTCTGGAAACTCGGGTAAAGTCTTGTTCATGTTTATGAAAACTCGTACACGATTAAGGCATGCCAAAAGTGAAGCAATATATATAATATGTTGGCTCAGTCGTCCTAAAAAAAATTTAATTTTAAAAAGTTTGTGCAACTGATATGCTGTTAATACTCCTTCTTAGTTATTCATGAATGTTTTAAAAATTTACCGAATTTCCAGGTGCATTTTCTATAATATGAAACGGTTGATTTTAGGATAGAAATAAAGAAATTCCTCATCGATGGATGTCTATATACGTTATCAAACGTTTCTGATTCTATGTTTTGTTGGTTTAAAATGTTTAGGATCCAGACGCTCCGGTGAGACAAAACCGAGCAATCGCTGATCTGGACATAGTAAGTTTCCCCATTATATGTGACACCGATTCGTTGCAGGAGAAAAACTTCAGAACCAAAAAATTTTTATGTGCGAGTATCATCGACAACGAGCACTCCCTTGAGTTATTGCAACCATACACTAACATGTTAATATGACTCAACCCCCCTGACAGGCCTGACTTAAAATTCTCCTATTTTAGGAAGACGAAAGGCGTCTCTTGAAGCATTTGTTCGCTTATATCCGTGCTGGTAAACTACAGCAGGTAAGGGAGTTTTAATTTCATACTACCTCTCTGAACGAATCCCCATTATCTGACCCCCCCCCACTTTACTCTCGCTGACTTTCGCCAATGGTCGCTAACTCCCGGCAACTGTTGCATATCCTTGTCTAATATATGTTGTCTAATAATGGCTTTTTAAAAATCGTGTCGTAGGCTCAAGAACTTTGCATCAAGTGCGGTCAAGCATGGCGAGCGGCTACGATGGAGGGCTGGAAACTATATCACAATCCGAATTCCAACAACAAAGGTTAGTGTAAAAGCTTGCTCGGGGTACTTTAGGATCGAAAGGGGACGGGAGAGGGACAATAGATAATAGTTTGCTTTCGAGCAGACAATAAATTATAGTTTCTCCTTTTTTATAATCTTAGTTTGTACCTCACTAGTTTCAAAATGTTTCTGGTGTTGAGTATGACTTATATGCTGTTTAGATTTTGATAATTCACTTTAAGATTGTTTTGTTCAAAATTTTTAACTTTTGGCGGGAAAATTTCCTAGCTTCTCTACGGTTACGCGTGCTAATGTTGTGTTATAAAATCATTTGCCATCTAAAAGCTAAGACTGTAGATGAATGCCCGAGATTAATAATATTTAAGAAAGTCTTTCTAGTCTAGAATTACGCTCAACATCACTATATACACAGCTGTGCAAATGATCGTTTACTGTAGTATGCATATCAATATAGCTACTATATCTCGTATTATATTGTCACTGCAATTGGACTGAAAGATTATTTAAGGATGCTTGATATTCATGCGCGTTTATATCGATAACGTGGCTTAATTTGGGGCGAAATCTATCTTGACTCTTTTAAAGAAGCCACTTAAAGCATCCTTAATTTTCAACCGAGATAAACAATCCAATGGAAATGTTTTCAGAGTGGTTAGTTTATCTTCGATGGCGATAAAGCAATCTTTCTGCGTTCAAAAATAATAATACTAATTCATAGTACTTACATAATACTTAGCATCAAATGTGGTACAACAACTGCCTAAATAGACAAAACACTTCTCGACGTTTCGACCTGAGGGCCTTCGTCAGGAGAGTTAGTGAGGTTAGTAAGTTAGTAACTCTCCTGACGAAGGCCCTCAGGTCGAAACGTTATACCACATTTGATGCTAAGTTGTTTGAAGACGCTGCCACGCTGCTCTTTGGTTATATTGAAACTTAATTCATAATACATTAAGTCATTAACATTAATTTAACGTTGAGCACTAAAAATGATCGGCTTTTTTCCTAATATTGACTTTATCGTTTTTTCCTCGTGTTTCAAATTCGGCATCTTCTGCATGGCGGTGAAATTTACCTGGTATTATACAAACAACGTAAACTCCTGGTAAAATACAGCAATATTAAGTAGTGAAGAAACTTTGCCGTTCACATAAACCTTTGCCGTTCATAACAATTAATTTTTGTAAGACAAGGACTAAGGGAGGCATCTGGAAGACAACTGTTAGAGATCGTGAATTAATAGGGCAATGGAGCCTATATTAGGCTACACGTGCCAATATACTGTAGTTGTCACCCATCACAATTAATTGAGGAAGCTGTAAGTTGCACACTCAAGCTCAAATCTTGTACACACAATTTACATGCAAGCTATCGATAAAAATGAAACTACGCTAAAAACGATTAGTGATTCAGATTTTAGATTAAAGATTTATGTGGAAAGTCATAATTTGAATAGTTTTACATTCGGTTTAGTGTTTCATATCTCTGGGATAGTTTGGAAATCTAAGAATCCTCCTACTTTCTATATATGAGCTGTCTATCCAATTGGTTTTATCCAGATTGTTCGGAATTACTCAACCATCAAGATTTAGACATTAGCATTAACATATTTCCATACTATTTGCCATAATCTATACTACCATGGCGACCTCGAACAGACAGTGTTTAAAAATATTTCTTATTTATAATAGCAATACTTTTGCATCGCCAATTACAATGAAACATTGACAGCATAACGCGAGACTTTGAGCAAGTTATTTAACATTTAACACCTCAAGGTAGAAATGTTTACGTAATACTGCATCTATTTTAATCGACTTCCTGTCATTAATTGTGCATGCATTTATAATGTATACGATTTCAATTTTAATGTATACGATTTCAATTTCCTTGTTCCTCTGAACAGTGTGTTCTCAACCTGTACTATGACAAATGTCAACGTATCTTCGACGGCCTGCACATGGTCTTGGGATTTCATCATTCCTGTCACAATCTTATTCACAATAACATCGTTTCTTGTTTTGTTTGAAAACATTTTAATATGCGTAGCCGTGGTGTGCTCACCTTTGCGGGAAATAAAATCAAACTGGTTCCTTGTTGGTTTATCGGTGGCCGACATGTTCACGTCCATTACGATAACACCTTTGCAAATTTTAGAAGTTTGGGCTTCTCCCCACTGGCCACTCGGTGCCATTGGTGTGGACACTTATAACTCGCTGTGGAATTTCTGTCTGATTGTACCTTTCCTCACAGTCCTCGCCATAACAATCGACCGATTCCTGGTAATCGTAAAAGAACGCAGCGTGTTTCAAAAACTCAGTTTAAAATGGGTATTTATCTCATTGACTTGTATATGGCTATACAGCTGCCTCATTGTCGCTTTGCTCGCGTTGTCTTTCGACCAAGCACCCAGCAATGAATACGCCTGGAACGTTCCCTACGAATATTATTACCCCTTCCTAGCAATACATGTCTTGCTGCCATTGTTGATAATATGCTACTGTTATATACGGATTCTTATGACTGTTCGCTTAACTAGCCAACAATTTTCATCTGTACTAAGCTCTTCGTTCCCCTTGCCGAATTCAAAGCGTTTGTACGAAATCAAGCTTGCAAAGACAGTGGGTTATGTCGTATTGGCCTTAGTTGTTGTTTGGATTCCTGTGCTAGCAATGGAAGTTGTTTACGCTTTGGAAAGCGGCGACTCCTGTCTCGTGAAGAAAATCGGCATTTTCAGCGTTTGGTTAACTTGCACGAATGGCGTCATCAATCCGCTCATATATTCCATGCGAAGTAAACAGTTCAAGATCGTTTTAAAGAAGTTGTTGAAGTGCGACATCAGTGGTGTAAAAAAAGATAGAACATAAAATCTAGAATATTTTTCATCGGAAGAGTGACTTAAGCCTGGTGGTTTCCATATGACGCGGGCCTGTCGGCGACTCATTGTCTGTAATCATCCAAGGAGAAAATGATTTCAGAAAGACAAAAGCTAGATTTCACTCCAATAATATTTCACTCATCACTAATCATCGACAATAATACTTTGTCGGCGTCGCATGGAAGCCAGGCTTAAAGCCTGGTTTCCATATGACGCCGACGTCGGCAAAGTATTATTGTCGGTGATTACTGATGAATGAAATCTTTTGTCTTTCTGAAATAATTTTCTCCTTGGATGATTACAGACAATGAGTCGGCGACAGGTCGGCGTCATATGGAAACCAGGCTTTAGTGTATTGGTTAAAATTGTAATTGTTAGCCGTCATAGAAAATAAAGATTTTCCAGAAACTTTGCAGTTGAAAACTTTTAAGTTGAAAGCATTTACACGATGAGCTTATAATTGGCGAGACTAAAGATAGCGTTCAGCGACTATGTAGAGATCTGTGACGAAGAAGATTTTGAAATTTAAAACCTCATTCTCCAGAAGACGGTCGACGGATATCCTTCTCTGCTTGTAGCCCGTGAGAAATCATGAAAAGTTATGGGTAGATGAAAGTAGACAACAGTTTGAGACTTCTATCTTTTTGTGGAAAGTGATCGATTGTCATTCCAGGAACGCGGACGTTTTTCCAATTTATTTTTTTCCATTTTATGTAGGCGGGGGCCAAGTTGGCTCTCATAATATTGCAGGAACTTTATAACTATGAAAATGTGCAAAGTTTTATTAAATTCTTAAAACAAATTCTCGCTGTATTGCTGGTTGTTTTGACTGCCGTATTTGAGCCAATCAGAGTGCGTAACAGCTCATATACAGCGGGTAGCTATATTATTTATTATAAGTACAAATAGCCTCCACATTTTATTTACCAGGGAATTTTAGAATGGCATGCTATGTTTCAAGGCTTGACATGCGCCAAAGAATTTGTTTGTTTCAGGAGATTTTTTCTTGTAATTAATTTGACGTTTTCAAGAATTTGTTGCAATATTTCCAGGAAAAACTAAAGCGGCGATTGACACCGAAGCACTCCTAATATTTACCAAAAACTCTTCAATCTTCATATTTGTCTGTAAACAAGGGGCCAGTTGATCGAAAGGCGTTTAGCTCAAACGGTGGATAATTTAAAAATTGGAGACCAAATTATCTATTTATTGAACAACTGAGCTGAAATATTTCGATGTAAATAGTTTAATTTTCAATGGAAGTACACATTAAATGCATATGCTGGAGGTTCAGTCATTCACAAGATATATGAGAGTATTTTTGAACTTTGGCTTATCCACCGTTTAAGCTAAACGCCTTTCGAACAACCGACCCAGCTGGAAGATTGAGCGATCCATCTTTGTCTTTAGACATAACTGACAACGGAAAAATAGAACCTATAGTGGGAAATCCCAATCGTGATATTTGGAAAAACTGCTGTTGGAATTTAAGTGAACAGGTATAAAAAGTCCATGTGAAAAATCTGAAATTGAATATCGGTCGGCTTCGCTTTTTGACAAACATGAGAATAACGTGAAAATATCAGGCATTTCTGTGGCTTTGCTTCTGTAAGAAACTCATCCAACTGACGAAACATTTTTTACTTCGTTCAAAGGATTGCTACAATGTCTACGAGAGGGCGATCTATTCAACTCTTGGAGGAAATTTACGTCAGGTAATATTTTACGTAATAGGATCTTCACAGCCGTCACTCTGAAGCTGGATTTCCACTTTCAGAGAAATGGTTAGCCAGTGCAATATTTGCATTTTTTTCTTTGAATTGAGATCAGTCAAGTTGCGCGCTTTTTTATTTGAAATTTACAAGTAAACATTGAATACCAGCAACCATTTCTGTGCAGGCGAAAACAACCCGACATTCGGGGGAGAGGGAAAAACATTCGGGGGGGGACAAGAGAACGCGAGTAGTTAAGATAATCAAACATTTCATTTTGTCAGCGAGCTCAGGAAATTTTATCACTTTGCCATTTCATTCTATCAAGCTTCATCCCATTTTTATAACTCCCTTTAATTTGCATTCCTTTATTACCTTTTTTGTCCCCTGTTATTGATAATTCCTTTTTTTCAGATATTACCTGCGTGCATTTCGTGGGAAGATTATTTGTGGGCTTATTTCAAAGTCATGGTGGACGTACGGGTGGAACAAGTAAGTTTGATTTCTTGTTTGTCAAGCTTTTCAGTAGCCAAGAACTTCACCATTGTTTAACACGGATGAAAAAACAAACGCGTCCTGTATAAGCATAACGTTTCCTTGATAAATATTTCGAATATTAGTTGTAGAGAAGTGTTTTTAAACTATACCGTAAAAAAATAACGTTTTAAAACATTTTACATACTTGGCATTTCTACTTCAACAGGAATTACCGAGAATTGTCCTACGCGTATTATTATTTGCTGACAGCTTTTCCTGTTTTCAAGGCAAATTTCTATGACAAGTGCATTTGTTGACAAGAAAAAGCTTGACAAATGATTGTGTATGGATGAGCCGGCGAAAATCGCCTGAAAAGTCAATGAAAACGTTTTGTCGTGTTAGAAAAGTTTGCTCGCCTGCATGTAAAGACGGCAAAAAACGGCAGAATTGCATTCGCGAATGTCTTTAATTGAGGTTTCGTTTCTCAGTCACTTAGTCATGTAGCGCGAACATATCGCTACCATTGCATGGTAATGTAATAAAATCTCCATTTCCAGACTAACTCAGGAGAAAATATTTAAAGAGCTTCATGGCAGCAAAAATGAGGTACAGTTCTTTAGAGTATTGCTTTCCTATTCATTTCAAACGCGAAAATCTATAGCAAAATCATTTCATTGTCGCTTCGTTTTTTAAGGCCGTACGGGAAGCGTCAAACACACAGTTTCATGTCATACAAAAATACATCATCCTCAATGATATAGATGGTAAAGATAAACTACTTGAAAAGAAAGTTAGACGAAAATTCTCGTTCGATCAATAAATTCCGCCTAATGGCAAACGCTCTGAGTGCATATTCTGTTCTATGCCTAAGTGCATTGTCTGTATAGGAAAATATTCTACATAACCTGTAATAAAAACAACATAATATTCTGTTCTTAGGACTTCTAGAGGAGGTGTTTGAATGGCTCAATGATCAAGCATTGCCTTCAGACATGCTGAGGTTCATGGTAAGCCACCTTAACTATGCTTGTATAGCAGAATGAATATAGAATCTCGTTGAAAGTTCGTTTATATACGATCCAATTCGCTTTTGATGGATGTATTGTAGTCCGTTGATTTGTAATGTACACATGCAGAAAATCAGTAGAAGCAGATAAGGTGCAGTTTATCTATTAACAGACCACTTTCCATACGTCAGAAGTGAAGCAGAAAATGATTTGTACTTTCAACTGTTTGAAGTTTTTTATTTGCTCAATTTAGGCTCATTTTATATTGTTCCTAAGGACTGTTGGCATGGAAACAAAAGTATGTACATAGTCTGAAATAGCATTTGTTCTTCTTTCCTGTTCCTTCAAATCGTTTTGAGACTTCGAAGTAAATAGTTGGCTCATAGTTATTACAGTAATTCAGGCTTTTCTTAATTAATACTTGCTATTGCTGTTGTTTTGACGGAGTCTGGCTGATCCTCACTTACTTTACAATGTTTCCCTTCCACATCCCAGTGTCGTATACAGCTCTGTTAAGTTAAAAAGACTATTTTGTAAATTCTGTATATCCTTCTCTAGGACACTATGTGTGTATCAATTTTGCAGTCTTTTGTTCAGGTGCGTAAATGATAAAGCATAAGGGTGGATTTCCACTTACAGCGAAAGAGTTCGCTAGCGAAATACATGTATTTGCATGTTTTCTTTTGAAATAAATGGGTCCGTACGTACCTATATATGAACAAGCTTTGCTATTGGTTGATGATAACAATAAAACACAATGAACTATAGAAATTGTTTTCTAAAAGAACGAATCATAAACACTGTTCACTATTGTTACCAAAAGCCAATCACAAAACTCGTTCGTATTTTAGTTCAACTTGACCATTCTCACTTCAAAAGACAATATGCAAATATTTCGCTAGCTAACCATTTCTCTGCAAGTGGAAATCCAACTTGGAGTCGATCAGCATCATAATATGCGCGATAAATAGGCATTCTTTCACATGGAAGTTTAGCCATATTCATTTCTATCACTTTCTAAAATCTCCCTCTAGTTACTGATAAAAGGCAGGCATTTGAAGTTAGTCGCAATTTATACGAGTCATCTTCCAGCTGATCTCCAAGTCACGCTTTATGCACAGTTTTTGGAAGGTATGGTGGAAATTATATTCTCGAAAATTTTCCTGTGAACTGAAAAATTGAATCCGTTAACCTAAGACAGCAGGTGACAGTGGGTCCAATTCAAACCAGGTGTCATCAACCAACTTCCAATGCACTTAAGTCTGACAATTGCCACAAGCTTTTTAACAAAAAGAAATTAAGATCATTAAGGCAATTTAGGTAAAATGGGAGGTGAAAACATTTGAGGGGGTCTTTTGAACCGAGCCTAACCATCAATTCTTGAACTGATCCGGAATCATCGATCGCTATAGATATCACTGATAAAAATGAAAGAAAACTTTGCTTCGAACTGGCTGAGTCCTCTGGCCTGGATATTGCAAGCATCACCAAGACTGTCGTGGAGAACATTCGTGGCAAGGTCAGTTCTGACATTATAGCTCTGTAATTTTTGTTTTTCTATTGATTATAATCCGACGGTGAAATGGCGAAATAACCAACAGGATATCTGTTTATCGTCGTAGGATGATTTTAAGATACAAGAAGACTCCGCTCTTGAGGCTGCTACAACTCAGGTAGGAACTGTATGTGCTTGGTTTGATCCAAGAATCAAATCACTGTAATGGTGTCCTGATTTATTGTAAAATACCTCGCTCCATAGCAATTTCCTCTTGTTCAATAATGTGTCTCATTCTGATAAGTATGTCTCCATGTACTAACTATGTACTAACTTTTGTTGTAATGTACCAACTTTTGTGCTAATGTACCAACTTTTGTACTAATGTACCAACGTGTGTGGCAATGTACCAACTTGTGTGGTAATGTACCAACTTTTGTAGTAGTGTACCAACTTTTGTGGTAATGTACCAACTTTTGTGGTAATGTACCAACTTGTGTGGTAATGTACCAACTTTTGTGGTAATGTACCAACTTTTGTGGTAATGTACCAACTTTTGTGGTAATGTACCAACTTTTGTGGTAATGTACCAACTTTTGTAGTAATGTACCAACCTGTGTGGCAATGTACCAACTTGTGTGGTAATGTACCAACTTTTGTTGTAATGTACCAACCTGTGTGGCAATGTACCAACTTGTGTGGTAATGTACCAACTTTTGTAGTAATGTACCAACCTGTGTGGTAATGTACCAACTTGTGTGGTAATGTACCAACGTTTGTGGTAATGTACCAACTTTTGTGCTAATGTACCAACTTTTGTGGTAATGTACCAACTTTTGTAGTAATGTACCCCTCTTTAACATGCATTGCCTTCTTTAATAGTACACACACTCTTACACTAAATACCTCTCTCTAACGTTTTGGAAAGAGGGATTTCATGTTCAAACCGTTCTCCTTTAACCCTGCAGGAGGACAGAAGAAAGATTGAGGCCATAGAATGGCTGATTTTCGATCCATCTCAGCGGGCAGAAGCCATCAAACAGAGCAACGCTATAATGAGATGCTTTATAGGTGGGTATTTGCAGCCTCTTTTGAAAGAGAACTATCTCCAGGCTAGAAAAACGCATCTCAAGCCACCGGGATGGTGGTAACCGAAGACTCATGTTGTTTTTTGCAGCGCTAAAAAAACACGAGGCAGCTCGAAGTATATTTGAAAAACTTCCCGAGGACTCAATCGATGTCGTACATCGTCGCTGGCAAATGAAGGTGAATGTCTAGAGATGTGGAAATCTTAGCTTTTAAGTCAGAACACTTAATAAACTGACATTTTCTAAGGTGTTACCCAAAGCTGGTATTCCCTACCTTATCGTTCCAGTTTTTATAGAGTTCAATGGCAGCAGCTCAGATCAGCTGAGATAAGATAGCATGTTCTAAGGGCCTGTTTACATGGAGCGGGTTATCCTGGCTAGGCGAGGTGAATACTGCATATGATGAAAGACTAATCAGGTTAAGCCTTTGATGTGATGCGCTTTTTACCTCGCCTAGTCGGGATAACTCGTCCTTGTAAACGGGCCTTAACCTAATCTTTGAATTGCGAACGTTTGAATTGTTGTTTTCTAGGCTGGTGACTCGCCCCTTACTCCTCAAGATAGTAATTCAGTCCGCGAATATCTTTGTATAAAGGCGTATCTGGTATGTTCTCTTTTCTGTGCTATGTTTTTAAAGCTGAATACCATGCAGATGTCTCGCGCTCATTTTTTACCCAATCACTGGTCAGAATGATTGTCGAGATGGACTTCACAACCTTTTCCCGCGGTAACAAAATGCCCATTTTTGAAGAATAAAATATGCATTTATTTTGATAACTTCGTGTTGTTAAGGATGCCTTAGAAACCTTCGATGCGTGGTTTGAACATTTTCATCGGAATGCTCCGGTGAGTAATCGTTATTTTCCGTTCAGAACTCGTGAAAACGTAGCCCGAAGGCAGGCCTAGCCTCCTAGGTTTAGCCGAAGTCAAGAGTTTACACGGCACGAGGAAAATCTAGGCCGGAGGCAAAGCCTTTTACAATAAATAACTGACAAACTCGTATTTACCTCGCCAGAAAGAACCAAAGACGAGAGGGGCCGTTTCGTTCACGCAGAAAGTCGCTTTTGAACAAGAATTAAAACATTACCAGGTTTGTTGAAGTTGAGTTTCATCTATATTTTCACACATGGGATGACAAAGGAATGTTTGGCCCTCTCTCATCACTACAGTCCACTATAAGATGTTTGCAGTCGCTTAATTTAGTTTATATGATTTAGTCCGTTTTGTTGGCTTTCTTCTGATGCTTGAACAACAGATTTTAAATCACATGAAATCCGTGAATTTTTAGTGCATACAATTTTGTTAGCAAACCACCCTCGTTAACTGAAAAATTCTGTCGAAAGATCGTCTATAAGCTGATAAGCAATAGGCCTTTGGGCTTTATATTACAAAATTCGGATCGGTTAATCGCTACAACTATAGGCAATAGCTTTGAGAATGGTTTCCATCAGGCGATATTATTATACGATGAAATAAAATTTTTCGCTCTATCTTTTCAATTGCAAGAGCCGACTGAAGCTAAGTTACATTTACTGGGTCGGTACCTACCTACACGAACAAGCTTTGCTATTGGTTTATGATAACAATAAAACACACGACTTTCAAAAGAACGAGTCGTTAACACCGTTCACTATTGTTACAAAAAACCAATCACAAAACTCGATATTATACTTACTTGATTTACTTGGCCGACAGTGTGTGGTAAAGGTTTTAATTAACAAGATCCGAGCGAATGCACATATAGATAGCCCTCACCTGATTTTAATAATTACTACATTAAAACCAGGAGGGGGCAGTCGAACTTGATTTGAGCGGCTTTGGTTATGCATATGACCGATAACAATTGAAAAGAAATTGATCGAAAAATGTTGTCTAATGGAACCCGCCGTAACATAAACAACATTATACAAATAAATTCTAAGTTGAATATCGATAGAAAAATTACTTTTTGGTGTTCGGTTAAAGCGCTCGCGATAGCAAGACGGTTATTTAAACTTGTGGTAAATATTTGATGCTCCTGCATAACATCTTTGGGAACTATTTGTTGTTCAACAGTGCACAGTCTAACTAACTCTGTCTATCTCAGCGGTGAAGCGCTCCGCGAATTTTTCCATATGGTCAATTTGTCTTAATTAATACGTGGGATGAGCGTTTTATTGCTGTGAGAACTCAACAGCTAGCGGAGAGATACACTTATCATGTCTGCCATTAATTTTGCAATTATCCACTGAGGTGATGGAATAGATAGTGTTGTAAAAATAGAAGCGCTTGCTTCGAGAATTCTTTTGTATTTCAAATCCGAATTTATCCATTAAGATAACGCAATTGCGCAATTCAGTCCGTGGAATGACAGTTTTCCGTCGTCTGACGCTAGATTCACGAGATCCAATAAAAATACTACCAAGATATTAATGTTCTCCAACTTTTGTCATGAATTGTTTGCGTTTGCGTTTGTTTTTTCGTGAAAACACAAATGGAAACGTACAAAAAGGCTGCCGTGTGTACGCGTGGTCTGAATTCTCAGGCACTTCAGATGTCATGTTGTAAATGTGATAGCGTGATTGTTATTGCCCTATTTAGGTGAAATATTTTCGGTTGGTTTGAGGCTTGAGGTTGGTTTCCATTAAATCGTGATTGCTCGTGAACAAGTCATCTTCACCGATGTAAAAAGGTGTGAAGAAAATGTGTTGACTGCAAACACGTACAGGGGCAGGCCGATTGAAAGTTCATTAAAGGGGGGGGAGGGGTTGTGTTCACAAATTTTTGCCCCCTCAAATCTCATTGGGTCTCCCAATTTATGGGTCAAACACATAACTTCATGTGGGTCGTGGGACGTGGAGTTAAACAAAAACATCCGAGAGATAACTGCTGCCAACTGGAAGATGTTTCATAAAACTAATTTTCACAATCACAACTAAGACAGCTGTTTACACGCTACCTGATCTTCTCAGCTTCGTTTGCCGTTATAGAGCAACGATTAGTAGAAAATACTTATTAATTTGATGGATTTAGTTTATTTTGTCAGGTTTCTGGCATTTAAAGCACTTTTATTACCTGACACTTTTATTGACCGCTTTCGATAGCAATCTGGTACTTTGTAAAAAGACCTAAATGAAGACCAGCCCTCAGAGCCTAAAGCGAACCTCGCACTTCTCATGCGCCAAACGCATTAAAAAATAGATAACGAGTTATTTTTCAGCTTATTATCTATTGTTTTTAATGACTTTTTTGCTTTGCAATTTAGGCGGAAAGAGACAGATGGGAAAGAGCTTTGGATCTGCATACAAAGGTATATTAAAATTCTGCGATTAACGATATGATATGATCAACTTTTGTATTCTTTCGACCACATGAAATCTTAAATTGTGTGAGTATACTGCAATTTTTTGTTTCAGGAAACGTCCCATCGAATATACAACGTTCTTTTGTTCCCTGGTGGTTGGATGATAGACCTTGATGAGGTGGGTTGAGTAGAGGTAGAAGGTGTCGTTTTTATAGATTTACCTGATTGAAGTAGGATCTCTAGGAGTAGAAGGTGTACTTTTTTAAATCTGTCCCTTTGAGGTGGGATATGTATGGGGTGGAACGGGAGTTTTCTCGATCTAAGAGATATGAATTTTAGCGGGGGGGGATAGTTTTATAGATCTAGCCGCGACTGAGTTGGTCGTGGGAAAACTATTAAAAAATGACTATCATCAGGTGATATAGTGTCGAGTTGAGAAAAATAAATCTGATCTGATTTGATTTGGGTAGAAATGTCTGCATTTATATTTATTGATATTTCATAAGTCACAAAATTATTTAAGCAGAGCATTTCATCAGTACCGCCCCGTACCAATAATGATCGCTTCCTTAGTATTTTGGGTTAGTGTTACCTGCAAGAACCTAATATTATTAGAAACTAGCTGGCCGAATTGCGAGAAAATGCTTGTCGTTTCAGGAGGACACTCCAAGAGAATCAAGAGCACGTCAACTTGGTTTACTTCGCCAGCTGTGCATACCTTTTCTGACATTCCTATTGCAAAGCGTTCTTTCCTCTGCCAATGAGCACAAGCAATGCCTGCAACTGGCAGATATTATTGCATCATCAAAAACCGCCTTGTATCAGGTAAACTTCGTCATTGGCGTGTTATGATGTTCGGAGTCTTTAAGACTGGTTTCCTCTCAGGAAATTATCCCTGGATAATTTTCTCAGGAAAAAAACAGCCTTCACACGGTTGTAATTGGTTTCACCAAAAGCAATCCGATAATACACTGAATATAGGCGAAATATCAGTTTATTTGTGAATCGTTCAAACGATTACTTGAAGCATTTTTTTTCTCTAAAACCGAAGATTGATAACTATGAAGTTTTTGAACCGTGAACGTCTTTGACCATCAGATTTAAAGTTCCCTATAAGGCTATAACTGAGCTCATCATTTCCGGGGGTTGATATTTCGTTAAATTCCAATCCCATTTTTTATAACATTAGATACTTTCTAAATATTCCAATTTCCTATTAACCTCCGGGATAAACTTTTCCCGCCTTTTTCATGTAGTCTAATCTGTCTAAATTTCACAACACTCGAATCCAAACGATATTTTTTTCAGGTGTTTCGCAAAGACGAACTACGCAAGCTTCTCTCTTTGCTTCGACAATCTTCGATTGAAATCCTGGAAAACCAGATTGATCCACTGGGATATGAAATGAAGTGAACAAAACAGGAATTGACGGTTGTATAATATACGTACTTTATTGATACATGTAGTTTCAAATACTTAATATCTAGGCTATTTTTTATAAGATCAATTTAAAAAGCACTGAATGACCTGGTCTGGACGTACTGTTTGAGAACTGCAAGACCGCGTTCTTTCCGCGTGTTAAAAAAGTAATGAACGTGTTCTAAACGCGTGTTAACACAACACTCCGCGTGTTCACGGGGCATTGACCGTGTCTTAACTGCTGGTAATGACCGAGTTCTTGGAACGTGTTTACACGAGATAATGACACCTTTTTTGCTGTGTGCTGACGACGTTTTCACCTCGTTCTGCCCCCGTGTAGGCGAAGTGATGTACGAGTTTTTATCGCGCTTTAGCGAAGCACTGACCACGTTCTTATCCCGTTTTAACGAAGTACTGACTTCGTTCTTACCGTGGCTGTTGACGAAAAACTGACCGTGTTCTTTCAGCGTGTTATAACTGCGTTTTTGCTGCCTATGGTTTTGAAACTTTTTATACAGTGATGAGAGTTATAGCCTAACCAAAGTTTAGCAATGCCAGACAAATCTTTTTGTGGAAATATTTTTTTACATGGCCATGGGGACAAAAAACTTGAAAACATGAAATGTTCATATTCCTCAGCACATGTGTTTATATGCATGAGTGCACTCAAGGTGTGCTCTGATCTACAGGTGAATATTACTGCTGGGTTCACAGTCCACTGGGTTCTCAACAATTTTATAAATACTAATGCAAATACTAACCAGGTTTTACTGGTGTCCCATTGAAGCATCTACTTTGAAGTAAAGGAATCTTGTAATGGTTGTTGATCAACCATTTCATTGTGATATGGTGGAGATGTTTGTTATCAGGTTCTGACTACAAACCTGAATTCACCTATATTGTGGACCTTGACATTATTTTTATGGAAGTGAAGAATTTGAGTGTTATTTGTTTTTTTTCACTATTCACACAAGAAAGTGCAATGATGACTGATTTTGAACACAATCATCCAACAACTAAGCTAAAATGTATGTACTGTTTAAAGCCTTCAAAATTAAAAAAAAAAACATAGACACTGAATAGTTTCCCCACACAACCAGTTGCCAAGTATAAAAGTTTAAAAACACAACATGGTAACTGTTGAACACCAAGTTTGAAGTTCGACCTTATTTAGGCTTCAATAACTGCATCTTCTCAATCAACAAACTTTTCTCTAATGCTCATAGTACTTGGCATAGATCTGTCTTCTCATTTCTTCCTTGACTTTCTGCCATTCCTCATTGTTGCTTGAAGTTGGTATGGTAGGCCCAATTATCAGTTTGTTTTCACGCCACCAAAACAAATAACTTGCAACCTTGTCACCATAGTTACTGATAGAGTTGCTGATGAAGCGATGGAGGAGCTCATCAAGTTTATTAGATTTGTATGCTTTCTGCAGCATCTTTTTAGACATGCCCATAGTATTTCTTGGTGGCTGGGAGCGAGTTGGGTCTTCAGCTAGAGATACATCAATCCTTATGGCTTGATAGAGTCCAAGCAATATTACCAGAGCTGTATAACCTTCTCTTGGATTAACGTCTTCATGGTAGTCAGACATGCTTTGAAAACCAAATTGCCACCAGACTGGATTGGTTGAATCTGGGAACAGATCTATTGCACAGAAGTGGAATAAGTGGTGAACCTCGCTACCTGCTGGTAGACAATTCCGTTTGTGCTGCGGCCAGTGGGCTGTTTGACATCCAACTGAACAGTATTTGTTAATCTTACAACGACTGCATGTTTTCACATCTTCGCGATCTCTTATGCAACCAAAACACGACATCGCATAAAACAAAGTGAAAGTAACAACTGACAATAGTAAGTATATAACAATTAACAACTGTATGACATTATATTTTCATCTAAATGAAGTACCCCGGTTGTGCACCTAGATGGGGACGCTAAATAAACTGGAGCAGTAACTATGCATGTAAACATGCTCATACTTGCCTAAATCTACTTATAAAAGCAATTCTGTATTCTTTGAACAAATGAAAACTGAATTAAGCGATGTACTCCGCTATCTATTATTTTATTTGGACCATAATTTTGGCATTACAACTTCTAAACCAGTTCATGATGATTTGTAGTAGTAACAATTATATTACATTCATTTGATTACGTGGTTACATTTTTTCAAATTGGTTCTGCTTTGCAATAAGAATTATCTTCTTTTTCTAATAAAACATTTTGTTAGACAAGAAAAAAATTTGTTCCCATCCTAAAAAAATATACTTTGCTTCATATCCAAGCGCTCATTATCAGAGGCAGATTGGTAGTCAAAAGATGGATAAAGTCACAGTATAGCGAGAGAACAATAGGGCAACTTCACTATGCAACCCGGTGATCAGTTATTATCTGTTGATTTAATTGATAAGTTATGGCTGCCGTTAGCCAGCTCAATGTTTTGATTGGCTCGACATGCAATTGACTGGCTGCGAATATGGTAATGCCATGCCTAATAATATATGGGTGAGACAATTTTTTTTCTTACTTAGAGTGGTCGTACTGTTTATTCCCCATTCCTTATACTTATCTACCGGATAGCGTTTGTTTGAAACGTTGACGCCCCCGAATGACACGCACGTATTTCATGACCACTCCCTTTCGATGGTGATGCGGTACGGTTGTACCATCGAATTTGAGATATCTACCTACCCGTGGGTTTCTCAAAAAGATTTTCGTATTTTGGATGAATTCACGGTGGAGATGTACCCGACACGCCCCTCAGGATGTGCGTTGAAGAGGCACTTTACTTTCACGTTGGCAAACAATATTTCATTTTGTATCTTTGTGTATTTTTGTTCACCATGAGTGATTATGTTAAGGCACTTGAGATAAAGGTCACCAACGAAAATAGACATTCCTCTTTGAACCGTCAAATAGAGTGAGTACTTTATTATTATATTTATAATTATCGTTCTATGCTCTTGTTCAATGTTGGAGACTGGTTAGATCTAGGGATTCGATATCCACATTAACAATATGACTTGACTAACAAGTTAATCTGTGACATAAACGCTGACGCAAATATCATCTTTCGACTTTCCTGCCACAGCTGGCCACATGAATGCTGTTTCCGAATTTAGCTTTAAATTCCGGTTCTTGAGCATATTGGCACTATTTATAGCAAAGTTGGAAGTGAAATCAGCTTGATACTGCCGAATATGGCCATTATGATAGGTTTTGTGGAAGCCTAACTTCGGCTCTGAAAGCCCCACGAGTCGCGAGTTTCCATCTCGTGGTTACACGTGATGTGATACACGTGTTCTTGCGGCAAAATGAGCTTCATGGTTCTGGCAGTCAAAGCACGCAAAAACACAACTCAAATTTTCCTGTTTGCCGTTTGCGATATTGCTTTCCAGTGATATTCGAGGTCACATTAAGGTGCGCATTATTACCTCTGTAAAGCCCCTGCGGGGGAGAGCGGGGGTTTTGATATCCTCCCATCTGTTAGTAGACTCCTTTTTGCGAACCTGCTTGACTTGCGTTGACAAGAAACGCCTTTGCAAATTGCGTCAAATGTTTGCATAAAGCTCATTCCATAAAGTTTGTTTTTAAAAACATTCTTCTAACATTAACTCTCAGCGCGCATTGGGTGCTGGGTCATTTCTTGCGAAAAGAGATAACTTGCGTAAGAAAATCTACTTGCTTTTGCCCTAAAGGCTAAAAGAACTTTCATGATTCAAAATCCCATTCGTTCAAAGTTGAAGGTTTGTAGTTTTGGAAGGGCAACTTATTGAATTACCCCGGCCACTAGCTGTGTTAACATAACAAAGAGCTTATTGTTACATTGCGCGCGTTAACACCCATAAATCGTGCGATTAATTAATTTATTTTTGTAAACACTTGTCCAATATATGAAAAAATCCCTGTTCATCGAACGTCCGTCCAGTCATCCGTACGTCCGCTCGAAGTGCATGCCGACATTACGAGCTAACATTGTTTATCTCTTTAAGCTGGTTTTACTTCATACGTGTTACGGTGGTCGATATGCAAAGGTTAAACATTTGAAAAATTCACCAGACCCGAGGACAAGGACATTACCAAAACCTGCCATCTTTACTGTCAGCACTTGGGCAAATATTTCAAGAAGAATTTCATTAAATCTTGATTTGTACACTCGCTTTCATATTTACACTCTCTCGTGTTGCGACAGTTACATGTGGCTGTTGTTGTTTGCCGAGAAAAGGCGAGCGTTTTACCGCGGGAATTTGGCTGGAAAAGAGCTTGTTGCCAGAGTGTTGACCAAAGCCGGGGAAAACAAACTGATCAGGTACGTCATTAGGTAAGATCGTCGAGATTAGGAGCGTGAAAAACCGTATTTTACTGGACGCTACCTAATTTGATGGTCGCAAAAGCTTATCAGGGCTCCCTGACATAGCGGATTGTCTTGGGCCTGTTTTTCGACCATGGCGACTCGCATGTGGCGAACGCGTTAAAAACAAAACTGATAACGGTGGTATTTTGATTTACGATCTATTGTTTTTGTCGCTTTCGAGTCGAAAATTTCGACACGCGGAAAATGCGACGGTTGAAATTCGTCTTGGGTGACCATGCAGGGAAACCTGATGCATGTATGCACTGATGGCTGGCCAAGCACCAAACACAATTCTACTCCAGTGAATAAAGAAAGCAGAAATGCAGCTAACGGTGCCCACCTCCGTGCCAAGCTTAGTTTAGCCCGCCATGTAAAGTTGGTCGTAAAAACCGGTAGTATTTAAAAATTAATTTGATACAGGCATTGTTCTATAGATAAAATGAAATCCGTGTTGAAATAAGTTGTTCGCTTACAACTGACGTTGGACAAGACACTCGGAAGCGGTTTGTCAGCCGCAAAAACGTTTTCTTTCTTCAACTCTGTCATTGCATTTAACGCAACAACCTAATCCCGTATGCATGATTATTAATTTATTATGAGGGCTCACGCGAGGTAAATTAAAATTCTCGGAGACTTGTCTTGTACCCTTCGAGTAATGGCCCCATGCCATAGCTATGGATGTGCTTGAGTTTACTACAACGTCAGTGATAGGAAATTAGGGAGCGTGATATAAGGATGTCTGCGAGAACACATTAAGATCGAGATTGGCGCTATGGAATTATGCTTAATAAAAAATGTCATGATTTATAAGGACATTAAGGGTCTTAATTCGGCTTTGCCATTTCCACTGACTAGGGGGTCCAACTGTGTAGGAATGCCAGGAGTCCAATAGTATTCGCCTCGAGGTACATACCGGCTAAAGACAAATTATTTTCCGTAGACACAAGAACAAGAAACCCTAATCAAGTTATCATCGACCATTCAAACGCAGTATAGACTACAGTGAAATCATCTCTTACCACTGGTTAATATATCGAGAGTTTTTTTTCGAGACTGTACCCTAACGATTAAAGAACTCGGTTCTGTTGAATTCAGCGAATCAGCGTGAAGCTCTCTTGGTTTAAATCGATTAGGCTAGGTAAGCAGATATTTTTCTATATGCCCTCTGTGAAATTACTGCAATATAGTTACGTTTACCGCTCGTAATATCACTTTAGAATAGTTTTGAATGCTGCATATAATATGGTCTATATGGCGGCCATTTTGAATTAGTCATTCACAGAAATTTAGGAAGAGTATAGGATGGTATTGATGATAAATTATTATCAGGGAAACAATTAAACTAAAGAACCACTTTAGACATCTTCAAAACAGCAAAAATAAGATTTAGGTGCACGGGACCATTTAAAATGGCCGCTATTACAGCATTACTTATTCGGTATATTCAATTATTCGTGATCCAGTCTTAGTATATATATCAGTGTTTTTTTTCGCCTCCGGACAATTGCGAGGACAGTTATGATGCTTGCATGGCTTTCGATTTCAAAAAATATGTTTACATCAGTTCATGCCAAAGATAAAATCTGGTAGAATTCCCCCATGCACTTTTTTAGACACTCGAAGCTTTTATGCTTTGACATGCTTTCAGATTACCCGCAAAATCTTGTGAATGGGAATATTATATTTCCAAAATACTTCTGTCATCCGCGACTTGATGGTATAAGTGCATGACGCACCATTTGAATTGAACACTTGTGTAAGGACTCGCGAGTGACGAGGGTATCATGACGCCTCGTGACCATATGCGACATTACTTATGTCAATCGATTCGACAATAATAAAGTAATGACGGCTGGTTTTTACTTATCAAAATTCCTAGTATTTGCTCGCAATTCCTTGTAATTTGCGGTTTTTAGGTGTCGTATCATGACCGTACGGGACATCACTTTACTTGTGTTAATCGATTCAACTATGAATCGTGAGGGCTCAGTGGTTTTTACTTGTCAAAATTCTTAGTATTTCCTCGCATTTCGTTGTAATTTGCGGTTTTCAGAAATCAGATTATAACAACGGTTTACAACGTATAAAATTAATTATGATTGAAATACGAAAGCCGACAGCTCTCATTTTTATGAAATGTTTTATCGTAAGGCTGTAACCGTTCGTTTTGCGTATGCGGCAAATTTATATAAAAGGGCTCCCAGTGTCCTTTATAAACTTTAAAGTTTTTGAAAATTTTAAGCCTATAGCCGGTGAATATTTCAGGAAACGATGAGGGGATTGCTTTAATTGAGAGATATTCATAATTCAGGTCTTTCAGAGATAGTCCTATAACAAGTTTCCACATTGAATGCATTTGGTGCGCTTGGAGTCTGGTTGAAGGTTGAGAGTTAAGTTTAAACCAGCTGTGAACTGCATGTAACTGAATCAAAGTTTTAAAACTAATGCACAATGAAGTGTATAATCATATATGTGTATATATATATATATATATATATATATATATATATATATATATATATATTAATATATATATATATAGCAGGAAATGGCTTGTTCTTTCTCAAGATATATAAAAAAATACAGTTAAAGAAAAAATGACAACAATGCCATACAAAAAAACTCTCGAAGTATGATTAAAAGCTTACCTATAGCCGGCCCTCGGGTAATGTGCTAATATAGTATTTGGATGGTAAAAGGTATTTCCGATAATCGTGATTAGCTGGGACGAAAGTGTGAAACGATCGGGTTTTCTCGCAAGATCATGTTATTCAGAATTTGTTTCGTTTTATATACTGACATACATGGACAAAGTTGACACAATTCTTTAGCGCAAGTTGTCGGACTAGAACCAGGCTGCTTATCAACAGCCGCGTAGCATTGTCCACCCAATCGTTCAAAAAAATCTGTTCAAAACGTTGAAATTCTTTCAGAAAATTTGAGAAGTGTCGCTAAAACGCCATGTTCCCTGCCAGGGATGGTGTCGAACGACCTTAAATGACGCACGCCCCCTTACCCCAAAGTCAAGGGCGTGGCTACGCCCCTGCTTATTAATATATAACCTCACGTCTACCTTCTACTAACCTCTCACGTTTACGTTCTACTAACCTCTCACGTTTACGTTCTACTAACCTCTCACGTTTACGTTCTACTAACCTGTCACGTCTACTTACACAAACATTAGGAACGATTGATACGTGCCTTGGACACCTGGAAACGGGCTACTTTTGTTTAGTTTGACACTAACCTTAAAAATATACCGAAAAAACCTTAGGATGGTCTCTCTCGTCTGTTTTAAGTATGTCTTTAAAGTTTATAAGATGAAACATTAGTTTGTTATTGAAAGTGGAATTTTATGTCATGCGCGAAGAGATATATAGGGAGTAGTTTCTCCTCTAAACTACAAAGTTCTATAGTACATATATCGGGAGTTTTAAGGATGTTTTAATTTGAAGCGGTGAAGATGGAGTGCATGAAGCTTTTTTTTTTATTTCAGTCACAGAGTTCCTGTAGGAGGGTCTTTATCCGAATTCGTGACAGTTTTACTTCATTTTATATTCAAACACGTTTCCTAAAAAATTCGGTAAAGTGTTTTGTTTAGTAAAGTCTTTAGTCTGTTTTTGATGTTGAAGCTGTGACTATGAAATGTTGCTGACATAGGCTGTATAATACTTTAAATAAATGCCCCTTATATTACTATATGTCTATGCACTTATTATACATTTTGCCGCCGAAATTTCACAAGAGAATAGTCATACGATTCACTGTTTAGAAGTGCTGACAAAACGAACAGGATACAGCACTGTCACTGACAACGGAAACGTTTAAACGTGCAGAACGGAGGATAAATGTTCTTGTATAGACCCGGTGAAGTCTAGTGAGTAATACTTTCGGCTTTGCAAAAATTAGTATAAAATACTACATAACAAACACAATCATTTGATTTTATACTGCATGCATGCACTAGAATATTGAGTATACATTCAAGCCAAAAGTTGTTCGAAGTATTTTATAATCAAGTATCAAGCGGCCTAGCTCTGCTTCCCACATACAATGACTGTATATATATGTAATGGCATGTCAAGACAACTTATATATATAGCCCTGTTTTGCGTAAGGCAGATGCAATGCGGTCTTGAATTGGTTCGCATTGGATGTGAGAAAGTGCACCTGCTGTTTAAAGAAAAGTCAAAATAGATCACGCATTCATATTTTTATCGTTTAATGTTATAAGGAGGGAATGAGGAAATTAAATGACTATCGACAATTTTCGTAGTATCTGTTGATCTGAATTATTTGAAACTATAGTGCTTGCAGATTTCCTAAGTTAATATCATGCATAGCTATATAGATTAGGCTTTACTATATATACATGCGTGGAACAATTATAAACGTTAACGTACGCTCGCCTATTTTTGAGGCTTTCCGGCATAGTCTAACAGGGGCGCCGTGGGTGTGCTAATATAGGGGTGGCCAAAGGCAACATTATTCCGACCAGCACATTTTTTTCCCGACATCTTTATAAGAAAAAAGTAACGAATATTGATAAAACTGACAGGGGGTTTTGGGCAAGGACGCGCATGCATTTGCTATGACAAAGATCACGAGCTACGTCTGCTAATGAATATGACCGATAAATATTCACGTTTTACATACGCTTTTCAATTGAGTAGTTGAATAATTTTTGATACAGTTAACTGTTTGTGGGAAAACTGTATTACAGAGATTTCTAATCCAAATGCATTAACAAATAACGCGATACGTTATTTCACGATACTCTATTATAGCTTTGTAGTCTTAGTGGATGAGCATACAGCGTATTCTATACGCAACATTTGTTTATAACTAAAATATAAACATATTCGCAATTGCTTCAATCCTCTCATCAGTTTAGTTCTTCCGCTGTACTGTCGTGGTACCTTATCTTTGTATAAACTTCAGGAACCGTTTGACTAAAAGTACTAACTTGAAAAGGATTTGCTGTAGCTCCAGCATTCTGATACGGAACATGCGACACCGCGGAAATTGGTAGACTTAGCCGTAATTCTCAATACTTAGACTTTAAATTCGGCAAGCTAAAAGATTTATAAATACTCAACAAAATATCTCTTGCACAAAAGATTTGAAGCTTGCACACGGCAAAAACAAATCATCTGAAAATGTCTGAAAATGTCTCAAAATGGCCATTTTACGGTGGCAGATGCATACGAAGAGCCTTCAAAAGTTTCCAAAACCGATATTGGAAGAAAAATTGAACTTGTTTTCAACTTATTTGATAGTATTTTCTTTGACAGCAGTTTCTGAATACTAGGATTCAAATGTGAGCAACTGATGAGATATTTGACTTCCAACACCAATTTCTGCGGTGTCGGAACATGCTGGTGTTTCTTTAGACGGTAACCATATAATGCAATAAACTGTATAAACTCATGCACTGAACAATACTATGCGGTCGAAGATACATCGCCATTCATGATTTTATCGCGCCAATCTCCGGCATTTCAAAAATTACATTCCTTGCATGCATAATGTTATATTAATAGAAACTATGTTTATCGGAAACCGGAAACGTTCAGAAGAAACAGCTAGTTTAGCCTGCGCGACAACAGTAGCTATAATAAAAAATTGGGGTAGTGATCGTCTATTTTCTGATAGTTCAAATACTTTTGGGTTGTTCAGCATAGCACAGCCACAAATGCAAAAATAGCTTAGTCTCTGTTATGATTGATATACTCCGACAACATGCAATGTTCGTAAATTTCCGACAGGTTTTAATCCTGGGGGGGGCCATGGCCCCCCCTGGCCCCCCCGGCCACGGCGCCCCTGTAGTCTAATATATATCTCCACAACGGAAGGTTTACAAATTGTCTGTGAAATACATGTCAATATTGCACCCATTTAGACATTATAATGTACAAGTAAATAGTTCGACTCAGTCACTTCCTATATTATACATACAATATATTATTAAACGGAGTATTCATAAATACATTGTTATATAGTTGTAAATAATATAATATCGTGGTAAATGTGAAAAATAAGACACGAATTCTTAGTCTTAGCAAAGGTTTAACATATATTCAGATTTATCTAGGATACTTATCCTAAATGATTCGAGAAATGTTCGGCGTTTTTTCGTCGCGTTGCATGGGTGACGTAAAAGTTTTTCGGTTCGTCAAAAATTTTCGACGGGAGGTATATTTTTCGCTACGTATACAACATAAGTGTGAATGTATCTCCCGTTGACAATATATACGTCTTTCCAATTCTGTTGTGATGCAAATTTAAGCAAATCGAACAAGATTGCAAGCAGACAGGTGATGTCGATGGACATGCAATTTTACGATTTCGGCAACCCGGCTCTTTAGATCAGATGCATGCATGATAAAGCGAAATGTGTACTATCAGATACAACGAATATAAAAAAAACTTAAAAAGCCTTAAATAAAATAAAATTATATAATTTTCAAAGCCAATAACTCTTTATATTTTTTGTATTTTAAATTAACCTCTACTTCGCCATTTGAAAAGTTACTGGCAAGAATTACAGCAAACATTTCGGTTGCATGAGCTCGTTGTTAAAATCACATGCAAACATGATGCGTAAAATTCGCACATGCATACATTGATATCAGCAACGCTTTGAAAATTGCGCTTGTTATCTGCCCTCAAAATATCCTTTGTTGATCGCAGGCAAACGGTGCCTTTTGAACTGTTGCATAGATAAAGGCAGGATACATATAAAGACATGCTCCGGCATGACGGGCCATAATTTCACGATGTTTCAACAATTCCAACGGTTCCACCCGAAATTGGCAACATTTGATGAGGGAATTTGTTGCCCGTGGTCGACACGAAGACAGATTTGATATGCCGTAAGCATATAATATTGTAGTGAACAGCCAAAACAGGTGCATATTGTATTAAGATAAAATCTTCTTGGAAACTTCTATAGCTTATTGACAGCGCTATAATTTCCCTTCTTATCTGATCTGCGTGAATAGCGACTTCGGCAAATATAGTCACGGCACAATATAGATATAATTCTTTCCCCCACTCGTTATTGCAATTAATGCTGTATGTATACCGTGTTTCGATATTGTTGTTCACCGTGCGTTTAAAAAAAAAGTGCGCAGTTGTACATGTAGATCTATTTTGCCGCTGTCCTGAAACTATAAATAAGCAGTTATATCTATACGAATTAATTGTAACCTTATGCACATCCTGAAAATGTAAAAATCTTCTGGGCACTCATATTTTTCTTTCAAAACACTCAGTATGTTAATCCTTCTCCTTAATTTGACAGGAATAATGGGAAATATAATGCTATATATAGCGTTAAAAAAAAAGTATATATATGTAGATATTCCGATTCTTTGCTTACCAGGTTGCTATTTTGAGCTCAAAAACGTGCCGAAACCTTTTGTTTGTTTTTGAATGTTTCATATTCATGAGCACTTGGGCAGTGTAAAATACCATGCAGTTGAACGTGCGAAATGTTAGTCATTCAAACATTACATAATCTGGCCATGCATAGTGAAGCAATATTTGGTCATAAATCGCTAGATACTCTTTGTCAAAACAAGCTGCCTAGCAGCGCTTTTTCGTATTGTCCAAAATCATGTCCAAATCAATAACGAAATCGTGTCTCAGCTGCCTAATGTGTGTACAAAAAAACGTCTTGAGAATCTTGACGTTTCAATCAACCCGTTTGAGGGCTTTCACAAGGTGGCTCAATTACCCGATTGCATGAATTAGTGTCAGTCATAGTAACTTTCCTATACTTGACTCGAAACGTCGAGAATTTTTTTTGAATGTTTGATATTGCGAGTTGATGAAATGGATATTTAATCATAGCCTTTATTAGTATTTCACCGGCAAATTTAGCACGAAAAACGGCTACAGATGATAAAATCTTATCTAGACAATGCTTTTGCTTCCACCACTCAAGTACCTATATATAGACACGTTAAATTAAAAGCCTTTCCAAACAAATATTTGGACATGTATACATACAGCCACTGAGCCATGATGGATTTGGGGTACAGAATGATTGCGTCCATTTTCCGCTACGCTGTCCAGTCTTCGTTTCCAGATCAGTGGGCATGCCCCCGATTCGTGGGTGCGTGTACGCCCGCATTAATTGCATGGCAGACCATATTTTATGTTGTCTAATTGTCATAATTGTCATAATATGTACGTGTAGGTGTTGAGTTCTGCCTGCTTATATCCACTTAGGTTTCATCCGACGCTGTGATCACATGCAGGGTTGCGAGTTTCCCTTGTCAACACCAACTATATACGTCGCGACCGGCTCGAATATAAACGATATAATACCTTGCCTCGGATAGTTTCACTGCATCACGACCACTACGGCGAATCTAGCACCGTCTGTTTCCATTGCCCTACAGGAACGACACACATTCTTCAGTCAGACGCCACCAAACCTCGTGGAATTCTAGGGTTGAACGAGTCGAGGTAAGATGTTTGCGTGTTTGCATGCATAGGAATTATTACGAAACCTTGCTCTCGTTCGTTCTTGAAGCTTCGAACATCACGCGAGATTTTGCTTTTGCGCTTTCGACACGGCGTGCCGTTTTAAATGGACGGAAATTATACCGGAAGATACTCGTAAATGGGTAATTGATTTCGGCAAAACTTTACGCCGTTAGAAACATTGTTACTGTAATAATCTCTAAACTATTTGAGCTCAGTCTTTTGTGTATATTCTGGGCATTTATGGTCTACAAATATAAATGCATGTTATAAATTAGGTATCCTTACTGATAAATGAAACGGGTATATCTAATTCTAAATGAATTTGCTTAAATTGTACCAATGTACATAAGTTTTGTTTGTGTCACCTAACCTGCCTAAATTCTATCGTATCTTGCATGCTTCGGGCATGAGAGGTCAATCCATTGTTAGGTCTCCACATGCAAGTAAAAGCGAGCTCGAAAACCTCAACGGTCCTTTAATTTTAGCGAACCCGGAGCTCTTTCAATGCAAACAAACAAACTTTCTCGTGTTGTAATAATGAATTTTTCAAACGTTTCTATTCCATAAAAGGCCGAAGCTTATCGCGTTGACGTTCATTCAACTGCAGCGGCCGTTACCTTGTCAATATTCAAAGGAAAAGTGCATTTGTTTTGAACCGCGCAAACATCCGCCTTCCTCTAGACTAACGGGAAGCCTGACCAGTGTTTGAAAACATTGCAAAAAAGGTAAAAACAGTATGACGCAGTGGAATTCATAATACCCTGAGCATATGGGCAATCCCAAGCGGAACGAAACAGATTCCAAAAGTATCAAATAAAGATCTAAAATCCAGATTTTACTGTTTTCATTGCTTTTTCTTTTTATCGTTATTGTGATCTCGGAGAATTCGCCAACTTCACGATTCTATTACGACTTTCATATATAGTCATATAGAGCCATGATGTTTGAGTTAAGAATCAGTGGCGGACCAATGGCAATGGCAATGTTTATCGTTACATCTCAAGGCCACTGTTTTAACAGTTTCTTCCGCGAATGTTCTCCTCAAATATACGTGTTCTATCTTGGAATTCATACCTGATTTGCATGAATTTTCGGCCGCAATTGGATCTGCGTTTAAGGTATATACGAAGCTATTAATTGACATGCAATTTGCTTTGGTTTTGGAGAACTTGTAACCACGTTTTAAGATGAAATAGGTCGGTTTTAATCGCTGTTTTGGTTCCATAAACTCCAAGCAACTGCTTCGAAACTTATTGTTTACCTAGGCAGAACGTAGGGCTGGTTGTTAATTTGAATTTCTTTCACGTCATGAAAGTCTATCAAACAAGCAAGTTCTGTAGGGTAGAACATTGTGGACATAACGTCAGCACCTACATAGACACATGATATGTATTCATTGCACGAACATTAAGTACGGTCATTCACAAAATGCGCGAAGCTGTTATTTAATACCGCCTTATCCACAGCTTAAGCCATAAGTGGCTTCGAACGATCGATTCCTGGTGGAAATACAGTTATTTACATCTCACTGACATGCCGTGAATATCCGTGGTTTCTGTGTATCTTTATATAGCTATATATAGGGCAAGAATTATATAATACCTTAATTCATTTAATAAGCAGGGCTAAACGAGGTTTTTGTGTTTGAAAAAAAAGGGAAAAGGATCTTGCACATCAGACGCGCATCTTTGACGTGCTATAATCTTTAAATGCCCTGGAATATATTTAAATACTAAAATTACTTCTGTGATTTTAATTTAAAATTACTGCTGGTTTAATTGTATCATTGACTCTAGTGCATGTGTTCGAAAGATTCAGCTTCCAAGACTCAGAGCTTCTTTTTTTCGCAAGGAACAACTTTTCAGCTTTATCTACGGCACTTCATTCTATAAATAAAGGCGCATTTTAACATCCCATTAATCTGTATATCGCGTTCCCTTGGGATGATAATTCCGTTTCTCTTCAGACACGCACGCCCTGACCACAGTGACTGACGTGGAACACTGAATGCTCAGTAAACAATGCATGACTGGCCGCATCAGTGTCGCATCCTGAGTACGTCATTTCCTCATTCTTGATCGTAATGTTTACTGTTTACTAGATGAATTTAGCTTCACACATTCGCAATACTGTCAACACGCGACCCGTGTACTTTGGAGGTTATGCCAATGCAGTATATAAAGATATGACAATATATCATGATATATATATATATATATATATATATATATATATATATATATATATATATATATATATATATATATATATATATATATTAATTCCGGTTTCGACGACTTATGAAGGGGACTTTACCAATAATTAATGCAGGCAAAAGGGTGATTTAGTAGCTATTAATACACTGGCAAAATATACGCTTGTCTTTCCTTACATCTTGTGAAAAGTGTATAGTAGTTTGAAAATGCAATGCGAATGCGTTTATGGTTAATCGATTTTGAACGAAATATACACAGCTGGTTGAAGGATCGATATGCTCCTTTTCTAAACGTCACATCGTTTGAAAACCTCGCTTGCATGCGACAAGTCGTTCAACGACAAAGCGCTGTTCACATGCATCATATTTCACCCGTCAGAGTTGATTCGGATCGATGGCTGTCAAGCGTCAAAAAAGTTGTGAACAAAAAAACCGCAGCTGGTTCACGCAGTAACGACTTTTAAGTCGTGTTTTCTGCAACTTTACGTGGGCAGATTTATATATTTATGAGAAAATAGCAAGCAAAATAAACTTTATAGGATTTTTCCTTTTTAAAAAAGCAAATAAAAAGATAGCGTGAACTGCTTATTAAGGATAAATTATAGATTTTAATTCAATACGCCAACCCTATGGCGACGAAATTTAGTGCCATTACGACGATATGCATTGCATACACATTTTACTTAAAACAAAATTATGAAAATTACATCTATGTAAGATATATAACGTTTTTCTTGAAATGTTTATTAACGAAAATTATGTATATAGATTTAAATTCAATCATCAATAACATATTATACAGTTTCCGCTACGGCCATGTGGCGTAACAGTTTTAGTAAAAAAATAAGTTATGAAAAATATACGTATAGCTACAATAGCTATAGGATTATGAAAATGAAAACAAAAATGATTAAAAAGCTTTTAAAAGTGTTACCCAATGATATTTGTGTCTGTCGGTTCGGCTATTTCGAACAAATGATTCGTTATCTGTATTTGTCGATGAAAAAACTTTCCTACACTCTAAACCCTCATAAACTAATGGTGCATGTATAACACTGTATCCGTATCGCTATTTTATCAATCACATGTGCATTAAATACAAAAAGCATGTGTGAAGCACAAAAGTTAAACGTGGTTAGTTTGAATTTCATACAAATATAACTATCGACTTTGGATGCGGTTTCGCCTTGTCCTTATCTGCACAAACGTTCATAAAATATCCCCCGTGTCGTATGTTTACATAGCTAGAAGTTTCCAATTCAAATTTTCTCTCTGTATAAATATGCTCAAAGCGGTGGTGAAGTGTACTTTTCATTTGCAACAAATGACTGGAACGATAAATTTTTGTTTAGTCATTCATCTCCGGTTAATTGCAGTGGCTTTTTAAAAAAGGTCCTTGATGCTTGCATGCATGCATGGATTAAAGTCTGAGAATATAATGATCAGTGAATGCTTGTGGGATACGCTTTCGCGCATATTACATATACATCTCTTTAAGTCTACAGCAGTCAAAAATGCCTGAAGAAGATGGCAGAAAACTCCGGTGAAATGTCGAGTGTGGGCATTTTCGCACCATCCCAACGCTGTCTCCACTCCAGGTCTGCAGATGAAACAGAAATTTAGCGCGTCTGCTTCGAGCGTAGCGGCAAAGTCAATGGGCTGATAAGATCCAAATCAAAATGTTATCGTACTAATTTGAGCAGTAATCGTGTAGTTAATCTGTTTCATATATACACACAATTTAGACATGCTGTTTACGTGCGGAAAAGCTAATCTGATTAACATACGCGCTAGATGATTAAAGCCTGACCTCAGACTAAAACACACGCCAACCTCTGTTATATATATAGACAGACGCATTTTCCTCCGCGCAAAATAGACTCTTTGTGCTCGCAAATTATACCGGAGAGACATCGTATCGAAAGGTAACTACACACGGATCCTTACTGGTGAGTAATTCTTTTATTCCTCTCTATCAAGTATCGTCAGATTTTTCGATTCACGGATGTATGAGACCATTTATAATCATACCCATATGTTGTTTGGCGTGTTCACCATTAGGCGTACGCCAACGTGTATAATGGCTAATAAGTTTTTACTGTGACTCTGTGAGTTCACAGATAGGCGATAGCCCAAAGAACCTTGGGGATTGCACCCTGAAACTTAAAAAAAAAGATACTTAACATAGATTCTGCATGCGAATAATCCTTGTTTATAAATATAGTACATATATATATTTATATGTATATATAGATGTATATATGATATATCGAAGCATAATATCGTAAACTAGTAGCTATATTGATTGGCCGGCGCGTCACAGCTTCATGCAGTCTTCAGGAGTTCAGGCCTTTTTTTCGAGTCAAACAAGATTTTCAGTTAAGACTGAGTTTGATCGTTCTGATTCTCAAATATCCGTTCTAAAACTTCTGAAAATACCAGTCTTGAGTTATTTAGCACCATCGTTTATCTACGTTTTAAACTATTTCAGTAGCTAATACTGCTCAAAACTATGCTGGTAGCTAGAGCTACATAGCTATATATACTGTCGTAATGATCTATCGTAAACACGCGAGCCTTGGCTTGGGTAATTATTTTATTTATCTCCGGCATAACAACTCGCTGGCTAAATTGAATCCACTTCTCAATGCGATTACGAGGCGTTGAGTGAATAACAAGAGCTGTTACGAAACCTTTTGAAACGTTTTGCTCGTTAAACATATCAAAACATTACATATAAAAACATAATAAGATTAACAACGATTCCTCGATGTCATTCAATTGTTCATAAAGCAACCAGCGTTAAACGAATCAGTCGAAAATTATAAAATGTTATGGGTCCTTCGTTTGAGCTCTTGTTTATTAAAAATCCTACTTGAATATTGTATGATAAGGACTTCGTATTTCCTCAATGAAGTTGCTCGTTAAAAACACTTGACACGCCTGGAAGCTTAAAGCGTATAAAGCAACGTCATACTCGGTATAGCATGTTTCAACCGAACGTTTCAACATTCAAGCTAAGGCCGGCTGCATGGCATGCCACGTCAGAGTTTTTGTGGCCCGTATTTGCAATGCGGACAGGCCTTAATTGTGGCCGCGGCTTATAGAAAATATAAGCCGATTTTAGCTAGAATCAAGCCATAAAAGAATTATGGCATAAAAATAATTATTTTCGAGGCGTACTTGAGTGTTTGGGATTTAGTTCGAAATTCTTCAATACCAAAAGTTCAAACCGAATTTGATTCGATATCTTGGATCGAATTGGCCCGATGCACGATTTGGTCAGCTGGACTGCGCGGTCAGCGGTGGGATTAGAAAAGAAAGAAACTGTGGAAAGTAATCGATTATTGCACAACCGTCAGAAATATATAAAAAAAATCGAGCAAAAAGCACTAATCTTGAGGTTTAGATTTTTGGCTGAAGCCTTTGGAGCTTTTTTTGTTCAAGAGTACCCCTTGAATGACACAATTCATGCTTTTTTAAGTGAACTTCCCTCACTGAGAATACTTACGCGGTTTTTTGTAATATTTGTGGCTAACGCTTAAGAGTAGTACAGTAAATTGAAAACATATTGTGAAGATTGTCACTTTTTATGAGTGATTATGAGGTGTAAAATTTAGCAACACGGTTGGGCACATTCCACCATGTTTTTTGCCATGCATAGTCCCCGTTGAATTCACTTTACAGTGATTTACAAGTCGCTCATTTGATGACAAAGCTATTGGTCATTGACTTCCAAAGAGATTTTCAAATCAAAATATACCAATGCAAGTCAGGCCGACTTTGACAACCCCCCCCCCCCCCCACCCATGCATTAAGGTCGACTTGTTGCATATGAGAAGCCAGAGCTCTAAAAATCCGAATATTTTTCACGACAAAAAACAGCTGGGTTTTTTTCTTCGAATAAGCTCGACTTTTCCGAACGTTATTTTGATATCATTATGAACTTGGGAGGGATGAGGGATGCCAATTCCCCTATTTGGTAATAGGTCGCAAGGCTCTATGCATTACTTGTTCGACTCATTTACTTGTTCAACTCATTTACTTGTTCAATTATTTTCTGCTAAACTCCAGGCTGACGAAGCGCATTCGATTTCCCACACTCCACCCTTAGACCTGTCACCCGATCAGCTTCGTTGATGACCTTTGTCGACAGGACTGGCGCAGGTGCTTTAAACTTCCCGGAAATTATTTTCTAGGAATAACTTGGTGTCGTCTAGAATTTCCACTGACACACAGTCACGGCGACGACTTGTACGGTTTTGAAATTTCCCTCTCGCTTAACGATTTTGAGAATTACCTGTGAATCTTGACTATCTGTTGTGAATTATACAAACTTCGAAGGTATAAAATCGTAATTAAAAACATATGTGGTTTAAAGTTACCGAGGTGAGGTGATTGTCAGTCATCAATCACGTACTTGTTGCTCATGCAAGACTCGTATAGTACAGTATAGTGCATCCATCAATTTTTGGGATTGTACACTTCAGAATCGCGATTGGACTGGGCAGGCAGAGCAGCAGGCTGGGCAGCAATATCAAAAAAAGCAACTCTTTAATTCTCAAATGTGCAAAAATTTTTATATTATTTTATGAGGTCCTCACGTAACATTGAGCCTTCTTCCGGAATATTCTAAAATTTCCCCCGCGGGTATGGTCACTTTATTCCCGCAATTCTTTCGCAACTTTGACTGCATGACTACGTGCATGGGCTGACAAGAACCATTAATCCATTTTCAGCTCGTGTTACTTTTAGTGACTAGATTGAAAAGTGACAACGGCTTAAAACGAGAACATAAATCAATATCATACTCCCGCAAACTGTATTCAAAAAGTGTCAAGTGATTTCAAACAAGACTACCATAAATCAATGCCTTAATGTATTTCTTAATTTCTACATTCTGGATCTGTTTTCCCGTGTCTAAGCAGTTCACACGATTTGGCTCAAGGATTGAGAGAACCGGTTTTACTCTTCCCCAGGAAGTATTTCACAATTGACCACAATTTTTAATTCTCAAACTGAAGCACGCGAGGCCTACTGGGTGGCAGAAGTTGAAACAGTTGTTAGATTTCAAAGTGCTATATTAAAAGTTAATTGAATGGAAACAAGGCCACATATGGCTTTGATTTTATGTTTACCAATGTGACTCATTTTATTGATACAACAGTAATGAGAAGTAAATATATCTTAAAACTCATTATACGCCATTGTCAGCTTTCCATAAAACTCGTCGCTGTTGCTATGGCAGTTCTTTTTCAAAATATACACGAATGTTATTTTTATTAAACCCTGTCGGATTGCAAACGTGTTGATGGGCTGTGAAATTCCCCACGTTCCGTCTTTCGAATTCGATGAAACTATTAAATCTACAGTATTTTTCCTGTACGAGTTTCAGCCAGATGATGCTGACGTCAGCACGCAACTGCTTCGCTTTGCCTTTGAAATTGGAAGCCAATATGGCGGGCATGTCGAAATACGATCTCAACTTAAATCTAATTTGTGGTTGTGGAGATGTCTGAAGAGGTTATTTAAGTTTCTAGGTGTTCATGAGAAAGAAAGAATGGTTCTCAAATGATAATTTGTCATCAATATCCTCTTACTACTCATAGTTGTGCGGATGAATCGCTAATTAGTATAATTCAACATGGCCGCCATATGCCTCACTTGGCCGTGTTTTAAAACACGTTTTAAACTAATATTGCGAAATATCGGTATTTACGTAAGTCACATAGGAATATGTATGTGCTTTGTAACTAACTTAAACTACTAACTTAATGTTAAAAACGCAAGGATTTACGTTCGTTCAGTATTTGACACATATATAAATCTGATCTCATAAAGAATATTCCGGCTTTGATTTTTTATTGTGGTCAGTGGGTGTGATGAACCTCAACTTGTACCTACGATATTGACCCTGCTAATGATGTGGAAAAAAATTCGAGCAATTTGTTGACATTTGCGAATTCATTTCCCCCTTGACACATCGCGAAAGGCTTTGAATCATGATCCCGTGAACCTTGAATCTCGGGCTTCGAAACCAGTGTCGTTGTTTTTTCGAGAGCTACAGCTCTCTCGCTTTAGATTTCATCCCAATTTTGCTCAGTGTTTTCGAGAAAGTATCTTTTAAAAAAATAGAATGCGCACTTGAAAACCATATTGCCGCACCTCAACTTATCTTCAAGATAATCTTTCGAAGAAATCTTTAGATCTCATCCCAATTTGCGATTAATAATTTGAGCTTCAAAACATCGTCCGAACTCTCGGAAATCTCTCGTAAATCGCGCCCAGATTGTCTCAAATATCACTGGAAGATTTCACAACTCCTCCAAAAACCACCTCCTTGCGACAAAACTGTTGCACTTGAACTTTCATTTGCAATAATCTGGAACATAACAAAAAAAATTAGATTACGAGAAAGAATGAAATTACTTCGCCTAACAAGTATTAGCACATTGCTTCCTTTGAAAATAAAATCTTTCCTGATCGACGCGCTTGAGTAGGATGACTTATATTCCCTCCATAAACTAAAGAACTGGCCAACATTTTCAATGCTACTTGATCTTGTTGATGGAAAAAAAGCGTTTCTCGCGATTCAACTTCATTATGTCTAAAATTGCATCGCAAATTACATCCTTTCCCACTTAGACTCTTAAGTCCACTACGAAAAAGATATAATCCGTAACGTTATCATGATGTACGTGCTTAAGCGAACACAAGACGTAATATCTTGCCAACTTTAGTCTGAAGACTGAGATAAACAATCGCTCAATTCAGCCTAAAAAATGCTAAACGATAATTTTTAACAGAGGCTCTTCCAGTGAACTTTATTATCCCGGTCCTAGATACAGTAGCGAAGGCGTGCAAGTTGACATGTGTAAAAAACATGTTTTCTGATGTAAATTGTAGTTGTAGCTATATCTTAATTCTTATTTTTTTTCCAGATTATCGAATTCCAATTGCATTTTAAAAGCTGGTTTAGTGCATGGTAAATAACAAAACAAAGATAAAATAAGTAAATCTTCCCGGTAAAGCGTGCGTAATATAAACGTAGATTCATACACAAAATTTGACTTTAAAATCCTAGTCGAAAGCTCAGTTATTTCTACGAGGAATATGATACAGTGAACAGTGCAAACGTACATTCTTGGGTTCACATGATGTCATAATTTAAAGTGGGGTCAACTCGAAATCGAGGCACGAGAATTGCAGTTAGTTGTTCGCTAGTGTTGACATTGTATTTGGGAGGAAATGGATGTGATTTCGTATCATATGCTCACATATTTGCACCGAAGCAAAACCGAACAAAGCTCCTCGCTCAAATCGCTGATTAAAATGACCAATAAAACCCCGCAATGAGACCACAGACTATAGATACGCGCAAAAAGATTTAAAAAACTCTAACGAGTCTCAAAAGAACTTGAGGATCAAAGAAATGCGCCGTAATATAAAAAAATGCTTTCATAAAGTACATTTTCAGTTTTGGAAACACACCAAGTCACTGGTATAAAATAAGACTTTTACTTATCTTTAGAGAGGGTTTTTTTGGATTAGCTGCAGCGATATTGTTTGAGATTTTCACACTGATTTCGACTTGAAATTTTCTCGCTTTTCTCGAGAGTTCCCGAGCGAGTATTTTATAAGACGTCAACGGTCCATACGTCATAGGTCGCGTGCCACAGTATCCGGGCTTCTCAAGGTTGATATTTTGTAATATGATGACCCTTGTTTTCCATTTCTTTAGAGATCACCCCAACAGTATCGCCGTCATTCTCAACAACAGGCATGAATACGACAGCGATGAATCTCAGTACGCCATCTGGCTATGACACCATGAACAACCCAGATGGTTTTACAACGGGTGGCATTATGAAAGCATTTTCTTTGGCGATCTTGATTTTCGCCTCCATCATCGGCAATCTTGTCGTGTCCGTCAGCTTCATGATGTTCAGGAATCTTCGATCCATGACGAATTACTTTCTGGTCAGCCTAAGCGTCTCGGATATTCTCGTTGCAATCCTGGTTATACCTTTCTATCTGGTATACCAACTGTACCAGCCACGTCAGTTCTTTACGCCGGACAGGATGGCGCTTCTAAATTTCTGGAAGATCATGGATTTCTTCCTCTGCCTGACAAGCGTGTGCACGTTGACTGCGATTTCTGTGGAAAGAAACCTCGCGATATCTCAACCGTTTTATTACACGAAGTTGATATCTCCGATTCGCGTCTACGTGACCATAGCCTTTCTCTGGATGTTCGCCATGACTGTCTCCGTTACAACCCGGCTCGATCCTTTTGGAGAAAAAAGCAATTTGAGTGTATTCATAGTGGTCACCGGGTACATCTTGCCTCTGATGATTATCCTGGTGATGTATGCACAAATCTGGCTCGTTGCTCGTCGTCAAGCGAGGCGCCTACGTCAGGACGGGGCCCTAGCAACCGACTTCAAGGCAATCAAGACGATCGCGATTGTCATTGGAACTTTCTTCTTGTGTTACACACCGAATATGGTTCTTGTTATCTGGTTTCATTTTTCTCTGAAGCCGGCTCCATCGCCCTATTTTGTCACGACGGGAAAATGGCTGATTTACTTAAACAGTTGCGTTAATCCTATCATATATTCGTGTTTTAACAAGACATATCGGAGAGGCTTTAAAAGACTCTTTCAAACGATCCTGGCGAAACTGCGCGAGCTTCGAACGCGGGCAGGCGATGAGCGTGCGCGCAAGATGAGACAAAGTCGGCTGTCGCTGAACATCACGATGCGAAGTAGCGCGGGCTCGCTGCTAGATGGTTCAAAACTGGTCACGGCGAGTTGTCATCAACGGGACTCCCTCCAGTCGCGTGCATCCACGCAGTCGTTCTCACTGAATGCGGCAAACAGCGTGGACGTCTGTAACAACGAGCACATCGCTATTAAAACGTTCACCAACGGCGTGGGACACGCCAGCGAGCCTGTACGACCAGCGGAAAGCGCAGTCGAGAATACACGGCAATAAACCACCACGTCCTTTTGGTCGAGCAATTACGACGCAACGCTCTCCCTTAGTTGCAGCAGACGCATTGTTACGTTGTTATGTTTTTTGGCTCTGGCAAGTTTGAAATCCAAAACACACAAAGTCTGCATGCACAAAATGGACTGTCGTATTTCGAGACCTGCCATTTTCAAGTTGATTTGATGCCTAAACTCGCAAGAAATGCGTGGGCAGCAGCAAGATATGGATCAAACATGCAGTCTAAATTGTATCCATTATATGTAGTAGCGATTTGGAACGAGAAGATTTAGCAAGAACTTAGAACTTGAATGCAGAACATTAAAGCCCGTCATCCACTAAGCGAAGAATTTATTCGCGCGACGCAAAGCGATGTCTGAGATCCGGTGATGTGATTGGTTTGCGAAAAAAATTCGCCACGAAAAAGTAGAAACGCTTCCTATTTTTTATATCTGTTCGCGCGAATAAATTCGCCTAGTGGAAAACGGGCTTAACATATTGTGAATATATAGATGTTGAGATATTGTGAAAATGAATCCGGTGTTGATATTTTTTACCAAAACATCTCCTGAAGATGAAAAAAACGGAAACGACTTTATCGTTGGACAAAGACACGAGTCATCATCAACATGGCTTTCGCTAATCCCTTCGCTTTAAATTTTCGCTCAAATTATGTATAAACATGTTTTTCCTGAGCATTTGTATCATTAGTGATGGCAGTTTGTTGCGAATTTCATTCCCGGAGCCGGTTGTATGACACTTTCAACTACATTTTGCGTAGTTAAGTCGTATGTAACTTAGAATTTCACGATTGGTCAATTTTGTCATTAACTGATAAACAAAAAATCTGGGGCCGGATATACGAAGGCTGGATAGCGCTATCCACCGGATAGTGATTTTCTCAATCGCTTTAAAATCGTTGTTGTCGGGTATAACTTTGGTTAAATCTTAGTGTTTTTAAATTCTCTTTAACAAGTGTTGGCTCCAAAGTTGTAATTTTATTGCTTTTCAAGCAAGCTGTCCGGCTTTCATACAACCTACCCCAGCCCCAGGTGTATAACCTTCACCATACCATCGCCCCGTCAGCCCGTCTTATCGGTGAGATATCTATGCACATAGATTATATACCAAGTACAAATCTCAGGTATAGAACTTTATCATGCAGGAATGTACTTCCTTCCTAGCTATATTTCGACAGGAATCATCAATGCATGACTGCAAAGCCAATTTATCTGTATAGTGCTGCTTTTGACTCAGTCTAATCTATTTTCACTCTTTGTACATATTTGTGTAATAAATATTATGTAAATACTATTTTACTGTGTCAGAATTGTATATTAAAAAGTTATAACACTGTTACAAACTCGTTGTAGCTTTCTCTTTAACATGTCCTAAAATACTATTTATAGTATTTTTTCCCCGGTTCTTTAAATATTTATCAATTTTATTCTCCCGAAGAATCTCGCCTTGAACGTACGTTGTAAATTGTAATCAGATATTTTTCCTGTAACTTGCAACGATCATTTATTGTCTTTATTTGCTCTTAAAATTACGACTTCAAAAATGCAATGGGAATTCAGGTTTTTCTCTAAAACTTTACAGGAAATTCCTTTTGTTGTTCTATAACATCCCACAATAAGGATAAATTTATCTTTTCTCTTAGATTTTGCAGTTCAAAACATCTCTCTTACCTCGTCTTGCGATAATTATTGAATTTTACAAAATCGAAATTAATGCATAATATAAAAGAGTACATTTTGTATTACTGTTCGTCTAGCTTCTTTGCAAATGGCTGATAGCTATAATTATCGTTTTTTAATGCGTACATAAACAGCGATATTGCCGCTTCATTATCATATTATAATTTGTAGTGATTTTGACGCATAAAATAGGTACATCTTGGCGGAAAACTACGACATTTTAATGGCCATTCTTCACATCAGCTGGCACGGAGACATTTCGGAATCTCTGTGATAAATTTGAGGCAGAATGGGGCCTTTTTGAGGTACTCTTGGCGATTAAGCGTTGGCCATTATTTGACCACCAATTACGAGACGAAACAGCTAAGTAAACACCTATTATAGATCTGATAGAATGAAAAAGACACTAGATTTATACTGTGTCTGTATTTTGAAGTGAATGAGCCAGACAATAAAGTGTGTTAGCTTCAAAGTTTTCGCGATATCCTCGACCCAAGATGTTAAAGGTTTTTTGGATTTGCGTATTCGTTCAGGTCCTAGCCCGTGTACAGTGTTGCTCGCGACGTCGTAACCCACCACCACGGCCTTGTTCATGGCGGACGTGCTACCACGATTGGAGAGACCCCTTCACTCCGGGCGTTCGTCAAGGGCAATGCGTTTATCAGTCTCGCTACTCTACGCATCTTTACATAACGAATCACGGCACGGGATCTTGTCCGGCTTCTTCCTCGTGTGATTGGAGGTGTCAAAGACGAACCCGATGTAAGTATACTTTTCAGTATGAGTTTTAAGTCTTCAGTAGTTTTGATTCGTGCCAACCTAACTCAATCTCAAATCTCATCTTTTATCGAATGAGATTTCAAGGAATATTAGATTATCTTTATTCTCTTCAACTAACTATTCTGACGAAGGCCTTTAGTCAAAAACCCAATACGTCGAAAAGTGTTCTTTTTAGTCAAATTGCGGTCGAAGTGTGGTCAAATTTATATAGCTTGATTTACACTACAAAAAGATGAATCATCGCTTTAAATATTTAAGGTAAAGCGCTAGAAACCAAGTTCTTATTCGAATGGAACTAAGATTATGGAATCGTTATGAGAAGATTGAGATCTCCCCCTCAATGAGTTTTTATTATTCATGCAGGTTCATGTCGCGAGGTTCAAACGTGTAACCGAAAAGTTTGGAGCTCGTGGTCCGGTCATATACCTACCGGTCAGTGCGCTCGACAGACTCGACATCGAGGCTGGAATGAACTCAACGTAAGATACAGAGAACAAGATAACAATTGCAACGGAATAAGAAGCAGCTGTGGAAGCACCGAATATGACTACAGGACGCTTTGTAAGTTCACACTTTACTGCCTATATGGACGCTGAGTTTGGGGAAAACTTGTATAAGTAGAACCGTATAAGAAGAAGGTTTTCTGGGAAAAATTCTTGTGCATTTTTAGCCTGGTTCTCGTTGATAGCGACGTTGAGTATTTATACAAAATAACAAACGTTGAGTATCAGGCTTGCAGCGTAATGCTTGGTTGCCATTAAATCGTGAACTGTCTTGAAAATGTCAAGGTGGCTGATATGATAAAATATTTCTATATTTGTGCAGTCAACAATGACCGATTTGAATACAGAAATGAAGATAAATTTACATATGGGCTATTTCTCATCGTTGAAAATGAGTTGTTCACGACAATAACGACGAAATGAAAACCTGGTTTACGCCTGGTTAAGCGCGGTTGCACTCACGACTAAATTGAAACCAGGCATTAAAAGGTCTTCGCTTACAGAATAACACTGTTTTCCAGGTAGCTGTCCATACGCCCGGTGCGAGACTCTGCCGTGGACGGCCTGGAGCACAATTCAAACCAGGCCTGGTCATTGTATCACCGTGGCGCGTTACCAACGACAGAGAAAAACCATCGTTTATAAAACTCAAGGAAGTAACTGTAATGGCGTCGGGCCACAAACATGTCCTGACGACGTCACTCAAGTGCAGGAAAAAGGTAACTACTAAAAAACTGACTCCGGCATCTGCAGACAAAACACGTCTGGTATTGATACGTTTTTATACATAGCAAATGAATTTATACGAATCGATTTAACAAAACTCTAAAATGATATAGCGGGGCTAACTCGTCTAGCTGGCAACGCCATTGGCCCATTAAATACAATGATGTATAAAATTCTGCGAGAAATGTCATTCAGGGAGCCGACTTCATTTAATGTCAATGAATTTAAGATCTTGATTTCATGTTCATGCAACTTAACTCACTGGCAAAATAAATCTAACCTAACGTCTTGAAAAAACATAGTATAGAGAGAAAGAAAAATACTTTTTCTAATTGTTCAAATCTGCGAAGAAGTTCAACTTCAAAGTTAATTTAGTCCTCGCTTTTCTATGTCATAAATTAGTTGTAACTGTCTGCGTGATGAAAATTATTTCTGACTCTTTTTCAATTGTAAAGTGGTGTACTGTCAAGCATTGCCAATTCCCGCGGCTGGAAGCTGGGACCGAGCTGAATGTTCACAAGGTCAACAGCGGTGCAATTCCCTCTGCACTCTGGAATGCTCCGGACTGAAAGGATATAATAGAATTGGAAATAATCCGACAAGAAAGTGTTTGAGCAGTGGATCATGGTCTTCTTCGAATGCCTATTGCAAAGGTAGGTTGCAACAGTCTTCACCCGGCAGTTTTCACTTTGCCCAAATAGCGCAGCAAATGCCAGTGCAAACACAAACTATCATTGGGGTATAGTTAAGAATGAAACATTGTATAGTATGTACAAGGCTGGATCAGACTACTATAGGTAGGAAAAGTCAAAAGTTTCAGGAAAAGTCCAAAAACCTTTCAGTAAGAAGGTTCGGATTTTCAAGCCTGGAATACCTTCTTTTCAGACGAAGAAGCACCGGTTATAACATGTCCATCACCATCAACGTTCGGGACCGATACAGGCAAGAAATATAAAACAGTCATCATGCCTCAACTGGTTTCCGCAACGGATAACAGTGGCAAAGCTCCGACTGTTACAACCAGCATCGGTAAAACTCAGCATCAATTTGCCATCTCCGCGCATGCCTACGAAGTTGTTTTCACCGCACGAGATGAAACAGGAAATACGAGAACCTGCCCTTGGTATGTTACTGTTAAAGGTGAGTTGTTGGCATTTCATGTTTTTTTACCTTTGCTTACGGGGACGAGCCGCAAGCGGCCTAGGGCAGCCAGGCACAATATATTACTGTGGTAATAGTAATATACATTCACACGATTTAATAATGATGCCCTGTACTCTTTGCATTAAAACCAACCGGTAAATTGATGTCGCACACATCATCAGTGCTTCCACATGTTTAGATATGGAGAAACCCAAGGTCCTCGAGTGTCCAAAAGATATCACCATCATTAGCACGAAAGACAAGGAGAGAGTCAGCTGGGATGACCCAAAATTCCAAGATAATTACGATCCCACGCCACGGATAACCTCTAATCGAGGGACTGGAACCTTTTTCAGTTTTGGTAAAACGTTGGTTACCTATAAGGCAACCGATGAATCTGGAAATGAGGCTATTTGTCAATTTAATATTATCATATCAGGTACAATATTAGTCTACCTAGCTACCTACCTACTTACCTAGCTACATACCTAAATACCTAGCTACCTACCGAAATACCTAGCTACCTACCTAAATACCTAGCTACCTATACCTACTTACCTAGCTACCTACCTAAATACCTAGCTACCTACCTAAATACCTAGCTACCTACCTAAATACCTAGCTACCTACCTAAATATCTAGCTACCTACCTAAATATCTAGCTACCTACCTTAATACCTAGCTACCTACCTAAATACCTAGCTACCTACCTAAATACCTAAATACCTAGCTACCTACCTACCTACCTACCTAAATACCTATACCTACCTATCCACTTACTTGCCCTTCATTAAGTTCATTTTATCGGTTTTATCTTTTTCTAGTTCTCAATTGCCCAGTGTTTGTCGCACCAAGAAACGGTGCACATACCTGTAACATAAAGGTGGATGAGAAATATGAACATCATTTATACTGCAGCACACATTGTCAAAAAGGTTACGCATACATCTCTAATGATGTCTATGAGATTTATCAATGCACGGCAGGAGTGTGGACTGGATTTGATAATTTCCCGCCAAAAATGTACAAATTCGTTGATACGTCAATGAGGCCTTGGGTCGATTGTGCTGGTAAGAATACTACACAACATATATATAGGGTTACCAAGAGGTCCCACGTCTGCAGGGACGTAGGATGTAGTTAAAGTTGGGGGAGGGTAATGATAAAGTTGGGGGTTAATAATTCCATGATCGGAATCCATGAAGTTAATACTTAATCTAGGCTAATCCTGCAGGGTTAGTGGTTGGGCAAGGATTAGAGTTAGGTTAAAGCTAGGATTATATTTGTGATTCGGACATTCAGTTGAATCAAATTTCTAAACAAAATTTCTTGGTCGGCGAATCGTACATAGTTAACTTCAAAATACATGAATCTGATTGGCCAATCCTTTCACTAGCTATAGTTAAAGTCAACTACCTTTTTGATTAAACGAGCGTCTGATCTTTTTTTACCAAGGTGAGGACACAGCAGAGGGCGTTAAGAAAGTTATCAATGCCTACGTTGGAACTTGCAATGAGAACAACAAGGAGGCCTTGGAAGCAATCAAGCGAAGGTTCATAGCAACCCTAAACGAATTCATGCTATCCAAGTTGATTTTCTGTGGAAAACATCAAGCAAACTGCGATATCTCGAACGTAAAGGTGTATTGTGGAAAGAGCAAGCGAAGCGGAGACGTCTCAAAACAGGTCGTCTCCGTTGAGATTGTGATTCGTGATGAAATGTCCTGGAAAGACGCTGCTAAAGCCTTAAAGCAACACGAGATGATGAAGATGGACCTGGATGCCACGGAAATGGTGGCCGACCACAAGATCGTCTCAAAGATGGGCATCGCAGGAATGCATTTAGAAGGATACGAGTCGAAATTAGCATGTAAGGCTGGTGAGATTCTGAAGGTTCGTGAAGGAGATGGTGACGAGTTGACCAGATCTTCCTGTGGTAAGATATTTTCAAGTGGAGTAAAGAGTTAAGACCTTTCCTTTAATTAAGTCATAGCTTCAATATTGTTAGCTTAGGACCACTTTTAAAATAGAGTTTATTTCACGTTTGGCAATGTAGTCTATATTCAAATTTTAACGATGAATGTGGCATAACGTAAGAGTTATGTTGGCGGAAGATGTTTTGAACATAGCTCGTCAGAGTAAAACGAGTAATCTATTTCAGTTTAAGTTCTTCTAAGTTGAAAAGTCTATTCCATGCATCAATCAAAATCTCTTTCATTTCTTTCATTTTTCCAGTCAAATGTCCCGAAGGCACATTCTTCAATGACGAAGAGGAGTGTATCCCGTGTCCCGAGGGGACATATCAGGACGATGAGGGTAAAATGGCGTGTATACACTGCCCTGAGGGGACATGGACACTTGGTAATCAAGCAACGAACCAAACCGAGTGCATAGGTATGACCAGTAATTATATTCACTGCACGATCTTACAAAAACAGTTATTTGTTGGTATCTGATCGAACACATCTCCCCTATATCACTTGGACAGAAATGTGGATTTCTAGCAAATTATATGTCGTGTCCGATCCATCTGACCCGAGATATCTGTTGGAGATATTCTGTATGCGTGTATGTAGTAAATGTGCGTGTTTGTCAGTGGGTATATGTAAATCATAAATAATATATAAAAAATTTTCCTAAAAATATACATATTTACTGTATAATGCATGTAACAGGTAGTAAATAGGATAAATGTAAAATAACAGGAAGCTTGGAAATGACCCTAATGGTAATTAGTTGTTTTTGCCAAAATCGATCGTGAGACGGGTATGATGGCCAAAGTTGTTTGGTTGTGCCAAATTAGTAGTTTTGAGATAAATGAAAGTGCGTCAGAACCGTTTCCGAACCGGGAATATATGTAATTGTGTATAAAACTGTTTTATGGTAATTGGATTGTCAGATAAAAAGTGGGTACCCATGCCCATTTCATTTGTGTTCGGCCTTTGTTTTGGTATGAATACAAGTAAAATTGGTATGGGTACCCATTTTATGCGTACAGCGTACCGTGCCAATAAATTGATTGTAGCGTAAATGGGGCTTTCAGTAGTCACTTAAATATTACCCAATTATGATTAGTAGCGTTACATATTCATTTTATGAAATTCTACTAGATGTGTGTGGTCCTGGGGAATACTCCCAACTCGGCAACGGTTTGGCAACATGCATCGCCTGCCCAGCAGGAACATTCCAGCCAAATTTTAGACAGTCGAAATGCTTGAACTGTCCTTCTGGAAAGACCACATCACTTCGAGGCGCGGCTTCTAAAGACGATTGCCAATGAACTAGACGGTGAGTGTTGGCCTAGGTTATACGTCGCATTTTGGTCGTGTCGAATGCAATTAAAACAATAGATAATGAGATGGTAAACCTCATTAAGCGTCATTATCATCTCATTATTTATTGTTCGAATTGCATACGACGCGACCAAATTGCGACTGCGCTTTGCAATCTATAGTTGAGAATGTCGAATGAATAATTATCTCTACGTTTTCCCCAGGTTGATCAAGACAATTGTCAAGTGGTAAAACTGGAGTAGTCATATCAAATATTATCGTAGAAAGCGAAATAAAGTTTAAGAATCACTTACAAGTTACAATCTTTCACTTTCATCTTGTTTACAATCGATGTCGCTAAACGAAACTTTATTGTTGATGATTGCCATGTTTCTCATTCCAAATTACGTAGCTGTGTCTCAAGAGCCATTGTTGGACATGTTTTGCCTGTTCTTTCACTGTTTCACACCTTTAATTGTCGTTTCAGCAAATGAAACATATAGTTGAACTAAGTCTGTTCTGAGTTTCCGTTATGCTCACAACAATGGGAGCCGCGCTAATGCTCAAATTTTTGCTAATTTTGAAATTTTTTGACGCGACCCCATACATTTAGAAGCATAGCAAAATTATATTTAGACCAATATTTACACCGGTTTATCTCAGTGAACCAGGGATGCTCTAAGATGCAATGACAACCATGATTTTGAGTAGTGATAAAATGCAATATATTTACTATAACGTACATTGCGTACATTATTTATACGTGTTTATTTGAGAGTATGGTATTACTACATGTTTATTACTGCGTTTAGGCTGCCGCATACAATTAGCCGCAAATTTCGTAAATTAAAAATTGCAGAAACGCTACATGTTCAGCGGTTTTTTACTGTAGTGAACTCACCTAACTCACCGGTTTAGCCCGATAAACTGGATATTACCCTGCAAAAACCTGTGTTATTTCGGGCGGGGGCATCGAATACTCAGGCAGTTCCAATATGGACGACCAGGTTAGTTGAAAGTGTAAAAGAAACAAGTGTTTTCGACTTCGTTTTGCTTCTTTCTTTTGCGATATACTGCATTTTATCTGTATTTCCTAAACCTGCAGGAACTTGGGCAATTAGAAGTACTCTGCAAGCAGCTTTATGAAAGCACCGAACCAGCGGTTCGAAGTCAGGCAGAAAAGGCTTTGATTAGCTTCACGGAGTCACCAGACTGCCTGCAGAAATGTCAGTACGTCCTAGAACGAAGCACTGTAAGTGTTTACATGCTGAAAACCTACATGCATTGCTTGTTTTAACGCTGTATAACATACTCAAACTTTGCACGTCATGCTCTTCGATCCATATAAACATCAACCCGAACAACTTTCGTGCGTGTTTTGTTTACATAATTTATGACGTGTGGTTAATACCTCGAAGCGAAAGTAGGAGAAATGGACTTTTAAAAGAGTACAAACAAAAATTGCACTTTTTAACCGTAGTATTGTGTCATGTGGTATCTTATGTCATCGATATACCCTAGTAATGACCGTTGAAAGTTTTTTTCAAGTAGCGCTGCACTACAGCGAGCACATGTACACGAGCCTTGCAGATTAACAGATCAGATGCTATCAGGGGACTTTCATCTTAGTTTCCTAAGAATGGATGAAAGTTTCTGTAGCTAAAACACAATCCTAGTGACATTTTGGTAACATACTCCTGCATCCAGGCATTTACCGCAATGCTCCTATTAAAATTCCAGCCCCAGTAAAGACCAATGTACATGGATATACACCCCCAATCAGACATCTAGTGATGGCCTTGGTGTCATTATTTTAGAGATTTTAGGTGGAGAAAAATTACTTCTCTGCACAACCTTGGAATAACTTATAAGCCTGCAAGTTTGACAGAACTCCAGCTTTTATATGCTAGCAAATCACTCCATAATGGCAGACCATTTCAGTTTTGTAGACAAACATTTCTGAAGCATTGTCATTTTTGTTGCTCAAGATACAAGTTGTTTAAATTTAAGATATAAAATTCTAAAGTGATATCTGGACTGTATTTTGAAAAACAACATGCAATTATGTGTTCAAAATAATATGCATGTAAACACAGAATTGCTGACCTGAAACATGTTCCTGGAAAGCAGCAGTATGCGCTGAATGCCCAAATTATTTCACTGTTACTAATTTCAAACAAGTGATACTTTTGGAAAATATTTTACATATAGTCCTCCTATTCGCAACTCCTGGCTGCTTCGTCCTTGAGCAAACTGATTTCAAGAAACTCTGGTGTGTTAACTGTTCAACAAAAACTTGATATTAGTAAGTATGCATCATCAGTAGCCTAACCAGCACGATTACATTTATTCCTGCTTATGCAAATTTTATGTTATTTTAATTATTGAATTCTTTAAAAATTGCATGCTTGTATCACATGTAATAAATAGCAAAATATTACTATATAGTAGGACTGATTCTTAAGGCTAGCTATAGCTAGACCAATAGTCTAATACTATCCACCATAATTACTTTTATTACAACTTTTATATATTAATTAATTATTGTTTCTTACCATTTATTTTAATACAACTGTAATTGTCCTTAGAGAAATTGTTGGGCAACAAGGCTGATATTTGTGGGACTGTAATTATTTATATTTCTGATGTAACAATTATTCTAGCTGATTTGACTTCATAGCTCACAGGGGGTATAGTTGGGCAAAAATAAGGGGGGGAGGTCAAAAGTCAAATAAGTAAACACTACAATGACAACCCCCCTCCCCCACGGCTATGCCACTGGTAGCTCAGTTGTAAAACATGAATTAGTAAACCATACATTGCCTATACATGACAGGATACAAGCGATCATTTTTCTTGCCTACTGGATTTGACTTAAGTAAACTGCACAAATGATGTTTTTAGGAAATTATGTGCTAAACTATTTGGGCTCAAGACCGAAACTACTCCCATTTGTGAGACAGTCTCTCATACAGGTATTGATAACTGTAAACAAATGTTTAAGTGAGAATATAGAGCAGTTATAAAACAATACTTTTTTAGTGACATGGGAAAAATAAAACCTAATTGTCATTTGTCAACAAAATTGATACTTCTATACGTTTAGTTACTGGCTAGGATAACCAAACTAAGTTGGTTTGATAGTCAAAAAGAGGAGTTTGTATTCCGAAAAATCACAGAAGAAATAAAAGAATTTCTTAAGGTCAGTTTTCAAACTGTGAAATATTACCTCGTGCATTTGGAGGTAGTAGCAAAGAACTGCGCATGCGCGTTGTGTCATCCGAAAACAACACAGAACGAAGTTCATGTTGAATTTTAAAAGTTTTTTATGTTTAGGGGTCGATAGAATACTGGATTATTGGTGTACAAATCTTGTCTACCACAGTGTGTGATATGAATCAGGTATGATTGTAATGATATCAAAATCTCGTGTGTTTTAGGCAAAATTTCTGATTTTTTGTATGCAATTCTTGTTCAGGCCAGTTCATGTCGTTCATTAACCAAGCATAGAAAAGTGAGTACCATATATTCATATTAAATATTTGAAGAAGTGTGTATCTCATGATGACGTCAAACGCGGAAAGACTGATATTACACGAAGTTTCATTGGCCCAGCAAAACCAGCGGACCAATGAAACTTCGTGTAAAATCAGGTTTTCCGCGTTTGACGTCATTATGAAAAAGGTCTATCAAGGCGGCGAACTGGGCGCAATTTTAAATCGGCATATCCATGCTGGATAGTTATCACTATCCAGTTTTCGTATAACCTCCACCAGCCTATGTACAAATGGATTATATATATTTCTAATCTAATTGATTTTCAAAGCCGTAACCAGCTGACTGTTTTTCTTGCTTTCGCGATGCAGATTGCTTCCTCGTTTCGCGACGTTGCGTTATACGACATATTTATTATGTCTTGCTCGCTGTTGAAAGAAGCGTTTGAAAAACACATCAATCTACAAGAACAAAATCAGGTGCGTGTTTAGACTTTACAGCGATTTGAAAACGAGGTCATGGCGTTAGGCAGATATAGTTTACGAGCCTTCTGTACATTTTACAAAAATTTCCAGAGAATAATCCTTTGAAAATAGCCTCGACCAATCAGAACACGTGTTATATTCATGCTATTTTGTAAAAATGTTATGTGTCACCATCCTTCTTATAGCACGTGTTGATGAGCGAGTTACTGCAGCTCACGTGCAATTGTCTTACGTTCGATTTCATCGGCACGGCCTCGGACGAGTCAGCGGATGAACTTGGAGCCGTGCAGATACCAACCACGTGGAGAGAAAGTGAGTTTCTGTAACCTCTTGCTCGAGCATGCGAGCGTGCTTCACTGACCGCAATATAAAACAGGACGCACTTACTTCTGAGCTACCTAGGCATAAATTTATAGCTACAGTTATGTTATCACCTTGCGGTCCTGTTGTTGTTTTTCAACGTATCTTTTTTTGTAATTTTTTCAGCTTTCCTCAATTTTGGATCGCTCCAACTGTTTTTCGACCTTTATCACGCTCTACCTGCAACACTCTCGCCTTTGGTAAGTAATTAGCTTACTGCATGGTTAAATTGTTTGAAACGAAGCTTTATGGCTTGCTTCCCCTCCGAAAACCATTCTCGATGTTTTAATATTTAATGATTGGCCGATTTTGTTTTGTTCCAGGCTCTGGGTTGTCTGATTCAAATCGCTTCGGTCAGGCGATCGCTTTTTAGCAATGCCGAACGATCAAAATTTCTGGATAAAATTGTCAGTGGAATTAAAGGAATACTCGATTCTCCGCAGGTAATAATATTCACGAGTATTATCTAGGATTTTATAATGTGCCTTAAACCATCTTTATTCAAAAAGTCTTTGAAAAAAGCCTTGTGAGAAAAATATAAAGGCTTCCTACTACACAGTAAATCACCTTGATGTTTGATAATTTCCTAAGGGTTATATTAATGGTCTTAATTTCCACTCGAAGTTAAGACCCGTTATATCCCTTCTAACGCATGCAGTAGATGTAACAAAGCTTGTTTTTCCTTTCTCTTTACTGTCCCCAGTCTTTGGCTGAACGGAACAACTACCATGAATTCTGTCGTCTACTCTCCCGGCTAAAATCAAACTATCAGTTGGCAGAACTGGTCAAAGTCGAAGGCTATTCCGCGTTAATTGCAACCATCGCGAAATTTACTGTCACCAGCTTACAGGTATTATTACTGCAAACATTGGTTTCATTTATATGCAGAGCTGATGGCAGATCATTTCCCCGAATTGTCTCAAGGTACGTACTACATACATATTGGCTTATACTTCATGTTATCTCTATTTTAGATGTGGCAGTTTTCTCCCAATAGTATTCACTATTTACTTGGTCTCTGGCAAAGAATGGTGTGTTCAACACCTTATATTAAGTCAACTGAGCCACATCTCTTAGAAACATACACACCCGAGGTAAGACCTGTCACCTCCCCCCCCGGTGTTTTTACAATCAATCTATATTTGATCGCAGGGAAGGGAGCCCATTTCCTGTAAAATGAGATGATTATTTTGTGCTAACATTTATTACATTATTCACGTTTATTTTATAACATTTCGAAACTAAACTTTGCAGTTTTACTTCTTCTAAGATATTCTTTCCAGTTGCGATGTCAAATTTTATAGTCTATATCGTAGGAATTCGAATAAATACTATTTGAAATAATGAAAGTTAGTCCTGTTTTGCTGTGAGTTCAGTGACCTCAGTGATCGCTAAGCATAATATATAGTTTTTTTATGCTTCGCGATCACTGGCGTCACTGATCTCACAGCGCAACTGGACCAACTTCCGAATAGTATTAAATTTTATTGGGATTCCTATGTCTATATCTGAAACCACTCATTCTGTGACTCACGGAGTTTGCTCTGTGAACTTTATAACCAATGTTTTCAGTGTGTTGTCCGTCGGTTTTTAGATAACCAAGGCATACATAACGTCCAGATTAGACAGCGTTCAAGCTGTTATAAGGTATTTACTGGGTCTCCTTGAGTCCAGCGCAACACTGCTTTTGGTACACACTAGAAATTCAATCTATTGTGAGGCACCGAGTACCATTCAAAGCTAAAACCAGAAGTAATTCTATTTTTTAGCGATAACATAGAAGATCCACTCGAAGACCTAGGAACGGTTTCACAGCAACTTGACCAGGTAACTGACGGCCTTGTGGATAGCCGTTTTGTTTTTTGAAATTATACAAAGTACATTCAGTTACTATGTAGATATCAGTGACAAAAAAGAAAGAGCGCGCGGGGGGGGGGGGGGGGGTACTTTGGAAAGTTGACAAAAAAAAACAAAACCTGCGGTTTCCTATCTTTCCCAACCGAGCTAGTTTCGCAGTCATCTCAGAATCAGGTCTGGATTTGGTTTTGAAAAGGTCAGGCGGGAGGTTTTGTTTTAGTGAAAGGTTCATGTTCATGTGGTTCATGCTTCAAGCTTCTTAACGACTTTTGTTTCCTGCTTTAGATATCGACTATTGGTCGATTTGAATACCCGAAAACCTGCACACTCCTAATCTCAACATTCGACCAGAATGCACAGTCTTTTGAAGAAGCTATCTTACCCGGTTCCTCGTCGTCCTCAAATATACCGCTCTATGAAGGTTGGTCCTTTCACTTTTAAATTGTACCTCGTGAAAAAAAACCTTACTAAAAAACTTATATCCCCGATTGCCAAGCCCATGAATGATACAAGCGATGAAATAAAACAAAATAAAATATTCCTCTTCTGACTTTAGACGTACTGAACGCTAAATTTGTAAATTTAATCCCGGTTTCCATTTAGTCGTAATTGTCGTAAACAAGTCAATGTCACCGATGAGAAATAGCATAGAATTTAATATTTTGTTTATTTCTCTATTCAAATCGGTCATTGTTGACTGCACACACATAGAAATATTCTATCACATCTGCCACCTTGACATGTTCACGACACTAAATGGAAACCGATGTGTAATATTATTCTTAAATTTTTGCATGGTGAATTAAGAACTCAAACAAGTATGTGCATATAGCAAATGCATGTGGTGTTTTCTACAAATATATGATTTAAGTTAAACGATATATTTAGGTCGGTTAACATGGCTCGTGTACATTATCGGAGCGGTTATCGGCGGCCGTGGTTCGACTTACACAACGTTTGAGGAATACGACGCTTTAGATGGAGAATTAGTTTGCAGGTATAATGACTAACCTAACACGGGGTAAATTTCGTTTTAGACCAATCAGTGAGTTGGTTTACATTTTCCATAACCCAATCAGAATGCATAAATTTTGATAAAAAGTACAATATATATCATTTTATATGAAGTATTTAAAATTTAAACATTCTGATTGGCTTTGCCTAAAAAATGTAAACAAATATGGCGATTAGTTTAAAACGAAATTAGTTTAAAACGAAGCGTATTTTTTGACAACGTCAAGATTTCAACGAATACTTTCTATTGGAAACGATATTCGAATAACCCAAAAAGGCCACAGTTGTGAAAACATGAATATGTGGGTATGTGCATACTTCCCATTCTGCCATTTTCAAGGAAGATTTAATGCAAAGAGAGGGACCAAATCTCATAGTGAAAATAAATAATAGCAAACATAATTTAAGAAAATATCAAGGGCAATCGTATAATGTTTATTAATTCCGATGTTTATATTGAAGGGTGTTGCAGTTAATGACTCTGACGGATAGTAAACTTTCTCAGGTACCTTTTATCGTTTTCTATAATAAAGTTCTTCCACCCCATGCCCAAGAAACTCGACCCAACCCTCGACTTAGTACCCTGGATCCTCGACAAAAAGCTAAACAATATAAAATCCGTCGCCTTGATACAAACATTCATTAATCATTCCCGTTTCCGTAGAGAGGGTGCGAGAGAATGGAGCTATCATATTTAAGCTTCTTCGACCAATTCAGAAAAATCTATGTTGGTGACCAAGCTCAGAAGACCTCCAAGGTTTGATATGCGACTATTTTCGCGATGAGTTTCGCTTACATGGGACATGTCGCAGCTCTCGGAAGCTTTCGTCCAATTGGATAATGCTTTTCTATGCTTTCTAATGAACGAAGCTATGCTATTGGTTCAAACAGAAATGTATTGTGAGGTTCAGCCAATGAAAATCTTTTTGCGAGGAGCTGCGACACTACCCGCTTACATGGCATTCATACGCGTTTATTGTTCACGGTTTTATTATTTTTTCAGGCGTACAGAATTGTATCCGAACGTCTTGGTCTGCACGACGAGTCGATGGTCTTGAGTGTTTTCGTAACAAAAATGTTAGTTTTCGATGCACTTTCTTAATGTTTTCTTTAACGTGTCGTGATTAAATTCAGTTTCTTGTATGTATATATCCATATTGCTCTATTTCAGCGTTACTAACATCAAGTACTGGATGCGAAGTGATGCCATTATTCCCAAGACTCTACAACTGCTCAGTGACCTGTCCGTTGGATATCCTTTTTAAACTGAACGAAATCCTAGTCTGACTTCCCTAGTCGCTCTTTATAGAGGACCGTAAATGAACAGCGCAGAAATTGGTGTCTATCAAATTGTGCATTTCTGTATCGCGCTATCAAAAAAGAAAACTATTGAATAACTTTAAAAAGTTCAATTTTTCTTTTGAATACGCTCCTGCAATCTTTTGACAGCTCATCATACACATCTGACAGCTGTGAAATGGCCAAAGTATACGCAAGGTTACTAATTCAGACGATTCGTTTTTGCCGTGTGCAAGCTTCAAATCTTTTGTATAAAACATTTTTTGTTGAGTATTTATAAATCTTTTTTCTCTCCAAGTTTGAGAATTGCAGCTAAGTCTTACCAATTTCCACGGTGTCCTGTAAATGCCAATTATAATTTTTCTTGCCTTTTAAATTGTCAAAAACAAATGAAATTTTCCTTAACCAAGTTCACCTACAGCAGTGTACGAAAACTACAGAAGCTTGAGGCAGTGCAGTTCATACTTAGAAATCACACTGTAAGTGAATGACCGGTCTCTTGCGAGGTCCAGTATAGGTAAAGAGATCAGTTTTCTCCCTATATCAAGTATCTATCTCCATATACTGCAGGCTGAACATTTTCCATTTCTTGGCGCCCACACTGGTGGACAGTATTCCGAGATGAGATGTAGAACGACCTTCTACGTTGCGCTAGGAAGATTACTGATCGTGGATCTCGGAGAAAACGAAGAAAAATTTGAAGAATTCATGATACCTTTATCAGGTTGTACTTAAACACCACTGGATATGTAAATGAATTTGACAGCCAAAATTCAAATACCCCAGTTTGGTTTTTAGTCCCGACTTCAACACTCCATCAACGAGAGATCTAATGTAAACACATCGTGTTTCTTATATTTAGGCACATTTCGTACGATAACCTCGAGACTTCTTAAAGGAGATCCGAATGCATTTCAAATTGACGAAACAAAGGTACTTCATGTCATATCGTGTGTCACAAATTTGCAAGTCTTTAGTAAAGTCATTCATTGGTAAAATTATTCAATTCCTTTTCCTCGGCTTTCTTAGAGAATTCTGGTCGGGATTTGCCGGGATCTAACTGGATTAACTCTTGCACTGACGAGTAAAACTAGTTATATGATGTTGTTCGACTGGATGTATCCTTAACTTCTACTATACTGCCCTTGGTACACTAGAAGTATTTTTGTCCAATTTAATATTGCGATCTATTAAGCGCATATACTACTACTGACCGCAGGATGAAACTGGACAAAATATGACAACTAGAAATGCGATTCTTATATAGGATAATATTTTATGTTTGACCCCACCTCCTCAAAGGGTGGAGGGTTTTCCCTGTAGTTCTGACGATTACACCCTGGACTCTTCAGTAGTACGTGATCATCGCCTTCATTTATTCATTACGTTTTCATTTATTCATCATACTACTTTAACACGAGATCCTAGATACCCCCAGTTCACCCCTGTTTTAATTCGTGCATTGGAACTCTGGTATCACGACCCAAACGTCACCACTCCAGTTCTAAAGCTCATGACAGAACTGATGCAGAACAGATCTCAGAGATTGCATTTCGGCGTCTCCTCGCCAAACGGAATACTTCTTTTTCGAGAATGCAGCAAAGTCTTAATCGCATATGGTAAGCTGACCATGGTTTTGCATGCTCTATGTCTATACCCAGAACTAGAGAACGTTCAAAGCTACCTTGTGCAAAATATGTTATAACAAAAGTTACCTGCTGATAATTACTTGCTCTGTGCCTCTTTTCAGGATCGCCTATTCTGTCAATCAATGACGTACCCGCGGACAGAGCATATACTTTGAAATATCCTTTTTCTACTATAAAAATTAATTTCTTAGTCCGGTTGATCTCTTTTTAAGATGTACAGAATAAGCGATTATTGTGAACTTCTTTGTTCCAATTGGATGTGCTAGAAACGGGGGGGGGGGCGGTTATGTTCTGTGTGTTTTGGCGGGGTGTAGCAGGGATGGGGTGGCGGAAAGGCGGCAAGGGGGGGGTAGCAAGCGGAAAAAATATCTGATGAAAGTCATGCATCACACTGCAATACATTACATTTGAGTTTTCCACCATTTCAAAGGCACATCCCAATCCCCTCTAAAACGGTGGTAAATGTTTTTTAAATAGATCGGGATGAAACCTTTTCAAACTACGAATTTTAGCTAAGTGGGAAAGAACTAACCATCGTGACGATATTTCCAGCTTGCTATGAGATATGTAATACGTATATGTATTTATTTATCTTCTCTGTGCTCTCCTTAACCATTTCTCTACGTTCAAAGGTATTTCGATATGCTTCAACATGCTAAAGGCTGCATTGTCCGGAGGATACGTTAATTTTGGTGTATTTAATTTATATGGCGACGAAGCACTGAATAATTCGCTCAATATGTTCGTAAAACTCGCGTTTTCAATACCAAGCAAAGATATCTTGGTGAGTGAATCGTGGACATCGAATATTCAGGCCCTCTGAGACTGTATACTGGTGGAATAATTTATCAACGAAAATTGACAAAACAAATCTGCAAAAAGATTTTGTAACATACTGAACTTTAATAATATTCCTGAAAGTTTGCATGTTAACATCAAATAAAGTAAAATAGCTTGTAGGTACACGACGTAAGTATTTGATACTGCAAAGCTTTCGGTGGTTTTCGCTTTATTTCACCGATGAAGGCCCGGGTTAACGGACCGAAAGCTTTACAGTATTGAATACTTACGTGGTGTACCCACAAGCTATTTTGCTTCTACTGAACTTTTCCTAAAAACAACATGATTCATGTAGTCAATGTTATTGCCAATGTCCTTTAAAAAGGATCTAACTAGGCCTGTTCTAATGTTGAAAATGCTTTCAATGCTGAAATTGAAATGATCCCCAATCCTAAAACGTGGCTGGTAATTGTATTTGTTTCTTTTACAATTTGTTGTACAGGATTATCCCAAGTTAAGTCACGCCTATTTCAATCTAGTAGAAGTTGTCACGCAGGATCATATGAAATTTTTCAGCAACCTCGAACCAAATGTAAGTTCAAAAACTGTTGCCTTTCACTGACACCGACCAATGATGTGCTAATGCTTGGACTATACATATATTAATTTGTTTTATTATCTTTAGATCTTCTTGTATATATTATCGTCCATTTCAGAAGGTCTGGTCGCACTAGGTTAGTAGCTATAGATAAGTAAATATTGGGAACTATTTAATTTTTTTCCATCTGGTGGAAAACCTCTCTTGCAACTTGCAATGCAATTCTACTTTTGAGAGATGTGAATTTGGCAACTACGAAACTTTTATGCTTATTTCACTCCATCAGTCTCCATGTACGTTTCTTACACTTAAATTTTAAATACTCTGTACTAATTTGCATATCTTAAAAGTAGGATTGCATTGCAAGTTGCAAGAAAAATTACACCGTGTAACATGGCCTTTAGACAGGTTTTCATATATTTTTGGGTTGTATAACCTCACTGCAGATTGAATAATGTATTTATTTGTTTCACATTGAAGTATTTGCATTATGCAACTCGTGTCATTCTCCACTGCAACAATTTTGTTGATTTTTAGACTCCATGGTCTCGACGAGCTGTTGTGCGACCTTAGATAACATTGTATCATATATATTTAAAATCCTATCCAAACGAAATAAGCAAGCATCTCAAGTAACGGCGACAGAGGAATTCTCATGTTTGACAACACTTGAGCTTAACCCTGACGTTTTACGACAGGCAAGTTTTACTTTAATCTAAACTGCACGTTGATTAGAACTGACACGTTCTTACGTCAGACCAAAGTAAAATGGTAAATTGCAATGCAATTTCATTAACAACATATATTTAGTGTAAACAATTTCTTCTATGGATCTTCTTATTTTCTTTAGTTACTCTCCACAGTTCTCAATATAATAATGTTCGAAGATTGTAAAAACCAGGTAATTTGATTGAAAATTCAGCGTTATTCGTTAGTAATATGCATACCATATATAAATTATATCTCCCCCCTCTTTATCTTCGCAGTGGTCAATGTCAAGGCCTCTACTTGGTTTGATTTTATTGAATGAAAAGGTAAAACTTCATGTTGTTGGTATTTAAATGTATCTGCACACTCGGCAGAGATTCAAATATACTAAATCATGTATGTAAACTTACTTTTCAATCTTTGTTCTATCCCTTTTTACGTTCAACAGTACTTTACCGAGTTGGAACAAAATATCGTGGCTTCGCAAGCGATGAATAAACAGCAGCCGATGGTTGAATGCTTCAAAGCTCTTATGCAAAATGTAGAAAGATCTCTGAATGGAAAAAATAGAGACAGGTACATCGTATATGCCACTATTCATCACTCGCTTGCAAAACTCTATCATTTATGAAAAATTGCACGATATTCTTTTTGCCAGGTGTAATGTGTTCGGTTTTTCCGCACAAATTTCAGCAGAAACTTGAGAATGATTGGTTGATTTTTTAACCAATTGCGAGACAGGTTGCAGTTTGGGACGCCACAAAGCAGGCTTAACTTTGCCATGCAGTTTCATATTTTAATTGCATTGCAAATTGTAAACAAGAAGTGTTACTAATCGACTGGTAATACCAACTATTGCATCGTGTGGCATTTGCCAGCCGTAGCAAAAATTGCGACGTATAACATGTTATAAGACATCTTTCATCATCATTTCCCAGATTTACCCAAAACCTGTCAGTATTTCGTCGTGACGTTACCAACTTGTCGAAAAATCCCAGCGAGAATCCAGTCAACACGGATATGATGAATTGAAAGCAAGTCGAACTTGGCGTTAGATCGAGCGAGCAGGATAACAGGAAGAGCCATTCGTGCTAAAGAAAGCCGAAATATGCATGAATGAGGTTAAGATAAAATAGAGGGTCTCGTCGAAAGCAGGTAGTATAAAAGTTTAAAAGTCAGTGCAAATTTTAGGTCTACTTAGAAATTTGCACAAAACGCAAGCTGTTTGGATTGGGATGAATGGTGGATATCGCCATCTTTGACATTGTGTTTTCTGGAAGTAGCTGCTCAGACCAGATCTCCGTTCCCTTTAATGTTTTTCCTGCAAGGAACTCAGTAGAATAAAAAGTAGAAATAGAAGGTCCTATCTATACATTGCAATTTATTTCGTCGAAAAAGCCGAAGCATGTTTTCTATAAACCAACATTTTTACGTAACAAAAATAGGCAATGAAAGAAAGACAAAAGATACAATATCTTACTTGTGTCAAATATTGAGACACTAAACTTCGCATATATTGACAAAGGACAGCGCACACGTTGACATTGTTACCGAGTACAGGTGTTTGCATTTTGTAATCCTGCAGGCTGCAGAATAAATCCTATCATTTCTTTCTCGATGCAATTCATTACCATAGTTGTAAAGTAAGCCTTTATTAGTCAAACTTTGAATATTTTCCGTCCATTAGACCTTATGAAAGATTTGTGGTTGAATTCAGCTAACCAGCTTAGATTACCGGTATATATCTTATTGTAGCATAATTTGATCTCCTTTACCCAACATTGTACCTTCTCCCAACAACCACGTACCCTAGTTATCCCTAATTCACCTACGCTGACGTGTCTTGTTTATAAAGTTGTACACTTTTTAAAATGACAACGTGAAAAAAATTATTTATAGTTTTTTCTAGCTGAGCAAGAACTAGTCGCAGATGCCGCGACGGTAAGCCTAAAAAGGAGTGTTTGAATCTATTCCGCTTTTTAAACAAGCAACTTAAGACTAGCATTAATAAACAACAGAGTTTTAATAATCGTAAAGACTTTCACAAGTACTTCGTATATATTATACAAAAGGTTTTTGTTCCAATATTCAATCTTTTATTATATACGCTGGTGTAAAAAAGCGATTATCGTGAAATACCATTTATGTATTAGGAAGATAGAAAATGCTTGATTTCTGTACTTTAGAAACGTTGTTTATGGTTTTCTCACTGCCTTGGTCATGATTCCAATCATGTTCCAATATACCTCTGAATAGCAGCATTATTTATAACGTTTCCTATTTGACCTTTTAGTACGTTTGTGTAGGAAAAAACTCAGATGCCCTGGAAGAATATTCGTTGAAAATATTTTTAGTTTTAAAACTTTGAACATGTCGCATACAAGTGAATTGTCTGATGGATAGAATTGTATGTGTTGGAACAAAATCTATTTGTTAACACAGCTGTTGCAAACCTTTGCAAATTTGTTTTCAGGTTTTTATGTCCCTGGACAAACTTCCCTGTGTCATTCAATTTCAAAATGGCATTCACCCCATCTCAGAATCAAAGTGCCACAGATCCAGCAAAGAAAAACAACCACAATGGGAGGTACCTTATCCTTGTAGCAATTGCCATTATCTTTGTGATAATTTTGATGATAACAATGGATGTTCATAAAGACAAGTCAAGACCAAAGTTTAATGTTGTTGCGGGAAACAACTTGTGGATACACAACAAGGACTCTAAATATCATTATGGTATAGTACTAGACTGCGGAAGCAGTGGAACAAGAGTTTTTATTTATTATTGGCCTGATCACAATGGCAACCCTGAACACTTGTTAAATATTCAACAAATGATTGATCGAGATGGAAGACCTGTTCGGATGAAAGTCCGTCCTGGTGAGTGTATACATGCATATTCTATACGATAACAAATATTTGCCAAATTCTCTAATGCATTCAGTCCCAACTGCCCTGAATTGGATGTGAATTTGATGTGTTCTTTTTCTTTCAAGGCATTTCAACATATGAAGACAAACCTCAAAATGCATCGAGTTACATCTATCCACTGCTAAGACATGCAGCAAATCACATACCAAAGTCAAAACATTCAGAAACACCTCTGTATATCCTAGCTACGGCTGGCATGAGATTGCTACCCAAGAAAAAACAAAATGCAATCATCAATAATCTTGTCACAGATATTCCTTTGCATTTTGATTTTCTTTTCTCATCCACTCAAATTGAAGTGATAACTGGGAAACAAGAAGGTAAAGTCTGTGTATTGGTTGTGTATTTCACTTGTTGACAACTTCATGTCACCTCAACTCTCTTCTGTGCAGAAGTCTCTCAGGGCCTAGTAGGCCTGTTTCAATAACTATATGTTACAGACAAGCAGGCTTCTGCTAGGAATAATCACTGCAGATCGAGGAAAGAGTCACTTGATTGAAAATGTTCTCTGTTTCAATCATGATTAAATTCTAAAATTAATGACACTGATTAGCTCAATCCGTGTAATCCTGGTTTGGTATCTCAATTGGTGTTCTAATATCATAATTTTAATAGGTATTTATGCCTGGATAACCATCAATTATGTTCTTGGAAGATTCAATCATTCCAATGGTAAATATCCTTTGCATAAAGGAGATTTTGTTATGATAATCCAACTAGATCCATGTAGCAGTCATAATATAGTTCAGTAAATCCTAAATATGTGAATTATTCCTTGAGATTATAGGGTCAGAATTAGGAATTTTAGGATTTGTGAATCTTAGATTAATCCTAAATCTAACCATGATTCTAACCTAATCCCAAGGATTAAATTCCTGTATATAATTACGATTTACTGAACATTTACTGAATTGTTATCATTTACAAATATATCCTACTAATCCTAGATTGCTTAATATGGCATTTAAAGGAAAACTGTACTGGTTTTCCTGTTCTAAGAAATTTCTGTATTTATTGCAGATCGTCATCATGGCAATACAAGTTCTACACGAAAACGAACTGTTGGTTCTCTTGACATGGGTGGTGCCTCAACGCAAATCACTTTCGAAGTACCTCAGTCGGTAAGTATTTTAAAAACTCATGTTTTTTTTTCAAAACTTCATCCATTGATCGATTAGAGCATCTTCGACTTCGATATTTGCTCCAACGTACAACGTCATTTCGGTTACGTTTTCGTCGATTTGAAGAGCAGATGTTGGAAATGTAGTTTTGTTGTCAAAGGTTTTGGGTGAAAGTTTATTTGACGTTCAAATGTACCTGCCTGGATTGCTTGTCGAAAGAAACACGAAAGAAATGAGAGCTTATATAGATTATAGACTACGACCTTGTCGGTCAGTGTACAACAGTAACAACATATTCATTCTTTGCGAACAGGAGAAGCTTCCAGCTCACCTAACAACGCAGGTGAACCTAGGATGTGATTCTCATATGACCACTCATAACTACAAACTTTATGTCGCGACGTTTCTCGGCTACGGCGCAACCACTGCCCGAATTCGATATCTGGATACGATCCTCAGGAAAGGAAATAATACGGTTCACAGGTGAGCTTTTTCCCAAGCCTTTTCTATTTAAAGTCTTTTTTTAAACAAACGTGAGAACAAACCACTGGAACAAACGGACATTGAATGTTATGAAAATTAACTGAAACTCTCTGAATTGACTGGGACTAATTCATTTCTTATTTTAAATATCTCAATTTCTCTTGAAATATACTTTATTTCTGTTTCAAATCACGTCAGAGCTAAAATTTTTATAACTAAACATGATCACAAAGTTCCAACCAGTTTGAAAAAAATAAGAAAATGGTATAATCGATTAAATTGCTACTGCAAAATAGATTTCCTTATCAAGAACACTTCTGAGCTCTGATTGGCTAAAATATTCGCGCGAGATCAGCTAGTTGTATTACGCGCGTAATACAAGTATGTAAACCATGTAAACATTTACCAACTTTGCATGGCTATAATTTTTTAATTTCACGATATTTCGAAACCAACTGACTTTTTGGTGTCACTCATTTGAAGTTGGTCGTACTAGCTGTGCTGTTTTACTTCCTTCTCCTATTACAACATGCAAATAAAAATAGTTTTATATAAATAAATAAATAAAGCAAGTCTTTCCTTTTCTTCCAAGCCATTCCCGGATCTACCACGATCCGTGTTTACCAGCGGACATTCGGATAAGAGGCAACCACGAGGGAATACGATATCATTTGAAAGGCACGGGGAACTTTGAAACCTGTCGGGAAAGGCTGCTGCCGTTGCTAAACAAATCTGAACCATGTCGCTCACCTCCTTGCTCTTTCAACGGCGTTCATCAGCCCCAAATTTCGTTCAACACAACTGAGTTTTATGGATTCTCGGAGTATTGGTATTCTGTTAACGATGTTTTGAGGTTGAAAGGTGTCTATAACTCGCAGAAATTCGATATAGCGTCCAAGGTATGACATCACATATATAGTTTATGTTTTTATAGTTTTAGAATACTATATGATGAAAAACCTACTCCGACGAAAAACAAGTTCTTCAAGAGAAGACATAAATTATTAGGTTAATTTATTACCAATTATAATTAGCTAATTATTAGTTTAAATTATTATCACGATTCTGGTTCATTGACAAACCAGCAATTTTAATTTGAGTCGAAATATCACTGTAAACTTGCTGTCTCAAATCTCAAATCTTGCATCTACAGAAAATCTTCTTTTGAGTATGTTCTTTCTTTTATTCCATCCAACTGCTTGTATTCCATCCAATTTGCTAGGAATAACTTTTTAAACTATATATTCTAATATAATTGTCCGTCAAGAATAAATATGCTTCTATATATAATTGTCGAGTTTTGTCTTTCTGTAGGACTTCTGTAAAACGACCTGGCCCGTTTTGTACAAAAGATTCAAAAGTCGCTTGTATCCATTTGCTGATGAGCATAGGTTTATGTAAGTATATGATTGTCTTGTTGTATTTCAACGGAGGATTTACTTAAGTAATTAAAGAAATAAAACAACTGTAAACAAAAGGTAAAAGCAATTGAACGTTTTAGGTATCAGTGCTTCAAATCAGCTTGGATGACGAGCGTTACTCACGACGGTTTTAAATTTCCGCGAGCGTACAGAAAATTACATCCGACGTTTATGATTGAAGGGAAAGAAATTCAGTGGACTTTGGGCGCCATTTTGTATCGAACGCGCTTTCTTCCATTGAGGTAAGCACCATAACGGTCGATAATCATATTGCTGCTTCTTCGTCTCAACTTCACGAATCTTTTAGTATACTTGAACCTCAAAACTTTCCATTAACTTGAGAAAAAATAATGCTATTATCAAAAGTAATTATAACTACTGCTGCTGCATGGTCCAAACTTAATCGAAATTCCAGCTTTAAAACAAATGCATTATCTTTTAACACTATATACACTTTTAGACGAGTTATATTAGTTTAGAGCGTTTTAAAAACGGTTTAATGAATCTTATGGCAGCAATGTTGAAAAGAGTCCCCAATTAGGTGCTCGCTCTTTAAATTGATATTTAGGAAGAATAAGAGTTGTTCGGTTGTAAAAAAGAGGTAATTAATCTTCACCACTGACCTATATTAGATAATATAGGTCAGTGGTCTTCACCTATCGTCTAAAACGTAAAAGACCTCTTCTGACATCTCCACAAGAGCGAATTATAATCAAGTGGGGCCGTTCAACGTGGCCCCTTTTAACTTCAGTAATTAATGGCATGCAGATGCGCGAGCCAGTGTCAATATTCATATCAGTGCCAGCAACCCATGCGTACGCCAGTCGCGCCATAAGAGGAGTTTGTAAATCTATCTTGTTTTTAGGGAAATGCAAGTGCAATCCAAAGTTGCATCGAACTCTTACCAATCTTGGGTGAATATTGGCGACTCCGGTTTCAAAGCAATTGTTTTTGTATGTTCCGGAGTCGTTTTGTTTTCAATTTACATCATATTTACTAGACCCAGACTCCTATCGCCTTCAGGGCGAGCTTCGTCTTCGTCGACCAAGGTCGTTAGTAGAACTCCAAACTACCCGACTGACTATAGGATATCATTGTAACAGTAGAATATCATAAAGAAATTACGAAATGTTTATATAGAGAATGATACATGGATGCGCGGAAATATGGAATTTATTTCGAGTGTTGAGAATGATAGCGAACAAGTGAGATATCTTTCTCAACACGAGAAATAAATTCCATATTTCCAAGCATCCATGTATCATTCTGTTTATTATACAATAAAAAACTGTGTTTTTTGAAAAGTTTTTTATCCCCCTTCCTGATTCCAGATCGGTGGATCAAACACGATAATCGCACATGTGTTATTATCATCAATAATCGCGCATGTGCTATTATCGCTTTTCAAAATGGCGGATTCGTCAATAAAACACTGCATATTATATAATAAATATATTTATAATACTTTAGCAATAGTTTGTAGGTTTATTAAAAATCATCCGCTGAGAATCAGAAAATTTACTAAATGGTTCAAAAGAGATTCCAATTTTAAGTATAACAATATATTTCAGGCACATATGCACGGCTTTTTACAGATTTTTATATTTGAATAATGATTCTGTATAAAAGAGACTAAATCGTCATGAAATATTTACAGATTATAAATAAGATAATCAAATTCTTTGCTTCCAAGCAACGGCCAATGTCACATTCTTGATTTATTACAAATATTTCATTAGCTTATCGCTTGTGGACTGTTCGAAGAATTCTTGTCCTTTTCCAAGTCATCAACAAAATTCTAAAGTAGAAAAATAAGTTTTCACTTTGTGTGCTTTTATGTCTTTTAAAATTTTAAATTACACCCTCCTTTCTTTCATATAATTAGTAAAGCAAATTAGTTTCTCGACCGAAGGTTAACAGAAAATAAGAAAACGTTTATTTTCTATTTTTGAATGAGAAATATATTTCAAGCTTTGGATGTTTAAAGTGGCAGATATACCTCAAATTTTTCATCGAAATTCATAGCCACATGTATTTTGAATTAAAAGAAATGGGTGTTTTAGTATTGTATTGTTTATGACTTTGAACAATTGCTTTCCTTTGAACCAAGCATAAACCCATTATATCTATAGAGTGATCTTTTATTGTGCACAGAGAATATTAAGCATTGGTTTAATGTAATACTTTCATTTTCAGAAACCTAGTCAACTATGAACGTAAACCAAGACCTAATCCTTAATCTAATCTAAGACTAATCCTAAACATTATTAAATTCGTGGATTTAGGATTTACTGAACATGGAATTATTAACCAAAATATCGCATACCTTGTCAATCACATCCATGCTGGTGCCTAACGTCTCCTTGATGTAGGTGAGATAAGCTACGGTCACCTCGAGTATGTTTGCTTTATCCGTCTTTAGACTACCGCAGGGAACTAAATTTCGTAGATAGTCGTAACATTTCGTCTGACGCAACCTACAATGATTTAAATTAACGATTTACAACATTTTCCAATAACACATTGAATGGCGTGAATGCTCCCTTGTCTACTGGGGGGATTAAAATTTGCATTAAGTGCGCTGTTAGCTTATATTGATCAATAGAAATATAAAAAGAAAGCATGATGGGAAGATTAAATTGGAAAAGTTGAGGATACTCTTCACTGGTGCTTTGAATTATACTCCCCTCCCTGCCGATAAGCCAAACACGAAGCCTGGGACTTAGGCAAGTTAAAATGGCTAAAATAAAAGTATGCTAACTATTTTGGAAATAAGAAGTCTCACAGATATTAGCGAGCTTTAGCAATGACTACGAGTACGACTACGAGTACGAGATTCGTCATTCTCGCGCGTTGTTTGCTTACGCCATCAGCCAAAACTCGTAGTCGTTGGGCTTTCGAGTACGAAGTTTATCAAAAAACTCGTACTCAAATGCCCGGCGACTACGAGTTTTGACTGATGGCGTAAGCAAACAACGCGCGAGAATGACGAATCTCGTACTCGTAGTCGTACTCGTAGTCACTGCTAAAGCTCCCTATTAAGAACTTGACTACCTTCTTTCTTTTTCCTTGTCCAAATGTTCCATTTTTCTTTGAAACGCGCTTTTGACGCCGTTGCTGCTCGTTCGTTGTCTCTTTCGGCTGTTTTCGCCAAACTTTAGCGGCAGTGAAATTCTCTGTGTCCTCGGGCCGCACAGCTTCTCGTCCTTCGTCATATCCGGCACCTTCTTCGTACTGTCGTCGGATTTGGGTGCGACCTCGTGAAATGACGGCGCTTCCTTCAAAACCCGTTGGGGCTGAAAGTATGACGTATGTTGGCCAGCATGTGGGTTGAACGTACTTTGAATTGCCTGTTCTTGGCTTTGAAAACTCAGGACGTCAGGCAACATCAAGCCTACATCTGGCTTTTTCAATGCCTCCTGCAATACCAAAAATCGCGTGTCATGAAAATAGGACACTTATTAAACTAAAGGCCCTGTTACACGGTGCAATTTTTCTTGCAACTTGCAACGCAACTCTACTTTTGCGAGATGTACAGGGTGTCCCAAAAAAAAGTCCCCGCTATTGAAATGAAGCTTTTGTTGGAATTTGAATGCATGATCAACGCAGTAGTGTGTAAATAGCATATTTATTAGGTTGAGGCATTCAAATAAATCGTCTTGCTTTCAATTGGGTTTATCATAATACTAAGGCAATCAGATTCGAACAAAGGCTTGATTTCAATAGAGGGGACATTTTTTGGGACACCCTGTATATTTGGGAATAATGAAACTTTTGTGTTTATTTACACTTCATGCACTTTTATTCTGCAAGACTCTTCACTAATTTGCATATCTTAGAAGTAGAATTGCATTGCAAGTTGCAAGAAAACTTGCACCGTGTAACATCGCCTTAAGTCCATAGTGTGTATAACGTGACGTAGCCCAGTGATGCGAAGTGAGAAAGTTAGTATTCTTATCTTTAAAAAATCTTTATAGTAAATTCATCTTGCGCAGGAACACCCCAAGTAAACAAAGAAGAAAAAGGCTAAAAAACCTCAATCCACACTGTTCCTAGAACTACGGTCCTATTCAGTAGTTTTCAGATCAGCGATCCATTTTGGGGACCCTTTGTTTAAAACTTAGTAGGCTAGTAGAAATTGTATGTGGATTGGCGGAATTACGGTCAGTATACGTATTTTATTATCTTACCTGGTGATACGGATAGTGTACTGGAATGAACTGCTCTCCAGTGTTGTTAAACGTTGTGGCTACAGTGGAACTGGCCAATGTAATTGTATCAGTCGCGCCTTTGGAGAGCGGCAAATTTAATATTGAAGACAATGGGCATTCGTGATCGGAGGTCAAAAGTTGTGAGTAAGTGACGCCCTCACTTGCTTCGCTAGATGTCACCGCTCTAGCTGGCGGTTCAGTCTTTTTCCCATCTGAAAATGGTTTTGAAGGTGTACCGGATTTTGCTGTTTCGCCACCATATGTGTTTACTATATGTATAAAAAGCCGAGACGTATTATGCTTTGCCTCCTAAATTATGTAACCCATCCAGTTACTTGAATTCAAGCCTTCGTTATCACGGGACCATTCGAGTCAGTTGCTTCTTATGTAACAATCATTTGACAAAATAAAAGAAAACGGAACGAGATTTTTCTTTCCGATACATCACACAACATGTTATGAGACTTATCTACGCTATGAGTTTAAACGATCACAGGCCGTGCTATTATTATTTGAATTAACAGATGCAAAGATACAACATTTTACTCTTGTCGATTAGATTACTTCTGGATTATAGAAAATAATTCATTGTTTTATCGTGTATATAATATAAAATATTTATTCCAATCATATAAAGGTTCATTTCATCAACAACACTAACCTGGTATCTTTTCTTTCATAATGTCGCAGGCAAAGAAATACCAAATAAAAGAAGCAAAATTTCGTAAAATATATTTCACTGCCTCATCAGTTGTGAATTAATGCAATTAATTTTTCAAATGCAGCTCCACGCCAGCACGCGCAATCCCAATGCTTGCGCCAACTTCAACTGTTTTCTCTTTCTTCACTATTTTATGAACTTTATAATTTGCATACCAAACAGTGAAAATCGCCTTAGTCTATTGTAAAGGCTCTATTACAAGATCAATGACTGTATATATATTAATTTATATAGATATAAAGCTTTTTTGTGAGGTTTTTACGTTGAGTTTCTGATTGTGAATTTTCAAATTCGAATGATTTGCATAATTTGCATACGTGTGTTTTTGGCGGATTATTCAAAATGGCCGTTTTACGTTTGTGTTTGTTTACAAAATCTTAGACAGGATTTTTTGCTTTTAGCCTTCCCTTCTCACCAAGAGGTAAGTTTGTATGGTAATTTTACGTCTCATAGTTATCTGTAGCCTAATGTAGGTATTTAACAATAGCATTTTCTGGACGAAATTTAATGATTGCCGTACGACGTACACATAGCATAAAACTCTAAAATGACAGCCAATATTAAAATACATGTATGGTTAAGTAATTTTTGTATGCTGTTTATATGAACTTGGGTATTGGGGACACGTACTTCCACGATCACCGTGGAACTGCGTCAATGCCACAAGTTACTTGTATAACGGGTGAAATTTCGTAAAGTTGTCCTTCGGATCATATATATTATTAGTCCCTAACAGCAAGTGACTGAAGTGAGGATGTTTTCTTTCGTGAATTGTTTATCACTTACCCAAAGGGCCGAAAAGGGATGACTCCACCTCCACCCACTGTTGACTCTAAGTTTAATAATTTCACATACACTTTCAGGCAGGTGAGATAAAGTATGAGCCGTGCCCGAAGGACGTCTAATAAGAGGAAACATGAGTCAGAAAATGAAAGGCCAACTAGAAAATCTGCCCGACTCAGCAATGCACGAAACGGTACTTTGCAGTCAACATCCTTTGAAATTGGGAAAACGACAGAAAAACATCAGAGGCATTTGGGAACCTCTCCAGGTTGGTGCAAGTCAATTTAATCAGACAATAGAGTTATCTGGTATGAAAGAAGGGCCAGGGAGAGGGTTGTATTGAACTGGTGTTACATGACCCATCAGTGGTTAAGGTCAATTATCATTTATTTGTAAAACCAGCTCATTTGGGATTTCCTTTTTGGACCATTAACAATTTAAAGCTTTGTGCAGATGTCTGAATGGCATGAAGTACATTGCACATGAAGTACATGCACATTTTCTGGTGAAATAATTTTGGTAAAACAAATTAAACAATTGCATGGCTACTCCCCTTTATAGTGATTACTCGCAGTAGAAAAAGAACTAGAAGCCATTACCTATACTGTCCCAAACCAGAGGCAATTGTCATTTCCGATGACAGCAGTGATTCAACAGATGATAATTGTGTGAAGGCTTTGACATACTCAAGTTCAGACAGCAATGCTAAGGTGAGTTCGTTTGAATTAGTTGATCTACTCATAAAAGCAGTAGCAAATATTTTGTCCCGCCGTGTAAATTTAGAGTTATTATAATTATTCATGTCTTACAGTCAATGAACACCAAAATATTAGCATAGCGGGACAAATCGTCAGGCTGGCTACGCTATATGTGCATAAAAGAGGCAGTCTGGTCCATTTGCTGATTTGCCTAATGCCTGCATGTAAAACTGCCTGCCTACAAGCTTACTCAATCAACAATGTTTAATGATAACTATTCATATCTTGTTTATAAGTTATATGTTTTGATGGAAGCAAATTAAATATTCTAATAGATTTTGCTACATTGACCTGATATCCCAGTGATAAATAAATGAAATAATCTGGCATTAGGCAACTTTAGTATACTCAGGCACATCTGGGTGCATGCATTGGCTGTCACCTAATAAGGGATTATATGTGCATGTTTGCATATATTTATGTGATATTTTTCTCCATTTGAAAGGTTTTGACAAGACACAGTTTTCATGGAAGAGTGCTTCGTAAGCAAAAGGTGAATGATGTCAGAATATCTGAGAAAGGTAGGTGCAATCTCATGCGAAGGCGTGAATAGTTTTTTTGGTGCTGGAGTTAGCCTTCCGGATCTCGTTTTGGGTTACTTGGTTTATTATTTTGCTAAGTTGTTGTTTCATGTTGATAATGTTCAGAGTGTGTAGAAATATCTGCCAAAGTTAAGAGGCGGGGTGCTTCAGGTCAAAACCGCTATAAATTGAGAAAGGATAAAAGCGTCGAAACATTGAATGTGGACAAAGAAAGGAAAATTGCAAAGTCAAAAAACTCGAGGAAAAAACAACTTGGAAATGGATGCGCCTCTGAAGAAGGTTCCAAATAAAACACTTTTTTGGTCTTTAGTTTGTTTGTTTGTTGCTGACGTTATCTTGTATTCTATCGTCGTATTTTGTGTATTTTCGCAGTGTTTTTTCAACAACCTCAATTACAAAAAAAGGTTTAGAAAATGTTATTTTTATTAACAGTGCGCAAAAGTACCTTCAGTTGTAAGTACAATTTACGAAAGAGCCCTCGACTGGCAGCGACCGTCAATGTAACACCTGATACATCAAGGCTTAACGAGGAGAATGAAATCGTTAGGGAAGAACAGAAAGCAGTTATCAAAGTTAGACAAATCCTTGAAGGTACTAAATTGATACGACTATTATGTTGTTGTTGATGTAATTGGTGTCGTAGGCGCTCGTGATTGGTTAATCTGATAGAATTATCGCATTTGATTGGTTCATGGTGTCTCAAACGTAGTGTTAGTGGAAGTAACAGCTGGGAAATTTGTTGTCGCTGTGCAAAAAATCGCTGGCACATAGCCGCATGTTTATTCGAATTCGAATTTTGAACGAAATTTACAAAGCGAAAGTTTTATGGAGATCTGAACTTCTTTCGGCAATGATCGAAAAGTTTAAAGTATGGAAGCTCCTTATTAGCTCACGGACATTGCTTCTGCTCCTAAAAATGGACTTTTTAACAGTGGATTTTGGTTAAATGTTGCCGACAAAGATTCCATGGCTTCGAGCAGCGGTTGTATTTTTCAAACTGCTGTGTTTATTTGTGAATGGCATGGAAACTCTCATGCTGAAGCGGTCTAAATTTACATATTATATAAATGGTAATTATATAAATTGTATTATATAATTTTCACATGGCTTGGACTGATTATGGGCGAGTGATAAGTACATTAAAATGCGGCAAAGTAGACCGATGGCTTGAACACAATATTGGCGCGCGTGAGTTTGAGCGATATCTATGGTTTGAGCAAAGTCTCTCGCCCCAACGTTGACTTCTAAAACGAGAAAAAAGTACGTAATATGTTTCTTACAACCTTTAGTTTCACTTCTCGTTGATATTTCCCCGGATAATTCCGCATTTTTACGGGAACATATGCCTAAGCAACTGTCAAGTTTGTAAACCTGAGTCACGGGTATTTATTGAGCAAGCCGGATAGCTCGAAATCTCAAGGAAATCTCCAAACTTTTTGCACTAAATTTGGCATCCACATTGTTTGTTGTTTGAGATGAACAGCATTTTGTTGATGTGAAAATTGCCCTTCCCAATGAAATCGTGGATTGTACTTGATATATTGAGTATTTGTGTGCTTTTACCGGTTGACGTGTTCAGCTAAAAAATTATGAAACTATTTGAAGAACTGCGAACATCTTTTGCTATATTCCTTGGCACGAATTTAATAATTTTTGTACAGAAAAGTCAGCCCCGTTACGTTCCGTCGAGCAAGAAATATTCTAAAAGTATGTCCTTGTATTTTTCCGTCCCATTCTGTATTTACGCGTGGTCTCTACTCGACCAGATTAAAAGAAAATTAGCCGAAATCTCCAAAATTCTAATTGTACTTTTGAATTCCCTGGAGGTGTAGAAAGAAAAATTTCATAATTGTTTTTAATTATAAATTGCCCCCATAAGTGTAATTTCGCATATAATCTCTGTGTCCGTACATCGTCGTCAAGCGAAGACCAAAGCAACTCTCCAAAAATGTGCTTTGCGGAAGGCTACTTCTTGCAGCATTTATTTTTTTGGCAGCATTTGCAACACACGGCACAAAATTTATCCCTTTTTATTCCTTTTTATTTTTGATGGCATTAAAAACAAGCAAAATACCGAAAGAAAGTTTGGCTACCATGTTTTTGTTTATATATTTAAAGGTCCCGCCGTGTAGTGCGCGAAATATATTCGTGGGTACACGCAAGCCGAACTAGCGCATGCGCAACAAATTTCCCAGCTGTTAGTGGAAGTTCGATCTGAACCTCGCTGCTATTGCCGCTGTGCTCGATGATTGTTGCACAACATTTCTATAATAATTATTCATTCATTTCATTCACAGAACCTGCAAAAATATTCACGAGCAGCGTCGTCTTGAGTGACGTTATCCACGAAAGGTGTTATCATTTGAGAAGACGAACAAGTCCCGCGAACGTTGAAAACGTTAGCGAAACATCAAAAATCAGCGAGAAAAAAGCGAAGAATAAAACCCCGAAAACAAAACTCAACGAACCGAGATATGAAAATATTGAAAAGCACTCCGGCACTGATGTGGAGAAAGTCAAACCTCGGGTGCTGACGCAATTTACCTGCGCATCATCATCAAATCCCTCCTTCGTGAACAAGGGGCAAGAAAGGGCCGTTAAAAAGACGAAAGGTATGTTAGGTTCTCGTGATATGTATGTTGGTTCTCGTGTATTAGTTCTCTTTAAATTCATGTTTAAACGTCAGGGCTCGCTTGTACGACTTCAGGCTGGATAGCGCTAATCAGCGTTCTAAAAATACATGGAATGCAACCAAATTTCTGCTTTGGAACTAACAATTGTTAAAGAGGATCCTCGATTTAGGAATACTACAAGATTTAATCAAGGTTATTCGTAACAACGGGCGATTTAAAGCGATTGCAAAAAAACGCTACGCTTTCCGGTGGATAGCGCAATCCAGCCTCCGGCCCCAGAGCTATGCATAGTGAAGCTTATATGGAAGCCATTTTGATCGAATAGTCGAATTTGTTGACAGCGGCAAATATTTGAGTCAAGTGGGAAATAATTTCATGTTCAGTGAATCCTAAATACAAGAATTTAATCCTTCAAGTTAGGTTAGGATTAAATTTAGGATTAGGGTTAATCCTAATCAAGCATGAACCTAACCTAAGGCCTAATCCTATCCTGAAAACCTAATCCCAAATTTTAGCGTACATCGTATGTATATATATGTATGAGTGGTCACTGATATTATTTCAGATTCGTGGAGATTATATGAATTGGCTAGAATGGGTGGAGTGGTAGTGCGTGAAAATAAGTAAAATAAATTACATTATTTAATCAGTATTATTAAATTATTTAATTATTTCTCTTATTATATTTTCATTTAGTAAAGAAGAAAGGTACGCTGGCTCGGAAGAAAGAACTCCGAGCGTTGTTGGAAAAACAAGATGAAGGTTATGAAGACGATGCATTTGAGGGAACGCCATTCAGATACAGAAAGCGACTTTCCAAGGTACCGCGCTTTCGCTAGACTCTAACCTAGGCTAGGATAGGATATATCATACCATTACCAGCCTGGAAAAATCTGCCTGCATGAAATCAGCAAAAAATCTCAAAATTTTAAAAATGGATAAGTTTTTTACAAACCAAAAATACAAAATTTTGGAACAGTTGGCAAGGCTAAACACGTTCTCGAGTGTTCAGCGACCTAATCTTGCAATTTTACCCATTTTTGAATGCAGAAATTTTAAAATTATGCCATAGCATATTGCTAGCTGCACTCTTATTTTGTTTAAGAGATTTTTCGGCATATCACTGATAATTGTTTTCATCCAAGTGCAAAGTGTCCCCAGTCGTTTTGGACACGAGCATACGATGTATAAACACAGATTCAGATCTCAAGACACCGTTCAGTAAGACTCCAGTGAATCGTCTTCGACCTGCTGGTCCGCTGTCATCTGGAACTTCCGAGAGCGACACAATGACCCCTGGTTTATTGAAAAGCGTTAATCGGTAGGTATTAAAGAATTAAAAGCCTGGGGCCGGTTGTATGAAAGCCGGATAGCGCTATCCACCGGATAGTGGTTTTTCAATCACTTTATAAATCTTCTGTTGTTGGCTGAAACTTTGATTAAATCTTAGCATTCCTAAATTGAGAAACCTGTTTATAATTGTTGGTTCCAAAGCTGAAATTTTATTGTGTTCTTCTAGCGTTTTTAGAACGGTTGAAAAAATCACTATCCGGTGGATAGCGCTATCCGGCTTTCATACAACCGGCCCCTGATAGCGTTCATTTTATCATCTCGTTTTCCAAAGAAGAAAACTGTTTTTTACGGCCATGCGCATGCATTTTGAAATTATAGCGTATATAGAACCTGTGCCGACTATTATGTTGTTGTCATTATAGAAACTATATTGATTGTTACGTAAATCAGTTGAAAAGAAGAAAAATTCATCTAGGGTGTAACAAGGTAAGAATGTGATAAGAAGTGAGGAGTAAGACGTTGATCGAAAATTATACTGAACTCATCTGATTTCTTTCCAGGTGAAATCTCGCACGCCTTTGTCTAAGAAACCCTTCAGAATTATGCAAAGCAAGTCGTTTGACTTTCTCACCAATGATATTGTCAAAAGATCTACGATGGAAAGTGAAAATTGCGAGGATGATTACTATTGGTCTGATGCAGAATAGTCTGAACCAAGAAGGGGGTGGACCATTGGGTGGTGATGGGACGGACCATCACCAGATCAATCATGGCCCCTATAACCATAGCCTCCCCCCATAAGCCCTTTCTCAGATAACCCACCAAATTTGTCTTATCCACACCCTTTTGGCTCTGGTGATGGTAGACTTCTTGAATGGTAAAGTAAAAAACCTCTTTCCCTTTGGCCCTTTACCATCTCAGGGTCTCCAAAATGAAGGGTCTGCAGAGTGGTCCATCCCTGGTATAATAGTAATTTTAAAAGTCACGATATTTTTTATCGATAAAAATATATATATACTCTAATGTTATTTATATGCATTCATATTCCAATTAATTCCGATTAATTACAATATAGAAATTGTTTTTCAAATGACTTAAACTTCGCTGTTTGTTTACATTATTTGAACTTCTATACTTCTTAAATTACGTTGTGCTGTTTGGATATCTAACAACATTTAGGTTAACGTTGGGACATGTCGAAGCTCTCGGAAGCTTTCGTCCAATTGGATAATGCTTTTCTATGCTTTCTAAAGAACGAAGCTATGCTATTGGTTGAAACAGAAATGTATTGTAAATTTCAGCCAATGAAAATCAAAATAGTTTTTTTGCCTTGAAAATAATTGTGGGCTTAAGTTTTTAATTTTTTGTGTTTTCAGGTACAGTATTTTCGTTAAAATAACGACTTTCTTCATATGTCACTTTGACAAAAACAATTCGCCGACATTTTTGAAAAATTTGCTGAGTACGCGTAATAATCCGAGATAGATCGACCAATCAGAGGCTGGAGTTTGCAATTGAATATTACTATTTACTAGTGCCAGGCTTCTCGAGTTGGAATTCAATATGGCGGCCAATTTGAAACTTCTCTCTTTAGCCGCTGGTTGAATTAAATAACAACTTCGTCGTTAATTAAGAAAAAGCTAATGTCTTCAAAGAGAAAACTTTACAAGCCGGCTCCTGCAGCCCAAACGCCACCTCAGGCTGCTAGGTGAGTTTGTAAATTACTGAATTTTGATATAGATATTCGGGAAAATAATGATAAATAACATAGATGTAACATTAACACATTATTAACATAGATGTCGGCGAATACAGGTTTTTCTTTAGATATTCGAAATAAACAAAACGGTTGATAGTATTAAAGATACTAATTCACATCGATCCCTCTAACAGATTTTTAACATAATGCACTATTGGCCTGGTATTCTATAATTGTACTGAGTAAATGATAATTTTGTTATATTTCCTAATTCCTAGGAGATCATTGCCCCAGGGTCATTTGACCTCTACTGATTCCAAACCACCTCTCACAGATTTCAGTCCAAGTGTTAGGTATGAAATGCTATTACTATATTTACCATATGTAACTGCATGGAGGCAATATAGCTTCAATGCCTCATGAAATTTTACTAGAATAAACATATGCTAGGTTAAAATCATGGCCAGTCAATGACTATGTTGGAAGCCAATGTATTGACATTGTTGAAGCATCATAATGAAGCGACCCAAAACATGTCAAATTGTCAATTGACAATGAAGCAATTGTTTGTTCAATCTTTGTCTGATATAAATTACAAAGAAAATGTTAGAGTATTGCCATTTTCAATGCACTGTAGCCCTCAACAATCAAACATGGACCAGCACAACTGCCTACCCTTTTCTAATCCTTGCATTTGACATCAGATGCCATGCCATTTATATTTATTTTTCAGTGAAGCTATTCAGTCGCCGAGTCTAAGGAGAGGAAAAACTCCAGGATCTCATGCAAAAAGATCTCTCGACTATAATTCAGCTATGGCTTCAACAGAGTATGTGTTATGCATTATAGATTTCTTACACACAGATGAGTTTAATTTAATCCAGAGCACTTTTTCAGTCTTTCACGATGTTTTTAGCAATTCTACTTTGAAGATATGTAAATTAGTGATGAGTGTTATTTGTATGGGAAAACATCCATGGAGTAAATAAACACAGAAGTTTCATAGTTTTGAATTCACATCTCTTAAACTGTGGAATTAACACAGCCATAAAATGTCGAATGAAATAATAACAATTATTCGCCGAAGGCTAGGTGAATATCGCGATACTCACTGAGCCTGAGGTGAATAATTGTTTTAGTGTAATTGCAAAGGTGTTTGTTTTTTAAAAATAAATCTGTTGTAGAAAATGCACGTTTTACAAACCGAAGCAAATACCACTTTTTACTGTGTTTCAAATAAAACGTTGGAAAATGTTCTACAAAGTAGTTTTTAACTTGAAAACAATTGTACTCCGAATTTTTTCACTTCTTTTGTGCTTTTAGTTGCAGTACTTTCGTTAAAATAACGTCTTTTTTCATCTGCCACTTCACTTGAACAAAAACAACTCGCCGCCATTTTGAAAAATCCGCTTAGAATATTATCGCGTCACAGTCGGAGATCGATCGACCAATCAGAGGCCAGGATTTTTAATAATCACCTTTGTAATTATACCAAAAGATATTATACGGTAAAATACAAAAATTAAAAAATTCTGCTAATTTAAAACTTTCCTAGATTTAATTAGTACTAATGTTATTATGCCTAATGTTTAAAAAAGTAATTTACTCAAACTAAAATTTAAAAAGCTCCTGCAACCAACCTTACCGTTCAGTCGAATTGCGACTAAATGACGAGGCTTCGTGGTAAACGGTACTGACACGTTTTTTCCGCAGCAAAATTGTTTGTAAATTTAATACTCACGCGTAAAATAGAACTAAAATAATTTAGGAGAAAAACATACCGTAAATTTGATCAAAAAATAATTTTTATTCAAACGTTTATATTCAAAGAAGAAATCTATTAAGGGCTCTTGATGAAATCGTCATATTTCCTCCGTGGCTGCCAAAATTTGGCGGTTATGACGTCTCCATATTGAACAAATATAGACGAACGTTTGACGTAATTTCGTGCCACATCTATGTTGTAAAAAATTATTGTATTCTATACATAATTTATTCTACGAAATGGTGCTTTTTAAAGCAAGTTTATGGTAGCTTTTATTGTAGTCTGCGATGTAAACGCTTCGTATTTAAAAGAGAGCGCTATAAGCGTTTGCATTGAAACTCCAAAACTTGTCACGTGGATATTTCCAAAAAAAGTGGGAATCGTATGTGATTGGTTTGTGGTTAATTTATGCATTAGAGTATAATTATTTCAAAATCGTCCCAAATTATTCCGCCATGGTGTTTAAATATCTCGTCGATACCGGTCCGATGTCATCCCAGCTGATTTAATTGCCGGGGCCGGTTGTAGGAAAACCTGGATAGCGCTACCCAGTATCCATCGGATCGTGATTTTTTCAATCGCTTTAAATTGCCCATCTATAATAACCTGGTTTAAACCTTGGTCCGCTTGAGAGTGCGTAAAGAATAATTTCTATTTTTGCGAACTTATGCCCAGTGGTAGTAGCCCGCGTGACTCAAGAACCTGGTGGAACAACCGCTTAAAATCGTATACCTACCACCTATAGGTTCATATAATGTGACCATGATTAAATGTGCCCTGATTAAAATAACCGAGGTGGAAAATATGCGATATAAAAAACGTGTTGTTATAATAACCTTATCCTTAAAATTAGTTCTTAAAATGTCTTGAAAAATAATTTTATTCTGGGCCAGAAAAAAGATACACTATTTTAATGACTTAGACGCGATGTATATTTTTTGATCTAATGTACATTGTGTGTATACTAGTAAGAATGCACATATACTCTATAAATGCAAATTAAGCAGGAAAATTGTTTGTGTCTATTCAACTAAAGTAAGATACATGTCACATAATTTGTGCGTTTCAACACCAATATCCATATCTTTTTACTACGCCTCCTGGACAACACCTTTGCATTCCGCGGTGGTAGTTGGTACTGCCGCAGCAAGAGCTGCCAAAGCGTCTTGAAAGAACTTTGCCACCACAGCAGACCGAGCGTCCAGCATTATAGTTGGTTTTACCACAACAAGAGCTACCAGAACGTCTTGGAAAAGCTTTGGCACCGCAGCAGACTGAATGTCTATCATCGAAGTTTGTGCTACCGCAGCATGGTTTACCAGAACTTCGTGAGAGAACTTTCTCAAGACAGCAAAGTGAAATGCTATAGTCGTAGTTGGTTTTGCCACAACAAGAGGTACCAAATCGTCGTGGGAGGACTTTGCCACGACAGAAAACTGAGCGTCTACGATCGTAGTTGGTTCTACCACAACAAGAATCACCAGAACGACGTGGAAGAACTCTGTTATGGCAGCACACAGATCGTTTACGATTGTAGATGGTATTGGCACAACAGGATTTCTTAGAACTTTGTGAGAGAACCTTGCCACGACAGCAAACCGAGCGCCTGTAATCGTAGTTGGCACTACCACAGCACGAGTTTCCGGAACTTCGTGGATGAACCTTACCTTTACAGCAAATAGATCGTATAATATCGTAGTTGGTTTTACCACAACAAGATCCACCAGAACGTCTTGGGAGAACTTTGTTACCACAGCACACAAAGTGCCTCGTATGGTAGTTGGTACCACCACAACAAAAGCGACCGTGACGTTTTGAGAGAACTTTGCCACGACAACAGACTGAGCGTTTGTGATCGTAGTTGGTAATACCACAGCAAAAGCCTCCTGTACTTGGTGGGCGAATTCTGCCATCACAGCAAATATGAGTTACCTCATTGTAGGTTCTGCTGCCACACACAGAACGAAGATCTCGTACTTTCGCTTCTTCGGTGGCCTTTGCTAAATTACGAAAAAAAGTCAGAGAGGAAAATTTATGGCCAGGAAGCAGTTCACAAAATATCCACTAAACTTACCTGGTGTAATATTAATGTCCGATGCACAAATCCATGTACAAACTATGAACAGCCACTTCATATTAGCAGTATATTTGTTGCTGATTTTCGACAAATAGTCAGACAAACTTTCCTCTTGCTGTTTCAAACGACTATAAGGTTATGCCAAGCTCTTGCATCATAGCCGCCGGTCAGATTGTTACTTGAAAAACTGACAGGCGAATCAGCGTAAAATATAAATAGTAAAAAATACTCTTTATTATGTGTAGTTCAAGAGTCTTGTCCGGCTGTAACATTATTGTGGAATATTGAAAACCAATATCCCACGCGTTCGACGTAATTTGGTTATATACAGGGTGGCCAATACCAATTTAACGGAAATTTGCGACGCATTAAGTGTTTAGTCATAGGCAGCCCGGTCAATGCGGTACATCATTACGTCATACTATCTTGATAGTGCGTAATGACGTACAATAGTATGCAATGATGTACTATTACGTAAGTCATGCTATCTTATACACAAGGCTCAGACTCAGTGAATATCGCTGAATATGTAAAAACCTCGTCTTGGTTTTAATTTTTTTCAGCGATATTCACCTTCCCTTCAGCGAATAATTGTTAAATAAACACAGGAAAAAAAGTTTTCTATTTATTTTATAATATAACTTATTAAATGTGTACATGTGTACATTGTTTTAAATTCAATTCAATTACAAATTCTCACTACATTACTTCGCTTGTCAATTTCGGCGGGAAAAATTCCGTGTTTCTATACAGTTACAGAAACACGCTTCTCGACCAATCAGCACCAGGGTTGCCATATTGCTGAATAAATTAGCCAAATATTATCACCATAATCGTTGATTGTTTTCTTTGTTTGAAAAAAATAAATCAAAGGGCCGACTATAACAACGTTTGGCTTCTTTTTTCAGTAATCTGGCAACCCTGAGCAGCACGTGCGTGCTATAAATGTTATATTATAATAACCAACGCTAAATAATTTTGCCCGTTTTGGAGAAAAATATAATCTTGAATTAATCTTAAACTAGGAAACCAAGCTCTCCTTCCCGCTACGTATCTCCTTCCATTACTCATTCTCCCGCCAAAGTTCAGCCATCCGCATCCTTGTCGCTCTCAGAACCTGAAGATGAAGTCAGAAAAACAGAAGTAGAACCTTCTGCTCCTTCTTTAGAGGTTTGTTTTAGGCTTGTACACAGATAGGACCATGCATGGATATGTGGGGTTATTTGGATAAGACTGCGATAAGTGGCTCCTATGGCTGTACGTCTGCGTAGGGCATTTGGCAAACCTGCCGTAGAAGCTGTTAAGGCCCGTTTACACTGGCAATTTTTGCTGCAATTATGTGTGCGATTTCCTTCTTTTGATAGATGTGAACGTGTGAATTAGTTACGAATGTTAAAATAAGAACTCTTGTACATCAGAGCATTCGTAACTAGTCACTCGTTCACATCTACCAAAAGAAGAAAATGGCACATAAAATCGCACCAAAATTGCAAGTATAAACGGTTTTGTTTTGATCAACCATTTCTGTTACGTTTAGTCGTCTGTTTTGGCGGTAGATGCCACTAATCGTCACGCCAGCCGTATCGACAGCGAGGTCCCAATCAAAGCAAGTTACATAAAGTCTCCTGCCAAAGTTGTCTGCCATTCGCCAAAGAGAAAAACTGCGAGGTACCTGTAAAATGTCTGCGTGCGTCTCTGCGCTTTCTCTCTTCCTAACTAAGGCTTTTCTTTGCAGTCACGTGAGAGGTAGTCCTCACCATGGCAACGCGGGCAAGTTCGTCATTCCAGTGGAAAGCGTTCCTTCTGTGAATGTTTCAGCTATTTTACCTCGTAAAAGTGAATCCCAATCATCTTGTAGTCCACCCCTAAGTGAAGGTATTGATATTATTCACTATAGCTGGTCAATTTTTATCATTGAACTCTATAATAACTGGAGTTTTTCTTTCTTTGTTGGGAGAATGGTAATGTATCAGGGGGGAAAGAAAATTTTCCTAGGGTAAAGGGGGGGAGTACAATTTTTTAAACAGGGATGAAAATTTACTCTTAGGGTGGTGCGCATCTTCGTCCACCCACCCAAATTATCCGTCCATGGACCATGATTAATACAAGCTTGGATATATTCTAGTTCCTAATCTCCAATACGCTTTATACAGATGGTTCTTTAAGCACGGTTGCCGGCAGCCCTGTTGATCCTCGAAGCAAGGCCGTGGAAACAGTTGTTGTTCAAGAGAAGGGCAATCCGAGATCGTTTGTGAGTTTTCTTGACAGCGGCTCGTGTTCGGATATGTCGGAACCTACAAGGAAAGATATACAAAGTATTTGTAACCAATCAGAAGTTCGCGCTGGGCAACCTAACTTTGACGAAACGGGTGAGCGACTATTTCGAAGGGAACAGGGACCCGATATTAACGGGTTTTTTTAGGCTGAATATCGCTAACACAATATTGGAGTTAAAAATTTTCAAGTAAATGAAAATATGACATGTTTTAAAACCTGTTTAAAATCATTTTTCACTCGATCGCATTTAGGTGTGTCAAGTATTGCTGGAAATTCAAGACTAGACAGTGGGTGGGTGAAGTTGTATTGAAGTATTTATTTTCGAATGTGTGCAAACAGAAATGCGCTTGACCTGCGTGCGTCCACTGCGTTGTTGAACATTTAAATTTTGAAAATGCAGAGCGTTAAAATTTGACCTATTTTTCTTCAATAGTTACTTCGTGAATAGTAATTTTTATACTTATCACTTTTGAGAAAGGAAAAGCAAACGAATTTGTTAAAATAGTTTCAGTAAATATACAGCGATTAAAATCAATTTCGAGGTAAACCTCAAACAGATGTGAAATCTCTTTATAAGAAATGAATAAGTAAGAATTTACTCGCCCTGATGTAACTTATTGTACATATGAATCACATGCGTTTTCCAGTTTCGACGAAGTCGCACGGAAGAAAAAGAAAAAGACAAGAGGTAAACGAGAGACGATTTAGAGATACATCATCACGATCTATCATCAATATGGTAGTACCTCGACTAGAGTTTAGGGTGACTTTACATAGGTGTAAGAGTTTATAGTTTAGAGTTGCGATAAAATTCTGTCCCTGGAAATTACCTGTAGAGACCACTTGATTCCAGGTGACTTTACATGGGAGTAAAGATTTTGGATTAGGTTTGGATTACAACTAGGATTAAATTCCGACACGATGAGTAGCTATAGATTTGAGAGTCTGGAGATCTATAGTCTGGAGTTTAAATGTCAGCAAATCCAGTTGACTTTAGAATAGAGTAAGAATGGTTTGGTCAGAGTTGCGGTAAATTCTGTATCAATTAAGTGCTAGTTGTTCGTACTGCAGACTGACTGGAATCATTTTCGTTTCTAGTTGTTCAATCCAAATACATGACCTCTGCGATGTCGAGAATTGGAGATAAACCTGGCGGTGCGAAGGTAAGAACGACTCCTTCTCTCTTTCTTATTTGTTATACGAGCAGATGATGTAATAATTAAAACACGCGAAGAAGCGTTTTATTATATTTAAAAAGAGTTAGTTAAAGTCAAATCATGAGGTTAGATTCTTAAGAATGGACTCACAATTTTCTAGCGGTGGTTCTCATCTCCTCTGCAACACCAGAAAACTCATCCTTGAGTTAAACCAAGACCCGAAAGTTTCAAAACACAGACGTGTTGTTTTATTTCTATTTTTATCCAGCGAAGCGACGGTCAACCGTCACGAAATGCACCAGTCACCAGAACTTCAGCGAAATCCAAGAAGCCCAGGGCTGCTGGGATATTGGTGGCCGCGCCGAAAGAAACAGGGAACGAGTCTATTGTGACGAATGTGAAAAAACCTCTCCACACATCAACCCCGGCTGAAGTGCCCCATCAGTTTGTTCCCGAGGATAGCAAATCCAATACTGCTCTAAAAACTGAGAGGTATATGCAAACAGAAACGCCTATTTCCCCTTTAAGTCTGATCATTGGCAATTTCTGCTGCCACGTTTAGCGTCATATTCTTCTTTTGATAGATTCAAACGAGCAAAAAGTTCTAAATGCCTCAGTGTAAGGTCGCCCCCTTCTGAAACCCTCTAATTTACACGCTCGTTAACATCTGCTAAAAGACGATAGTCGCAGAAATAATTCCAAGTGTATATATAAACGGGTCAAAAATTGCCTCTTGTGTAAACACATAGATTTAGGTTTACTGAAGTAATCTTTTCGGTAGGTCTTCTCTACCTGCTCATCTCACGCCTTCACACTTAACAACAAGTAAAGAAAAAGGGCGGAGTAAAGCAAGCAAAGGTAAAATTAGTTGTCAATTTGAATATTATAGGATTCACAATCCTGGTTATACGAGGATGGTGTGAGTGTTGGTACTCACACAATTAAAGGAACGCAATTGAGGGTTTTGCCTCGTTATTTCTTATATTGGCATCATGGTGTGTTGGTCTATGTGTGTAGTGTTGGTCTTAATGATTCCGTTTCAGATGTATCCAGCAAAGAGATCAAATCAGAACGGCCAACTCAGGTTAGCGCTAGAAAACCGCTATGTTTTGATCCAAATTTCCACAACATACTTCTGTGTCTGAGCTGTTGTAAATCATTCTGAAGTTGTTTAAACCTTTTAGACTCGATCTGGCAAGCAGACTGGTGTTGAAACCGGCCAACTTCAGCTCGACCTAATGCATGCCAGACTGTGTCAATGGCGGTTTTTGCGACTAAAGGTATGACACCACAAAATCTAGCAAAGTATGTCACTTCATCATGAAGCAAAGGGGAACATAGTATTTTATACTTAAAAAATATTTTTGATAAATTATGTTCATTCATTTAAACAACTAGCAAGAGAAAGCTTTTAAAGAACAAGAGAAGAAAGTTCAGGTAAAGGAAAAAGCTCGACTTTTTTATGCACGCAATACGTCATAACGTGGTGATAATAGTCGTATTCCATAATATGACGTCATAGCAATTACGAAGACATCAACGTCCCAAAGGAGGAGGAATTTGAAATCGACACAAATGCGAGCGAATCAAGTTTTTATGTTTATTATTTTATTATTTTATTAAATAATAAAACAAATATTGAATTCGTTTTTCACATCAATATTAAATATTATTAAGGCCACAGCCTTCGGTTTCGGTTGATAACAACAAATTTCAGCTTTATAATTCTTCATAAAATTATCATGTTCAACCTCATATTCAATCTCATAAATATCACGCGAAGCAAAATTTGGGTGTAAGATTGATGGCAATTTGGCTTTGTATTAAAATAATTTTTTATAACTGTCCATCTCAACTAGGGAGAATTTCGTTTTAGACCAATCAGCATCTTTGTTTACATTTTCAATAACCCAATCAGAATTCATAAATTTTGACTACTTCCGGTAAAAGGTACATTATTTACCCCTTTACATGAAGTATTAAAAATTTAGGTATTCTGATTGGCTTTGCCTGAAAAATGTAAACAAATATTCTGATTAGTTTAAAACGAAATTCCACCTTGTTGCTCATCTCAAGTTTAGATTAAAAACTATCCATTTACGTTTCACGGTTGAGTTTTTTTTGCTGTCTCATAATGATTTATTTTGTAGCAATGGTTTTATTCCATGTCAGAGATGACTCGGAAGGAAAGAGAAAAGAATCACGAGCTGCGAATGAATTTAAATAAAAAACTAAAAGAAGAAGAAATTGATAAGCAACTCGAGTTGCAGGTAAGGTAGTATGCCATGAATGCCCCCCCCCCGCTTCATAAGTTGAGAATACATACTTGGCAACAAACATAGCTGAGGAAGCGGGGGGGGGGAAATATGAAAATATGTTATTAAAACAAATATTAAATCTCAACTGTAAATCATCCAATCAGAAAGCTCGATTTGTACCACGTGATCAGTAAATTAATCATGGAGTTCCATCGAATTTTTTCACATTATGCTATAAAAGTCGAATACCCCTCGCTCCAGGACTATAAATGATAAGTATAGTATATTATCTATAAATATTTTGCAGTAGTTTTAAAGTATCCCATGTTTAGTGCCTTTACAAAGTTTACGAAATATTGTAACATGCAGGACATAGTCCTGCGGTATCCTTTTTTCGCGCGTAATTTTAGGATTAGGATTAACACTGATCAACCATAAACCTAATCCAAGACCTAATCCTAACCTAAAATCAAGGAAGAAATTCGTGTATTTAGGATTTACAAAATGTGATTTATTGCCCTATATTTTACTCTGTATACTGTGTTATATTCTTCAGAGAAATAAAGCTTCTCTCTTCAATAGTTGAAGGTCTTAAGAACACTGGATGAACAAACTCGTCGCCTGTTTCCAAACTACGAGAAATTCTACGAAGGCATTGACACAACCAGACATCACATCTCTTTACAAGACATTCTCATACCACAAAATGAGGGTAAGTCTGTTGATGTGGCCACGTCGTTCTTAAAAACCACCTCATTAGTTTAAGTTTTTTAAGGGGGCTAGCTTACATTGGTTTCTGCATGAGAATCGCTTCTGCTTAATGCCTGGCTTCCATTTACTGATTTAAACCCCGTTTACACTACATTCGATTTATTGGCACGGCACAGCTAAAATTGTTACCCGTACCCAATTTTATTAGTGTTCAGGCTACCAAAACAAAGGCCGAGCACAGATGAAATGGGTACAGGTACCCATTTTAGCCGTGCCGTGCCAATAAATTGAGTGTAGAGTAAACGGGGCTTTAGTCGTGCCTGTTGTGAATATGTCAAGGTGGCTGATGTGATAGAATAATATTATGCACTTAATGTATGCTCCCGAGGAAAATAGTGAGTTTTGTTTTCCCAAGAGTCTCAATGTTACAAACGATAAATTTTGTATTTAACTACGATTCAACTATTTTTTTTAACAATTCAACAATTTGAGAGTTCCATACATGTGATACAACGGGTCACTGATGGTATATAGTTTTGCATACGTTCAATTAGTTTTCGCGACGCATGCGTCATGCGACGTGTATATGTGTATATATTATATGCATTTTCTTCCAGACGAAATGCTAGACGCTTTACAAGAGTTTGAAAGCAACGCCGAAGAAGTGGCCCAACTTCTTCAAAACAACGAGTCCAAAGTACGTATACGTGGCAGGAATTTCAGACGCCGAATTTCTCATGTGTAGAACCTGATGCCTCAACTGTAAAACGCGGCTTGACGCGTTCACTGAGATTTCGCCGTTTGACGTGTGCAGTTCACGATTTCAACCGCTGAAAGTATATTTTTACGTATCATTTCAGCGTTTTCTTATTTCCATTGCGTTTCGTTTCACGTAAGACTGGTTGTTCGAAAGGCGTTTAGCCGCTTAAACGGTTGTTAAGCCAAAATTTAGAAATGCACTCTCATGCATCTTGTGAATGACTGAACCTAATCTTATGCATTAAATATCTACTTCCAATAAAAATAAAGCTGTTTACATCGAAATATTTCAGCTCATTTGTCCAATAAATATATCATTTTGTTTTCCATTTTCAACTTATCCGCCGTTCAAGCTAAACGCTTTTCGAACAAACGGCCCCAGTCCTATAGGCTATAATAAGCTTATTAGATATCTCAATTTTGTTACCGTAATTTCCTAGCCTGTTTTCAATAAAATGAACTTTTTTTTTAAGAAAGCGGCTACCGCTATATTTAATAATACGTCTGGCAATATGGCGGTTAATCGCAATATCGTAGTTCGATTGTCGCTTCTTTAAATAAAAGTTCTTTGTAAGCCTGTGAACGACGTTTGGTTATGAAAATAATGAAATATTCCGAATAACTGGAAGCAATTTCACAGCGAAACTAACTCTTTATATTTTATGTAAATGTTGAAACGTTCTAACGTGTGGTAAAAATAAGAAATTAAATTTCAAATTTTTATCAACGTCAAACCACTAACATGAAGGCGCAGTTTGTGGTTTTCCGTAAAGGTCAAACTAAAACTTTCTATTGAGTTTAAAGTCTTTGTTTAGGTTTATTTGCATTAGATTCGGCACATGAAAAGGCTCGACGTCTGAAACGGGCCTGTAATTATAGACTTTCCGATATCTCTACAAAGTAATGTTTATCTTATATACATTCTAGATTCTGTCATTTTCCGGTGAAATGCAAACACTGGCCGAAATCGTGCGAACGGAGGCTGAAGAACAGGAAAGGTAAAATATGAATTATAGGGCCGGCTTCCAGAGGATACACTGTTAATTTTGAGGTGCTAAACTAGCACCAACGTAGGTGTCAAATCAGCACAATGCAGTGGTGCTAAATAGAAAGTGCTATTTTGACACCAATTTCGGCGCTAATTTAACACCATCAAATCTGACATTACGCTAAAAGTGCCAATATGACACCTTTTAAATTCAGCACCATTGTAATGTGTTGAAATAACACCTCTGTTGCCGACGGAAAGTGCTAAAATAACGCTATATTGAGAGCTAAAGTACGGGGTGTCAAAATAACACTAAATGGCGGATAGGAAAAAAGCGGTTCTTTAAGTAATTATTGGAAAATAAGTCCGTATTTTCGATTCATGATCAGATGTTTTGGAACAAGAAATTCCTGTGCGTTTTGGCACAACTATTCATCTGAGTGATCTGACGACATGGAAATTCGGCTTGTTCTGATACAAAAAAAACGATAGAGACGAATACTAGACAAATGGTACATCGATAGTATCGATATTCGATAGTGATTCATTGTCCTTTTCATTTTATCAAACTATGTTATTCCGCGCTATATTTTCGGACTGCCTATGTATTGATTGCTACAAAGTATTTATTTCGCAATCGCCTGCGCTATATGTATGTCCATATAAGGAACAAAATGTAACACGTGATCAGCGCCTGCATGCAAATTTTTGAGCGCGTCGTTTGAAAACTCTTTTGAAACGTACTTCATACTGCCATGTTGAAGACGTTTTGAGCGTTATTTCTTAACTATTTTGGTACTTCTGAATATGCTGAACAACAACGAACTCACATAAGGAAATATCAAGACAATTGGCCATGACATTATCTCAGAAATATCTTGGTAAGTTGAATTGAATTGAATTTGATTGAGTACGGTGGTCCATGTTCGCTCAAACGGCCAAATCGCCAAACAAACAAATGTGTGTTATTTTTTATTATAGAGAAGCCAAATGAATTCTACTTTTAATACTGCGATGATCTCTTTAGCAATCTGGGTCAAAGAAAATATCATTGCAATAATAGGTATCTATTCATGTTTATTTTTTTTATCGTGATTTTATGAAGCATCTGCGCTAGTCTCTTATATTGATGTAATTTAACGATATTTTATCCTATATTAACATTTGACAATTTATGCTCTATTTTGATACATTTGATGTTAGAGAAAGTTTTTTGTTTAATGAAATATCAATGCCTGTGTAGTATATCTTTTGATAAAATTATTAAGAAGTATAATCTGCTACAGGTTAGCTGAAAGTACTATTAATAGCCTGCTGAAAAATTTGAGTTTAACATGTATTCTAACAATTATTGTCAGTCATTCAATTGCCCAGCTATTGATTGTGTTCTATAGTAACGTTGAATTGTGGACTGATACATTTATCAACTATAAATAAGTCTACAATATCTATATGATTAATTATTATTCTTTTCTATTTTAAGTTTTCACCAAGAGTGAACAAAGGCTTCAATGTGGAAAATTAAGGGGAAACTGTAATTCTAATGATTCACTAGGGAATAAGGGATGTGTATACAATTAATGTATCCAACCATGGAAGAAAAACAAAGTATTTCACCTATGAAAATTTAGAAATATCCCTTCCTTGCTGACTCAATTGTGGTGGAACAGTAAGTGATAACCTTGTTGTTATACATAATCTTTATGATTATCTATGTGTACCACCTCTATGATACCCTGGATCTGACTTGTTAAACATCTGGAATGGATCTGACTTGTTAAACATGTTGATAATTCAATTTATTTTGATACAGGGTTCATGGATCATAACAAGGGCAAGGGTAGAAACAATTTAAGAAAAATATCCTGCACTCCAGCTTATTACAGAGGTAAGTTTGCTTTTAGTTTACATCATTTATATTGATATAAAGTACCTGTTTGATTGATATCAAGTGCTCTATTTCAACACTTTGCCATAATTCTTGTTGAGAAACTATCCAAACAGATAATTGACTGCCAAATTTCTTTGTTCGACATAATACCCATGTGTGCTAGTTGGCAACTTTTTAGTTAGCCTGTCATATTTCGTGTAAAATTCTCATTAATATTTTAGTTAATTGACAGAGTATGGGTTCTAAATTACCAGTAGAATAATTTTCTTTCACAATGTATCTAGCATACTGTATTAATTCTTTTTTAGGTAAAAGCTGAATTTTAAACAGTAAACTACAAGTTGATCCATGATATGGTTGGCAAATTTCAATCCATTGATTCAGAAAAATGTTTTGGACTATGCCAAGAAATGTAACAAGAAAACTACATTGGTTCTTATAAACAGAGTGGAGAGAGCAATTGCTGGGAAATCAGGTAAATCATGCGATTAATAATAATTTGTCAAAGCCAATGGCACAATTACAATATTATAGCAATACAGGCTATTGCTACATGAAATATGGCCTATTTAGAATCTATCTATATTGATAAACAATTTTTTTAACAGACATCAAGAGCACAGTTGCTTAGATTTTGAAGGAACTATTGAAGGAGAATGCAGGAGAATCTCAGTCTCTCTTCTTTAAGATTTGTTCTGTAAGTGTAAGAAACTCTGCATGTGGGCTGATTTTGTTTTTTAAACACTTTTAAAGTCCTTTTAAAAACATTGGTTTCTTATTATAGGTTGTTGATTCCATAGATCAGGATAATTGGTTCAGAAGACCTTTCAGATGTTCAAACTTTGATGATTGCGGTGGAGGGGCAAATGTTAACTTATTCAAGAACAGACTCGACCCTATTTTATCTACTAAACATGGAGTACATTGCTGGTGTGGCAAATGGAAACTGCTCTCGTCAGGAAGCCTTAGCCTTAGGACAAAAACTTTTAAAGGACGTTAAGTACCCTAGACATTTTATACACTCTTGTACATAGATTTTCCTGTCACAACATATGTAGAAATAAATATTTTTAAATCGCATTTTGTCCACTTTGTATGATTATAGCTTATGCTATTTAGTCGCTCCATTGCTAGCGCTAAAAGTGCAAAAACTAAACCACACAAACTTCGGGTGTTAGATTAACACCATAAATTGGCGTAAAAGTAGCACCAAAGATCGTGCTAATTTGACACCTTATTTCGCGGTGTCAATTTAGCACCCGAAATGGTGTTATTCTGTACCTTTTTATCTGACACCTTTTTTGGTGTCAATATGACACCGCAAAATTAACAGTGTATATATAGGGATTTAGCTGTCGAAAACTATATTTGTGATCAACAATACCTCCGACATGACGACAACTATATAAAAGATATCGAAAACTAAAAAGGTCTGTCACGCATGTATAGTTGTCTACAACTAAATGTCAACTAATAGTTGTCGAAGCTTTCATTTTTTGGCGTTTTATATCGTGTGAAAACGTTTATTTTAGTTGCGGACCACTTTTAGATGGCCGCGCTAAATTCTGCCAGCTTTTGCATGTCAACCTTTTTAATTGCCGGTTGCTAAATCAGTAGCTAAAAGCCGGTTAGCTTAACCCTACCCTACATGGGTTAAAGCACATCTATACATCGATATTTTACTCGCATGTTTACAAAGTTGAATATATTTTTCCATAAATATTTTCTTGACTGACAAAAGTCGTATTTTGTAAAGGTTTTAAAACGTCATCAACGTTCGAAGAACGTTCGTTTATAAGAGCTTCCCATGCATAGCGTGCTTTTTTTACGTGTCTCATTATACTATGTAAATGTACCACCCGAAACTTATTTCAAGACAGTTCAGTTCAATTTATTTTTCGTTTTAAATTGCAATGCACTCATAAAAATTTTAAACCTTGGTTGAAATTAACAATGATTAAGCTAATCGCATATATATAGAGAGATACATATAGTTTGAATTGTCGGCACAATGAGAGGGGCATATATATAGAATAAAATCTGCGATGCTATTGGCTTTACGGTTATTTTGAATACGGAAAATTTTAAACCTTTAACACTACCTTGGTTATATAAAGATATTTTGCGATAGTTTTCAAGATTCATTGATTTTCATCATTGCATGCATGTTGGTCATGCACCGAAACATTTCATATAATATATTTTATCTTAAATTCGTATGATTAATATATATGTGATTGCCATTAATATAAGACACAATTAAAATACAAAACTCTCGATCGTTTCAAAGTGTTTTTCAAAGTGTAGTGATGCATGCGAAAAGCAATGAATTCGCATGAACTTGCGTTTTTATTTCTCCCAACTTTACAGACGTTTTCTTATATATTAGCTACACGCAATTCAAAAACTCCTCTGTCCAAAGTAGAATTGCATTGCAAGTTGGGAGAAAAATTGCCTCGTGTAGCACGACCATCAACAGATTGTGTTCTTAACAAGCGAGGAATTGCAGATTTTATTGTATATAGTGTACTCTCTCATTGACATGTGCTGACAAGCAAAGTTCTCGCTTATATGTGCTTGGCTTTACGGTTAATTATTTCTCTCATGCAGAGAAATAGTTTATATAGTTAAACTGGCATGCTCATAACTCAAAACCAGGCATGCACTGAAATATATATTAGCATGATATATTGTAATATATTCCTGGTTATATGGGATATATTTAGCATGAGCAAACTTTCTCTATACAAGTTTAGCTCCAACCTTGAGAGTTAATTTGTGTTCAAAAATGTCTGTATTTATGCACATTGCAGATGTACCGAGTTACTGGCCGCTGCGAATTCACTTATTACAACGGAACAAAGCCTCAAAGCTGAACTGATTGAAAATAGTGAACGATAAGTATATACCATATCTAGCTATAGTTCGTTACTTCCTATAAAGCTCGCCTGTATATTAGCGTCTCGTTCAGTCTGTCCATACTGCGCAGGCAAGCAGTTACCACTATATTTTTCGCCTTAATTAAAGGTTTGGCACGTTTGACCTCGTCGGTCTAGAAAGAATTTAAGCTGTGAGCTCCGATAACTTAAGTATATTTTGATAAAATTAGCTCTATATATATCTATCACGCGATAGATATCTATTGATTATATGATCCAGCTACTATAGATCAAATTTTGAACATGCAAGAAGACAACACTACAGAAAAAGAGCGGTTAAGAATATAGGTGGCTGTGAGAAGTTGTAAAATGTGGAAAATATTTGCCTAAAAAGTTTGCGAAAGTGAACTTGTTTAACGCGAATTATAAGTAACCTATTATATCTGCCATTATAATAAGGTTATTTTTCTGTGCGCAATGTATAAATATAGGCCTTATACATCTGCTACAACGTTACAACATTTCTAAACTTTACAGTTTTAATAATTTTAAGATGTTCTTTCAATAGTTGTAGGGCTGAATTTCAATGTGTCTCATTAATTCTAAGAAACTCGCGTGCTTCGTTTTCTAACAATTTATTATGTCAATTAATGGATTTCCGGCTGAAAGTTAATGTCTTTGTAATCGTAACATGCAGTTTCGCGTGTCGGGACCGCATGAAGTTTGAGTTGAAATAGATTTTATGATAAGCTAAAAGCCACACAGCATGGAAAAACAGCAACATGTCCCTTTCTTTGCGACTAAGTATAAACATATATTGTATGCTATTTTCATTCCTGGAGTTTGTTGTACGAAGGTTGGATATTTCTATTCACTATAGCCTATAGGTATATTGATACTTTTAACCTCTTTCAAGATGCTTGAAAGGCAATAACTACTGAAATGCATGCAGGCGAAAAAAATAAAGATAAACGTTGTCTCATGTGGTGTTTAATCAAGTTTTTGTGAAATACGGACAATTTTAGAATACTTTAAAAAGCCACTATCCGCTAGATAGTGCGCTATCCAACTTTCGTTGACGCCTGCCATGGCTAGTGGGGGGGGACAGGGGGGTCAACATCTCCCGCCTCCCGTACCTCCTCTTCTGCCTCCCGTACCTTTTTGCGAATTGTCTCCCGCCTCCCGCCCATTTTCTATTAACTTGGCTATGTTGCTATATTAAGCTGTCCTATGTAATTTTGCTCATGACTGGCATCATAGACAATCCAAAAGACAGGGACTGGAAACGCTATTGTTTTTTCACGCGTAGTCCGTGATGCGGACAGCAGCGACATCAATGGCGACTCAATTCTAAAGTCAAAAACATTACGCAAGCATTCAAACGAAGTTTTTCGCCTCTGTTTGACCCAATATAGGTTTAAAAACCGGAGTAATAGAGTGCATCCACATAGATAATAATAGATAATAGAGTGCATCCAAATAGATATTAGATTGCATCCACATAAATAAGTGCATCCACAGATTTATATTTGTTAAAAAGATATAAATTACAAAACCTGAAGTGTATTAAAACTATAGTTACAGGGTTCGAAATGAGTGCAAACTTTGACAAAAACAATGGCGACTCAGTTTTTACAGTCAAAAATATTACGCAAGCATTGAAAGAGGTTTTTTGGCTCTGTTTGACCCAATATAGGTTTAAAAATCGGTTAAGTGCATCCACATGTTTATTTTGGTTAAAAAGATGTAAATGACAAAGCCTCAAGTGTACTAAAACTGTAGTTACAGGGTTCGAAGTAACTACAAACTTGACAACAACAATGGCGATGTTTTTGCGGTCAAAAACAATACCCAACCAGTCAAAGGGGGTTTTTAGCTCTGTTTGACCCAGTATAGGTTAAAAATCGGTTAAGTGCACCCAAAGGTCTAATTTGTTCAAAAGATGTGAATTACAAAGCCTGAAGTGTATTAAAACTAAGTTACAGGGTTCGAAGTGAGTACAAACTTCGACAACAAGAATGGCGACGTTTTTACAGACAAAAACAATACGCAAGCACTCAAAGGGAGTTTTTAGTTCTGTTTGACCCAATGTATGCTTAAAATTCGGTTAAGTGCACCCAAGGGTCTATTTTTGTTCAAAAGATGTAAATTAGGAAGCCTGAACTTTATTTAAACTAGAGTTCTAGGGTTCGGAGTAGGGGAAACAGAAATATCCATTTCCGGTTGATGCAAAAGTAGTAGCGTGAAAAAGGCCTTAATTTTACCAAACTGGCGAATCGCATAGCTATATTGATGCGCTAAATGCACTCACAGTGTATTTAAGACGACAAATTTCTGATATAACCGATATGGGATTGCTTAATTTTCAAGTTTCAGGGTTCGAAACATATTTACACTCTCGCGGATTTTTTTTCGTGTGCCATTTTGATGTAAAGGTTCCGATAAAAGTTAAGATTTGATTGCTATAAACTAGAGGAAAAAATATTAAATCATACATACCTTGAGGAATAATATCTATTTTTACAGTAATATAAATTTTCAATGTAAATAAAAATTTAAAAAATGCCAAAAGGCAAAAAATATAAAACAGGTTTGTGATTATTTTGGTTAAATTAGGGCAGGTTGTCAGGGCAACAGATAATTGCTACGTGATTTAGCCGCATCACGGATTGCACGCCAGCATCGCTGCTTTTATCACAGCGTTTCCAGTCCCTGTCTTTTGGATTGTCTATGCTGGCATCGAGTTTCAGTTTAACAGCTAATACGCCGAAATTTTGTGGCAATTTTGCAACCTATTGATTTTGTAATATCACGTTTTGTAGTTTTCTCTTGTCAGAAGGACAATTACTAGCACCGCCACGCTTGGCCGCTTTGTTGTATCAGTTATAATATACTGTAACTCCGAATGGAATCTTAATCTTAAAGGGAAAACTCGAAAACGTGATGTTCAACACCATTCAAATTTCTTTGATATTGCCAAAGAATTTCCTTGAAATGAGACGCAATTTCTTTGAAATTTCCTTGATTAACTGAAGTACTATTGGACACTATTCGTCAGTACTCATCAATACGTATATAGAGCAAGACAGTCATACATTTTTGGCGCAACTCTTAAAATGAAAGTACACGAGAATTTTGAAAGCTCTGAAATGGACTAAAATGTAAAATTCTAGAGTTATAAAATTGTTCTCAACGGCTGGGTTTCAGTCACGTGGTACATTTAGACCATTTAGCGCTTGGTGTCGACTCCAAAAGACCAAAAGGAAACACAGTTACCAGAGCAAGTTAATTTTTCATTGTAAATCCTAATGACTTGCTCATAGACTGCAAAACAGTTTTTTTATACAAAAATCTTCAAAACAATTCAGTACAATTTAGTTACTCTAAAATTCCTTAGATTTCCTTGATTCATTTTTGGCCCTTTTCCCCTCCTTGAAACTCCTTTTTTCGGTCAAAATAGTTAAAAAGGAAATTTCCTTCAATGTGGAAACACGCCGACAGAACTCCAACCACCTGCGGATTTAGGCGACTTAAGCCGAATGCCATTTATAGACATTAAAAAGGACTAAAAAATGCCTCCGATGACTGTCATGACTGACAATAAAGTTTAATACCAGTTAAAATAGTAAATAGTCAATATTGTTTGGTTCTGATTTTTGATAGTTTGCTTAAAAAGGGACTAAAAAGTCATTTTAAAAAAACTTAACGTCCCTCATCTCTCCCGCCTCCCGCCCTCGCATGACTCCCGCATCCCGCCCCGTCTCCTCCCGCTTCCCGCCCACCTCCCGCCCTTATTCTCCCGGGTTCCCGCCCCCTGTCCCCCCCCACTGGCTATGCCTCGCGTCAAATTTAAGAATATAATATAAGGCGTTTCAAAAGTGTAATTTTACCCGACAAAACTGTCTGCATGTCCGCGTATACATGCATTGCCTTGTGGCATTCTGCCTCAATTAAACTACCTGGCGCTTTTTATATATCTTGCTTGTGGCAACCTTTTTGGCGGCTTTCATTACACTTCATGTGTGTCTCTCGGGGAAATATAGTTTTTGTTTGCCTGAAAACAAAACTCACTATTTCAGAAAAATGCATTAAGTGTTTTGCTGCATAGCAATGATACACCAGAAAAGACCATATATTCACACGATAGTTAATTTTCACAAATAATTTTTTGTTCATGCACTTATTAAATTGAATTACCGAACCTGTTTTACAACTTCGCGAGAATTCTTGTTCGTTTTTATGTATTTTCTGTTTAGTTTGACAAATCACATTGTTTATAAAGTTTCGCACCATATTTCTTTCTCTAAGCGAGCAAGCGGGAAATGTCGCATTTATCTAAGACACGTGACCACGAATCGACCAATCACAATTAGTATAAGCTCTAGCGTGTAACAAATAGCGCAATTTTTTACATACAACCCGGGATCATGGCATCGACTGATTTAGATTTAAAGGATGCATGCATGTCAGGCGAAAAACAGTCGAAGAATGATCTGTAGGGTCGAAATCCTGTTTGTCTTTGTCCACTAAAGGCCCACACAGACAGAACGCGATTTGGCAACGATTTTTTTCCCATAGGCAAATAAAGTTTAACTTATCATGATATTTTTGTTGATTATTTAACGATAATACATTAGCCTTTGATGAAAGTGCTTCTACCAACCTTCAGGAAAGATTTTTCTAGATTGTTATTGAAATTATATATAGTCACTACATATATATAGCCTGATATAAGAACCTCGAAGACTGAATATTGTACATCCAAATACAGTCTGTGCACAAGACAAAACATGCATTGTTGTCTATACCCCGCGGGTATATATTGGCTTGTTTACACGCTAGTAAAAATATAATAGATAGATAGAATTCTTTATTATTCTTACAAGAATAGTACTCAAAACACACGTTTGAGTTTACAGCGTTTTCTAAGATTAAATATATTACAGGATAAGATTTACTGTTATTTACATAATTTTAACTATTAATTACTATAAAACTAAGACAATAATTGGCTGTAATCTACAAGACCAAGACAATAATAAGTGGATTTATTATACAAATTTAAAAAGGCATCTGTTTATGAAAGTGCGTTTATAACGTTCGGTTCTTATTAGAGGTAACTCGAACTCATGTCCCCTCTGTCTTAATTGTCTATTTAACTTATTCGGCAACAATTCTTGTAATGCATTATTTTTATTGTTTGTAATATTCTTCCATAATCCTGTCTCTACAATAATTTCTTTAAAATCATACTTTTCTGATATGTAACCATTTCGATATGCACGGCCAATGAATTTTTCGATTTGATCAATGTACTTGCTATGGGTGCCTCCCCAAAGTTCAATCCGTAAACAAATAACGACATTATTAAGCTTTTGAATAAAAGGTCTAACTGTTTGGTTTGTATACCATAATACTTACAAACTCTCAATATGTACATTCTTCCTCCTGCTTTGCTAATCATTTCATTAAAGTGTAAGTCCCATTTATCAGGTACATTTTCCAACGTTATTCCCAATAATTCCAGCCATGATTTACGTACGATATTTGGAATGGGAGTCGGTAAGGGTGTTGGGATTTTACTTTGTATGACCATTTCATATGTTTTTTCCATATTGAGCTGCATTCTATTTCTTTCGGACCATTCTTTAATATTGCTTACCTCATCATTGATGTATCTCCATATCATACCCGGGGATTTCTAATGTCAAGTCGTCAGCAAATTTCACTAATTCATTTTGGGTGTTGACTGTTTTAATATCATTTACCATTATCGAAAACAGTACTGGACCCAACACAGTTCCTTGAGGAACTCCTCTATTGATGTTAACGTAGTTTGTTCTAATTCCATCAACCTTTACTCTTTGATGACGATTCCAAGAAACTAATAATCCAGTTAATAATATATGGATTAAGAGGAAGGTTTTTCAATTTGCTACAAAGGATGTCATGCGGCACACTGTCAAAGGCTTTCTTTAAGTCGAATGAAAACTCTCACATATCTGGCACCGTCTTCCAGCCATTTTAATGCCATATGTTGGCACTTAATCAGGGCCATTATAGTGTTGTGGCCGTTTTTATAAGCAAATTGGTCTGAATCAATAATGTCATGAAGAATGTGCAATTTCGGCTTTATATATACATTTCTCAAATATTCTCATGATTATGTCGGTCAAGGAGATGGGTCTTAACCGATTGCAATTCTCTACAGTCGATTCCTTAGGTATTGGTACAATATCAGCTCTTTTCCAAGCTCTCGGGACGTTAGCATTTCTCAAAGATAAATTGAATATTTGTGTGATGGTTGGTGCTAATTCGACTCCAAACTCTTTCCAAAACCAATGTGGTAAGTCGTCGGGGCCTGCCGATGTACGTTTTTGATTTTGAAGAAACTTGGAGACCATTTCTACTGTTAACTTAGGAACTCTGGTACCTTCTGGAATTTCTTGTAACTCTGGTGCCGTGTAAAGTGGGTCGGTACAAACATCATGGAAGAAATTATTTATCTCATCGGTCGATGAAAGATGTAACTGGTATTTTGTTATCAGTTCTTCCTGTAATTTTATTTATATTTGACCACCAGTCTTTTGTTCCAGATTTGTATTTTTTATTTTCATTCCGTACGGCGTGGAGTTGATTTCTTCGAATAAGTTTATTTATTTGGGTTTGTAACCGAATATTAGCCTCACTGTCTCTGGCTTTAATTGCTTTCTTCCTTTGTTTTAATAAATGTTTTACTAGGGGAGATATAAACGGCGGGTCTCTAGTGGATGTGCGAACTTTAATCGTCGGAAAACTTTTCTCAAATTTAGGCTCGATAATTTTGTAAAACTTTTCGACCATCTCGTCCAATGAATGTTCCTTATTTATATCATTCCAGTCAACATCTTCTAGTTCTTTCCACATAATTAGTTTTCTATGCTGCCTTACATCTCTGATATATGAGTCTTTTCTTTTTGCTTTTACAACATCTCGAGGGTATGCTATAATCATTTTGTGGTCTGATCTTACTAAGCTTTTTACAACTTTTACTTTTTTCCAATAGTGTGGAATGTTCGTGATAAAAAGATCTAGAATGTTATCTCCTCTAGTAGGTTTTTTAACTATCTGGAACAGAGATTGTTGGTTTAATAGTGAACAAATATTCAGTTTGTTCAAATCGCCTGCAATTATGATTTTAATGTTAGGCAATGACGATAATAGCTGTTCGCATGAGTCAGTCAAGAATTCAACAAGATCATCAGAGTTGTATGTATGATCGGGAGGATGGTATATAGAGGCCACATGAAAACTTGAGTTTTCAGTTGTAATTTTGGCCCATAGGCACTCAAAGCTATTTGTCAGATTTGGTAGCGGCTCCATCTTCCAATCATTTCGGCATATAATTGCCACGCCACCACCACGACGATTAATTCGATCTTTTCTTAAGATTGAATACCCAGAGGGACATATAAGAGAATTGCATACAGAAGAATTTAACCAAGTTTCAGATATAAAACAAATATCAATGTTATTGCTTTTAATGTCTGCATACAAGGCCGGATGAGCGTCTGGTTTTACAATTGATCGTGTATTCAGTACTAAGCATTGTGGGATTTGCTTGGTTTGCTAGGTTCACACTTTGCAATATTTACGTACTTAAGGTTGCGATGCCGGTTAGCTGTGTTCCGCGCATTTTGCCTAGATCTTGGCCATGAGCGCGAGAAGATATTCTGACTTGAATTGTGTGAGCCATTACACGTACGTTGATAAAATTCCCTTATGGGTTAAATTTATTTCACGCTTCGCAAGATGCTCCTCCTTTGGGCGCCAAGGCTTACAAGTAACAAATTTTGGCCAGAAATTATCTTCTTGCACGAGTGAACTAGCAGCCAGGGGGACATGGATCTTCGATGAAAGGGTTCCACTGCGCCGACTAGGGAAAATGGAGATATATGTTGGGACTATATTTTTCTTCTTTAGTAAGATAAATCTGATTTTCTTTCACGTCTTGGGCGATACCAGATAGAAAAAATTTCTTTATTTTTCTTCGCTTTCGCTCTACTCCGATAAAACCATCGGACTCGCTAGAAGGCACCTTGTTTCTGCTTGGTGATTTCTGCAGGTTTACCTTAGGTTTATTACTCGTATCAATTGCATGAGATGACTTTACAGTGTTTGCGTAAGTTAATTTACATTCTTGCGATGAAGTCGGCTCAGCACTTGTTGTATCATTATTAGGTTTTAACTGTTCGTTCTCACTTAATTTCACGACAACAAGGCTATCATTGGTATTTTCGCATGCATCATCAATAACAATGGGTTCTTGATTAGTGAGATCGTTAACAGATTCCGACCCATTGTTCATATTAGGATTTGCGGAATCGTTCAAGACAAAAGGCTTCACAATTGTTGCATCATTAATGTTATCTTGATTAACATATTCAAATTGTTCGCTCGCTTCATTCAGAGGCGCTGCCGAGTTTAAATCGTCTTGGCCGCCTTTATCTTTATCCATAAAGCTCTGGAAATGCGAAATCACCGATGTTATGTGAGAAATCGTCCCCGATAGAGCCCGAATCGCTTCCGAGTTTACCAACTGGCCTTGTTGAAGGTCATCTAGAATTACATTGACTGTAGACGATTGCATGCCCGACTGCCGAGCGTCCAAAATGGGAGCTTCGGAAGAGCATATCAGCTTACAAAACTTTTGTGTAATCTCGTTCGCTCTCGCACCATCAAGGTACAAAAGATTCTTATTCTTTTTCCACAATATGGTAGATTCATCAAAAGTGAAAAGTTTCCTATCCCCACCAGGCTGCGACCATATTCCTTCGAGATCTAGGTCGTCCTTTGTGAACTGCTTTAAAGATTCGTAGTCGCCACTCCATGCAAAGCATAGTTTTCCGCTGAATGTTGACGCCATAAAAGTTAACACATTTAGTTGATCAGATTTATACCAATTATAAACGATAAAAGATCAGTTTATTTGAGAGACTTGTGGAGCTTCAAAACACACGTCTGAACTCGTCTTCAACCTCAACAACCTCCGCTGGCAGACGTCGGCGTTTTTCATAATAGACCAAATTGTATATATGTACAGTATATATATCTATATACTCTTTCTTTTCCTGTCGTTTTTAGCTCAAATGCACGATTTATGTATGTTGTCAACAAAATATAACCAGTGCATGCCATACGTTTGGCAGTATATTTGGCTCCTAGACGTTTGCAAAACAGGGATTCAAATGCAGGAAGGGTAATATTATAATGATTAATGTATACACAAATTATCATATTATATAGTTAAACCATGCATATATAACACTCTCTACGACCATGAATATAGACTACATGATGATGATGGATAGGAGCGCACTTCACACAAAACAGACCGTTAAAAAAAAATTTCAGTACAATAGACATGCATTTAAAATTGATTTTTTTTTCATGACAATCGATACATTTTAGAATGTTTGTGTCATCTGTTGCTTGCATGCCTCAGCGTAAAAGTTATACACAAACTTCGAAGAACGTTAATTGAGAAACTGTAATCTGTATGTTTATATAATTCACGGCTTGTTGTGAATGTATTCTTCTGTCTGGTAAACGAATTCGCTCAGACTCTTGATTTAGGCTGTTGCAAACAATGAGAGTATACATTCGAGTATTAACATCCAAGTAATTAAAAAATGCATTTGAAAATATTTGCAGAATTCCCAGATTAGGTTAACGGTTGGGGCGAGAGATTCACACGGAGTTCCACTTGATTTTATCACGCTACCTGCAATGAAGTTTATTCTTGATGAATGACTAAGCAGTTGAACGATACCGCACTACCGCAGGACCATATATAGTTTATACAAATCTTCAAACTAAACTTAACCCACAGCTCGTTCACAAAGTGGAGTTTGTATTACATATATTTTCTGAATGGGTCAAAAGGATCTCCATTTTATAACGTTTGAAAACTTTCAAGAAAACTGCATGTCACATATAGATATTACCCAAATATCGGCAGATTTTAATCCCGCATAATTAATCTTGTCAACCGTCAAAAGTATTGTTACGGCTACATTACAGCAACCTATGTTATAGCTTTATCATTTTTTCGGTAACATTTTTACGAACCGAAAGCTGAATTGAAATTTAGCAGTTAAACGCGATCATATCATGAGTGCAACTTCGATACACAATAAAATTTCTTTGTTTACCAACGTTTGTTGTGACATCAAGGAAATGTACCCCAGTGACAATATCGATTTTTTTTAATGTTGTAGATATCGCGCCTTTGTTTCAAAAGCAAGCATGGCAAAAGCGTTTATTAATAGCGTTTCTTGCAGACCTAATCTCGCTTTTATCATCGCACAATGAACCAGTTCATCGATGCATGTCTAAAAGCGTAAAATCGACAGGTGTCCATTGCGCCTCGTGTGCTCTTAATATGTAACCTGCTTTGCCACCAGCGTACGCGGTATGTCAGTAGCAGGTCAAAACCTGCAAGTTTGTCGTTTAAGCGCCTAAATTTTACCGCGATAAACAGAGTTGGAAGGCCAGGAAAGCTGCGAAACGACATTCTAACCGCCGTTGGCTTTGAAATATATTTCAAATCCGGAATCCCGTTTCGAAAATCAACGTTCGCTGAGGGTTTTATCCGCAAGGTTGTAAAACGACGTTAGGTTTGATCGGACACTCGCGTAGGCAAGTACGGGTGGAAAACACAGACTCTCGCAACATGGAAACGGAAAGATTGATAAAGGATTACGAGCATCAGGAAAGAAAACGCAAGGGTGCACACTTGGAGGCGATATTCGATAAGGCTGTCAAGAAACCCAGCCAAGTTACGAACGAAAATAACAACAAGGACAGGCCGGTAAATAAATACTCCATGGAATTGGCGTCCATGAGCAGCCCCGAAATCCCTCCTCATACGAGCGCGTTGGAAATTGCTGGAAAATCGCCTGTCAACCCTACAAACCTTTTGGAAAATAGTGTAAACGCGTTGGTAATCAGTGCTAGCGAATCTCTTGGGAACACCGGAAATCCCATGGGAAACACCCGATGCTCCCCCACGAATAGCAGAAGTCCCTCGGGTGTCGGTGTAAGTCCGTCAAGGAGTGCAAGGGGTTCTATGGAGAATCGTATGGAACATTCTATGAACTCCTCGGGGATTTCTCGAAATCCTTTGGAAAAATCGCGCAATTCCTCGGAGAATACACCACGCAATGTTGCATACCATGACGACCGTGATTCGAGTTGTACGACGCGAGAAGCGAGGGACGAGACCTCAGATAAGCAGGTCAAAGAAATGAATGGTGGCCATTACCCTGGGTTTAAGCCCATTGCACCGTCTAATACGGACTTTAATGCTACCAAAGAAGCTGGGATTTCCGAGTTTCAACCAACTGTCACCGTGAAACAGGAAAAGCCCGATGAAGCAACTCCGGTCCAAGTGATGCCCGTTCAGAACAAACTGGTCGAGAAAAGCTCTGGTCGGGTAGACAATGCAGATATCGGTGAAGACTGTTTAAAGTTTTTGTTGTTTTCAGGAAAACTGTATCATTGTGAAAGAATATCAGATCTCACTCACAGTTTTTCAAGATTTATTGGCGACAGTGTTCTGGGAAGAAAAGGTATTGCCATGACTTTCTTTTGCGTCTCATTAGTTAGAATAAAGCCCGTTTTTCACCCCCATTGTTATTATTATTTTACTATTGGCGAAATTTGACAAGCTGCTTGAGTTATATAAGGCCAATTTATGCTGGCAATTTTTCTTTTTCGCTGCGATTTTCCTCTCTTGATAGATAAGAGGTAGATACCATTAGAGCATTCATAACTGTTTGCTCTATTGCATTTATTACGGGCAGACTTTGGCAAGTGTAGACGAGCCTATAAAATTTTGTTTGATATATTTCAATTATGAAGGTAACTTGGCAGGAATAGCGAACTCCATGTATGCAGCTCGAACGGTAACTGGGCATAAACATGCCAATATAATTTATACAAACTTGATCTGACACGTCTGTAATCTGTATAAACTAAGGCTATTGAGAATTGCTTTTGATGTGGAAATTTCAAGACTAGCAAAACGATATATAGGACATGCAAATTCTAGGAAAAACTAAAAGTCGCTGTAGCTTCAATTCCCCTTTTTCAATTTATCGTTCTAGTTTTACTGAGGCCCAGCTATTCAATCGCACACACCAAAACAGACACGTTCACGAAATTTCTTCGAGAACACAGCGAAACTTTGACAAGTATTCCCTCCACATAAACTAACTGTTTTAGGAACTAAAAACCAATAGTTTAAACTGAAATTTGAATGGCGGTTTCAGAAAACAAGTATTTCACGAGAAACATGACTGTTGGGCTACCTATCGTAAAACCGAAGTATTTAGACCCAAGTTGTGATATTTCGATATTTATTGAAAAATCATATTATCAGACTAACTACGACTAAATATTATTAATCATGAGGTGTTATTACCAAAAAAGGACCTCGTGTCTTATTGCAATATCGCCAGCCTTGAGGCGAGTTTTCAAGTATTGAAAGGATAAAATGAAAAAATATTTATATAGTATTGAAAATGTTTGTTGATAAAATATTCGAACGGAAATGTGTAGCGTATCTTCAGACCTAATCAGGAGCTGTGGCGGGAAACGAATTCCATTTTGTTTTGCATCACAGTTATAAATTTCCTTTGTATATAAGAGAACATTTAGTCTCGTATAAGTCACTTCACTGCAAAAAGTGATGAGAACACGTATGAACGCACACACAGTAAGAACATGATTATACAATTGGAATAATACTCTGTCAGAAGAAATCTGAAACAGCTGAGACCGGCGATAGACAGACGTGGGCGTTTAGTGTGATCAACATCTTTTAAAAGTTAAATGTGTGGCAGAATGTTAAAGTTACCATTGTTTTGTTTTGTCTCATGTAAAATACCCAGTCGTTCTAAAAATTTTAAAGCAAAGGGTAATATATTTCACAAGATATTAAAAACTAGTTCAATCTAAAAATCGATTTCTTTTCAAAACTGGTTCCAGTCCTTTTTCGTTGTCTCATATCATCTGGCACCAGCGTCTCAAACTAATTAAGCCGCAGATACCGGTTGCCTAGTTTGTACGTACCGGCAGATGTAATATAATTCCTTTGATGCAATTTTCGCTCATTGATCAGATAGTACACTGATTGAATCGTATGTAGCTTGACTTAATGAAACTTCCAGCGGCCAGAACAGAGAAAAATACTACCTAACAAGTGTCGCTATCAACGCAGGACTTTGCGTTTTAGAGCCTGGTTCTTTCTTAGACCCTAATCAGTAAAACAAGAGTTACCCAGATGGACTGTTTATGAAAATCGGAGTTTCTTTAAGTGGCTCTCCGGAAGTTTGTTAATTATTCTGGTTTTGTTTTCGATATGTATAGTTGCTACATCGAGTGATTTATGAGGACAGTTGGGCTCAACTTTGCTCTTTCGACCTTTTAGGTAAGGTCGTGGTTCTACTTCTCTTTCATAAAACGCTACACGAAGTACTAAACTACGTAGTGGGCGTGGTGGATCACTATACCCTGGAAGAACACAATATCATCATCAAAATCATTAAACATCACTCCTATCCAACGACGACCTCGATTTCCACAAAGGAGGTGCAGAAAAGCACATCAAAACTCGTGGTTGGAACAAAGAAGCTCCTCTACAACCTTCAGTCACTACACGGGCCTGTTTATGGGGAACTTGTGAAAATTTTAGACGGTTTTGGGGCAAACTCTGCTGTGGATCATGCGAAAATAAGCGAATTTAACGCCATGGTTAATGCAAATGCCGATAGAATGGATGGCCAAATCTCGAACATTCTCGGCAAGGGAGCAATGTCGTATAGGAGCAGTTATACCAATAGGAATTTTGTCCCTGTGACTTACAGTCCTATTGCATCTAGGCTACCTCAAAGCAATCCTAGGTACAGCCCCCTGGCAAATCAAATTAGTAATACTACTCGGTATTCACCTGAAAAATCGCACGGGGGGTCGACGCACGGAATCTCACACGATAGATCGAAGACGTCTGAAGTGGAAATCGACAGCGGTTACCAAAGAAGAGTGAACACGTCATACTTTAGAGACGGGCATCACGTGAACACTGTGTCGGCCAATCAGACTGTTCGGATCACTCCTCGAACAGCCAGCAGCAATGTCGATCAGTTGCGAAGCGTAGCGGCGATGCCTGTTGTGCCAAGTGCTCGATTTCGTTCGGCGCTAGAAGATGGAAGTCTTGTCTCGCAGCGACGAAATGTTGAAGGTATATTTCTGTTATTTTCTCATCAATAAGAGTCCAGCGTGGATTATTATAACGAGTATAGTCGTTAACGAGAAAATTTTGTTTCATTTCTTTCAAATTCAACTTTCTCAAAAATGTTTGAACCATATCGATAACTTCCATCTTGTCTGTCTGATAACATTCCAACTTTTATCTCCATGAGGTCAATACAAAGTATAGGAAATAAAACACAGCACACCTCTCTGCTTACGTAGAAATCTCCTATGTAGAAACCTACATAAATGTTATAATCATTTGATGGAATCTTAGTAATAGAATCTCTGTGTAGATATTTCATCAACCAAAATGTCCAACTAGAATAAAGTCATGCCGCCTATTTGTTGTTTTTCGTCGGCATATGCCCGATTAATCATAATCTATTACTAATCTGACTGACTGATGCTTTAGCAAGGTGCTGTATGCTTGAGTAAACGAACCAGTTTTTCAGCACAGTAATTCAGGATTTAATATGATAAATCTCTTATTCTTGGGTTTCTATAGATCTCCAAACTGTGGCAGAATTATGCAAAGAAAAAATGAAACGGGATATGGCTGAACAAGAATTGAAATCCATCAAAGGTAAAATTATATGCCCCAAGGGATATAGGCATACTTTTCGAATGTTGTGATCATGGATCATTGAACAACGGCCATGCAACATATTCTCAATTTGTAGTGTTATTTGAATATTCGCTATTTTCATTTACATCCATGTTCGTCAACTCTATAGCTGCCTTTGAGGAATTCAAATCACAGATGCAGCAGCATCTTTCCCAAGTTGAGGAACGCATGGTTTTGCTTGAAGCTGAGAACCGAACACTCAAAGGTATAGTACACAGCTTTGGAAGCAACCATGGTGCGAATAACCACCGCAAGTACATAGTTTTACGATAAACATTATGTAGGGGAAGGTGCATGCAGAGGCCTCGGGTAATTTCTATTAGTTCAACGCACATCAAGCTCCCATGCATATATGCACCCCTGCTAAAATGGAACCTCCATCCAAAACCGCTATCATCGGAGCCCAACCCTGGCGACTAGCGTGGTAATAGCAAGTATATTCGTATTATTTTCAAGGACTTTGTTTAGAATGCTTTAAATTTTGAACCCCCTCTCTTTAGGTAAACTTTCAAACATGCACCAAAATAATGGTTTTGCTGAAAAGAAATACCACGGTTCGTATCTTATACCTATCATTTGTAATTTGTATACAAAGTGGAATAAACATATATTCGCCCATGGCCATACGGCCGTAAAAATAGTTAAATAATATTAATAGTTAAAAACAAGGAGACGTCCTTGTGAGAGGCTCCTGAAAAGGTTCTTTATACATTTTAGAATTACGCAGTCAACTTGAAGAGCTTTTGAAATCGACATAAAGAACTTAATTAGGGACATTGATTCAGGAATCCTGGAGTAGATCCCTGCTAAAAGTTGTAAAAATATAGTATATTAAATGCAGGTATATTGTACTCTTTTTCGTTTGGGTAAAACTTTATAAACTGGCACAAAGCGCCAACCCGATTAATTCATCAGATTTAATATTGCTTTAAAAGCGCCAGTTCTAACAATATTTAGTGACATAATTTTTCAATTATGATCTACGATTCAATGCAGCTGGTTATAGGCGTTGTATACAACTGGCCGCAAGACAAGTGCCAACTTAGTTGACTTCTTTCTTGTTTATTTTGTAACTGTTCACGATGTTTACGCATCATTGGCATTGCGCAGCTGGCAATTAAAATACAACAGCTCCACAACAATAGTGAAAGAGTTATTTAAAACATTTCTTGAAACCAAGATGGCAGCCATTCAAACCACTTATTTTAAATGCACTGTGTCTAAAACTCAATTGCAATGGTACGTACATTGTACATAGAATATAAATATACACATGAATCAGGTTTATAAAATCATTTTTATGAATTGCATCCAGCACAGATGTGGTGAAAATTGTTTTTGAAGACACCTGTGCATCGTTTGTCAGCAGCAGTTTGGCGGGTAGAAGTGAAACCAACAATGTGGGATTTTAACGGTTTAAGATTTGAATGGATTTAGAAATAGGTTCAGAAATAGGATATTAATAGCAGTTCGCATTGTATATTTGCAACATGCGAAATCAGATGATTTTAAAGAATTTGACTAGATCAGACACCAACTAACAAACTCGTATTTAGCGAGAATTAATATCATTCAACATATCTAAAAATCATGAAATCGTTTTCCTTTAATTTTATATTATATTATGGTTTTCCTTTAATTTTATATCAGGCATCGTTATCGTCTTCTGATATCAAAATTTCCTAATATGTTTCCACATGTATCACGTCGTTTCCTTCTTATAAAACTTTGCAATAAAGAAGCCAATTGTATCACAGTCGGTCGGAGGTCTACATTGTTTATCTATATCAAGCGGATCAAATCTTTGAACTAATCGCCTTTGTTCTTCTGACAAACCGCAGTTCGCTAATCCAAAACCGCCAATGTGGATATCCTGAAGGTAAAGAATCAATATTAAACTCTCGGTTTATTTATTTTAGTATTTTGTTTATTAAATAACTCAGCTATAAATTAGCTTTTAAATGTTTTAGGAAAATGCTGTTGCTCATGAAAAGATTACGTATTCCGTATCTATTACTCACTTGTTTAACTAACTGTAAGCAAGGGAATTTATCTAGTGCCCAGGCCACTTGTCTTTCATTCTCTTCGGATGGTATCGTGCACGTGGAGTAGACTAAAGTTCCACCAGTTTTTAACAATCGTACAGCCTAGAAAAATCATTGATACTATTTATATGCCATGTCAGGAAACTGGTGTAGCTAGAATTTAAAAACACTCTGAGCTGTCATTTGTAATTGGTCAAATGTCTTGACAAAGCATTCTGGTCTGTGGGTAAGGTCTGAAATGTTGCATATTCCAATACATTTACCTACCGTGTTTAGGAGTTTTCTCTGGTAGATTGGAAACGACTCCAGTTCCTGACGGGATTTTCTAATTAATGAATGCTGAGGCCGCTGGCCCAAAGCACTGCAGGGGCCATCAAGGAGAATGCGATCAAATGTGCCGGCTGCGAAAGGTGGCTTGTCTAATTCTAAATTATTTAAAATTATATAATAAGGATTCTGCTGTATTCTTGGGGCTCTTGGTTGTCTTAGAGTTCAATTCACCTTTTTTTCCCTCGACATCACAAATGGCCTTCGTTGCATCCCATAGAAATGGCTTGATACTGGTTAAGTTTAAGTTCTGTATATTTCGTATGATTTTGTCAATTTTCGGTTTACTTTTGTCCAAAGCAAATATTACACCCTGCAGACACAATAAAACGATTGAAATGAATCAATTCGTTGGTATCGCTCATAACACATCTAGGGCTAGCCAGATGAATGAAGCTGAATTATTTTGCTCACCTTATCTTGCATAATTTGAGCAATGTGGGTCGTTTTTCCACCTAAAATGTTGAGTTTGATTCAAAATAACTAATATGCAATAGGTCGCTTTCAAACACGGTATGGCCACATCGTGTGAACACAACTGAATTTGCATCGATGGATAGATAAGCCCCCTCCAGATTTTTTTAAGAACAGATTCTGGACAAAATCTTAGATAAACCCACTTATTGGCCCTAATGAGAATCAACGAGCTTTGTTTTGGCTTTAGGGTTGAGTTTATCATAGTTAGAGTTTATATAGCATTTAGAGACAAATCAGTGAAGTATGGAATTGTCGCTCACCTGGGGCAGCGCACATATCAAGAATTGTCTCCCCAGGCCTTGGCGCGAGTGCATGTGACGTCACAACTGATGGTAGGTTTTGTAAGAACGCACAGTGTGATGAGTATCCATTTAGGGATGGCAAGGGATATAATGGCTCTGTCATGCTTACAGCAATGCCACTAAATCAGGAAAATGGCAAATTTTTCAGAAAGAGTAACATACTTAATACTTCTACCAGCTAGGGGCGTTTGAATTCAATTTACTGCTGTTTTACTGAGATTGTTCAAAATAAACCAGCCATAAATAAACCATAGTAGAAATCACAGCTATTTACCTGGGTGCAGTGTCAACACAGAATATTTCATTTCGTGCCAGTTCAGCTCTCCCATTTCCAACAAATATTTTTCTTCCACCAAATTTCTTAGTCAACCCTTTCCTGCACTGACCATCAACATCAGAATACACCGAGACAACGTCACCTCTTTTCATACCTGCGCAAATACGGCAGCGTTTGGCGTACATTAAATTTGCCCTTTTTTGGGGGGGGGGTTCAATATACCACCAGGTATGCCAACCAGAAACTTTTTGTTGTTGTAACCCATAATACTAGCTTGAACTCAGCCAACTCAGTGCTGTGTATAGTCTGACAAGGTAAGATATTTTATGAACTTTTAGCTAGACTATTGTCACTAATCCTATACTCAATCGACTAGTCCGGCACTTTTTGTTTCGTAACGTTTTATTTGCTATTAAGCCTATTTCAAATAATGCTATTTGGCAATTAGGAGCAGTTACCATAAGTCCGACTAACTGAAGAACAGAAGATTTAAACTAAATCTGTTGGAGTTTGCACTAGCGCCGTTGCATAAGCCACAGGAAATTGTGACGAATCAGCTCACAATTATGGATGCAGCTCAGAATGATAGATCAATGCAGCTGCTTACAGCATGCTTTGTGCCGCACTATATTTAAAACCCAGATTGTTTTATCTGGAAACTAACCAATAGGAGCTGCTATTACACCCGGTGCAAAAACGTGGGCTCCTCTCAACACAGCGGTACCGCACTGACAACCAACAATTACTTCATTTGGGCATTCTTTGGGTTTGCTTGAAACATCAACAGCAGACACCAGCAAAATATCTGGTATGTGTGGATGCCCTGTCGCGTTGAAAGATTGTCCTGACCCATAGGGGTACTCCTAAAATATGTCACGTAAGAGATGGAACGCATTTGAGGTGGGAAAATATTTTTTGTGTAATTTCATCAATAGACAGCCCAAATTTGCGTGATATTTTGAAGTTTGAACACGGTAAATTTTTCGGCAATCTGTCAACATAGTGAAATGATGACAAACTTGCGCGATAATTTGAACGCGATAAATTTTTCGGCAATTTGTCAACATAATATAAATATAATGGCATTATTATTGCTAAAAAATCTATCGTGTTCAAATTATGATGCAAGTTTGGGTTGCTCTTTTGTTTTATGTGCTAGCTGAATAAGTACAGCTGTTGGATGTTGAAATATGGCATCGTTTCCTCAGACTGACTGACTGAGGTATAGCTACAGGGGAGAATAGAGGGTTTGGACCCTCCCACTTTTAATTTGAATCAAATTTCTCATTTGTCTAATACAATATGGTAGCTGTAGTCAATCATGGTACCTGTAGTCAATTGGGACTATGTCCTGTGTGGCCGCCTTTTGCCAAATTGTAAATATTTTATTTCTGCAATAAAGTGATTAGAAAGAAAGAAAGAAAGAAAATATGTACAGGAGATGTACAGTACTACCTGTTCTAAATAATTCTGAAGAGATGACTTTGCTTCAGCAATTGAACATTGCAGGGTATTAATTCTGACAACTGTATACTTTGGTGGCTTGGAAAGGTTGTTAAAAATTCTCCCAAGAATTTCTTTTTTGGAATCAAGACCATTTTCCTGTCAATATTAAACAAAGCATATTTTTATGTTTCATGGGATCTGTACTAGCTGAGATGTCAGGAATCTGCATGACCAGCTATTTGCTTGATATTGCACACAATGGTCAAATAAAATGGGATTGTGACATGGATGTTGGGGTCATACGAAATGTAATAAATTTATAATACAAATGGGGTCTTGGGGAAGGTGGCGTGATCCAACTTGGTTCCTATATATAGCCTTGTTGCCTGCAGAGGCCTCCTTGCCACCTATAAACAGCTTCTAAAGATCTTGTTAAAGTCAATTTTAGTAGGTGGATATGAATTATTAATTAATAGCTTCAGTTTGATGATTACAAACTTCAGCTCAAATTCCATAAAACTATCCTAAGCTTCAGGCAAGTCTGGGCATGATTATCTCTAGTTATCAATTATAATATGCTACTATCCTAATATATACCATATTCAAACCTTATCTGAGCTTATTGTTGAATAAGTTCTATCCCACAAATACTCTTTCAGATCATCAGATACATCATCCCATGTTTCCATTTTAAATCATCACGAACACTCCATTCAAAACTCCCACTACCTTAGTACCCTTCCTTTCACCTTTTCATCCATTTAGTCATTACGTCATCAACTTTCGTTCGCGCTTACTTTAAGAAGACTAGGCCGAGAACAGTGGATTTCAAAATTCAAAATGGCCGCGATTTTGAAAAGAAAATTTCTGTATATTTAAACATAAGCAAAGGTCAATTGTATACCTTGTATAATTGTATTGTAACAAAACATGTAAACAAAAGAACCGCAAGCGTTATATATCTTCAAATTTTAAACTACGGTGTATCAAGTTAAAGTCGAAATGTTTGGCTTGAACAGAGCAATGTTGGGAAGAAGTTACAGCAGAATTATATTGGCACGATTTCGTCATAGTCAAGCGGGTAAGTGAAGGAATTTCGTGTTTATTTTTTGACTTTTTATAGTGTTCATTGAAGGAAGAACTTTAATTTGGCGATCTTCCATTGTTGTGTGTTATTCATGCAGTACAATTGTACAAATGTTTCATAAAATAATGCTGACTAAGCTCATTGTCTGCCATTATGCAACTGTTGTCTGCGGAGTTTGTTTTGCTACAATCGTCTGTGAGGATGCCAGAATTGTTAACGGGCAAATTACCTTGCTAACATTGTGTTCAAGCAGTGTCTGCTACCATTAATACCTGCCAGCATTGTCTGTTACTTTGTAAAGTCATTTTATCCATTCCATCTTTTCAGGATACCAAGTTAAGCATAGAGAATTTTTTGGGTTGCAGCATCCATATTATTCACTTAATTTGTGGTGAGTCCAATGAATGAAAAATATGAAATGATGATTAAAATTTTGGTAACATGCCATTCTTTGTATTGAGAGTTCAAAGTATAATTAATGGTGTTTGTATTGAATGTACACAAATGGCCATTTTCTCCAGAATAGTAGTTTACCATCCTTTGCTATTTTTGTTTCAGCTTAGTCTGTGGATATCACACTCAAACCATATCCAATGCTACCCTTATTGAAGATGGTATTAGATCTAAACATAACCTTAGTTTCCGCAATCTAACCCCTCCTATGATATCCAGGCAGAAACTTTGTACATACTGTAACCAAGCACATCATAATGGCAGCATTTTATCACACAATCATAGACTGAACAGCCAGCGAAATGGACTTTTGACACCCATTTTAAGGCTGGATTTTTCACAACTGCATGGTCAGGAAGGAATAAAGTCTGTAGAAATTCCCATTGCGGCCAAAATGAAACCTCTCACAGCAAAAGAAATTAAGCCGCTACTTAACCCAGAGGAGAAGTCAAAGGTTGAGGAAACATGTGAAAACCTTAAAGCCAAAAAACAGGCAGAAACAGCTAAGACTTTGATTGAGGCCATGGACGAAGCTTTTCAACCAAAGAAACCAGAACCAGAACCTGTCAAGAAATCATTAGTTGAAAGAATTGTTCATGAGGTCAAACATTACGCCAACGGATTTCGATTGTTGTTTATTAATATTCGGATATCTGTGAAAGAATTGTGGAAAGTGCTGAATGGCCAGGAATTATCAAGGAGGGAACGAAAACTTGTAAGTGATGATCTGTGTAAGAGAATCAAAAGAGATCAATGAATGATAGTTTACGCTGTTCTATAGATTTTTCATTAATTTTGATTAGATTTGCTTCTTCTCCAAAAAAATTAGATTTTGAACCATTGTAGAATTTATATTGTGAACGCTATGCCTTGGTTTTTTGTACCATATGTTGAAAAATAGCAAGTAGATATGACTTCATGGTTGACAAATGACAAGTGCGAGTTGTGAAGGATCGCTAAACGAACGAGTGAGCGCAGCGAATTAGTGAGTTTAGGATTTACGGGTTTTAAACACAAAAATACAGCGAGCAACAAAAATCGAAATTTTATGCATCAAAACATCTTTATTACCGTTTAGTTTCTTCGTAATTTTGTTCAACTGAAGTTAGATATTCTTTCTGGGGGGAGGTAAAAATGTCTTGATATTTTATAATAGAAATGAAGTTTTTAATCTCACCATTAGGCCTTATCTTTCGACGCCATCTTGAATAGAATGTAGACAAATTCCCGCCAAAATGACATACAACAATTTTTCAGCAATAAAATCGCTCGTCCAATCAAAAGCCGTGAACGGCGTTTTTCACGTGTGAAAAAAATCGTTTGTCCAATCAAATTGCATAAAATTAATTTACTCTGTGAAGAACGATTTCTATTTCATCATTATATTGGGCATAAATCCCTATACATGCATATATATACATGCAATAGACGAATATAGAATACCATATTTCGCATGTTTTTCTATCAATATAGGCATTCTATGATATTATGAAAATACACGTTCTTTCAAACGCTGGCTTATTTTAGGCCCAGTTTTCATATAGCTACTAGCGTTTGTTTTTATGTCACATTCCAGGTTCGCATCCTAGATATCGTGCATCTTAAGCTCGCTATTTGCACAAAAGAATGTGTTTTGTATTTTGGATTACCTATTTGAGACACGATGTATATTATTCACACAAATACTTCTTCCTAGTTTCTACGAACAGTCTCGGATCTTTTCCGTCTCGTTCCCTTCATGGTATTTCTGATCATTCCATTCATGGAGTTTCTCATTCCTGTTGCGCTAAAGCTGTTTCCAAACATGTTGCCAAGTACTTTTGAAGACAAGACCCAAAAGGTAAGGAAATAATATATATTCAGATCTTGCATATTTATACAGTTCTTAAGTATACTTTTCTATCAAGTAACCATGCTGTAAGATGTAGGTCCAGTCGTTCACAAAATGTATGAGAGTATTTAAGCTTTTGCTTATCCATCGTTTGAGTCAAATGCCTTTCGAACAGCCGGTCGTACCTAATTTTAGTGTGCAGTGATGACCAATTTGTGCAGTGATAAAAGTAGAATGTGCAGTGATAAAATGAGAAATATGCAGTGATAAATGATGTTTTCTCAACAGACCTCACTCTGCTGAGATGGATTCATCAGCAATTGTCCCCCAAAATGCCAGAAATTAAGTCAGAGGGACTGAAAAATGCAGAAACATTTCTGCAGAACCCCTACAATTACCAATCTTTAAGTTACCAATTTCCATTTTTATCATACCCTCGTCCCCTTGTGGTGATATGTGCAGTGATAAAAAATTCTTAAAATTAGCTATGCAGCCGGTCCATGAGTATTATGTAATGACTAGTGTATAACGTCTGTGTAAATACCCTATAATATTATAGGACAAGGCCAAAAGGAAGCAGTTGAAAGTTAAACTGTCTATGGCAAAGTTCCTTCAGGACACTGTAGAAGAGATGGCAGTGTCTGCTGAAAACCAAGAGAGCCAGGATGAAACAAAAGCGTTTTATGATTTTATCGAAAAGGTTTGCTTTCTGTTCATAAATTATCATCGCTGTGGCTGGATGTGCAATACGCGATAAAAATTTAGTTAAAAATCATTTATAGGGGTATGCTTTTCGCATTTACCCGTCACATCATGCAACCAAACTTTGCAGTTTTAGTCAGTGTAAGAAGCTCTTTCTAGTTCGCACTCTAGTTTGCTAACCTGGAATCCATCGGAAGCCTTAGGGCTCAGCTCCGTTTGAATTTCTTGCAAGTCTAGTCTGAACATCGCGTCGCTGTTTATACTATAGATTCGTTCAAGAGGAGAGCAACCCAGTAACAAGGATATCATAAAATTCAGCAGATTATTTGAGGATGAAATTACTCTGGGAAACATGACCTATGCCCAGTTGAAAGCCATCAACAGGATGTTGGCCTTGCCGACTATTGGTTCTAGGACGTACTTGCGTTTCCAGCTAAACATGAAACTCAGGCAGCTCAGAGCTGATGATGTTGTAAGTATATTACTGTTAGCTCGGATTGCTTTAAGTTTTGAAAGTTCAATATTTGTAAATAGCTTGCTAACGCCTCTATGTTCATCCGTATATAGCATAAATGTACATTACGGTACAGTAAGGTACATTAAAGTACAGTACAGTTCTGTATACAATACAGGATAGTTAAGTCCCATCACAGTGTCGGCTTACTGCAGTACAAAACGCTTTGTGCATTGTGAACATTACAGGACAATGGAGTGCATTTCAGGACAATGTAGTATCGTGTAGTACACAAAACAATACAATTAATTATTAAGTACACTGCAGAGTATAGTTGAGTTCATACCTGTACCTTTTAGTACGTTGAGACAGTAGCGTAGCCAGCCTGACGATTTGTCCCGCTATGCTAATATTTTGGTGTTCTAAAGAAATGAATAATTGTAATAGCACGAAATTTACATAGCGGGACAAAATCGTCAGGCTGGCTGCGCCTCTGCGTTGAGGTACAATTGTGTACACTAGATCACTATATATTTGGGCACAGTGTACTTGGTTATAATGAAAAGCTTAAAAATTACGGAGTGTTTCTTGTACTAACTGTGCTCGTCTATTTTGTTATCAGTTGATCAAGAAAGAAGGTATTGACAGCTTGACAGTATCTGAGCTGCAATCAGCTTGTCAAGCAAGAGGTATGAGAGCCTTGGGCGTCCCTACAGAAAGGTTGAAATCGCAGCTAAGTCAGGCAAGTATCCTTAAGGCCAAAGGCAATGAAAATAATGATCCTTCCAATGTTTCGCCGTGTATCCCACGGTAGCCCAACAGTGTTGCCGCATTGAAATTTACATTTGGAAACAGTGAAATGTTTTTAATATGAGTGGAAACATTGCTTCCCAAGAAGCAAATTTTGAAGTACGTATTCTTTTCTAGTGGTTAGAGCTGCATCTGGACGAACATGTTCCGGCCTCGTTGCTTCTGATGTCTCGTGCTTTATACAACCCTGAGAAGCTTGCGGATCCCGTCGATCAAATAAAGGCCACGCTGTCAACTTTACCTGAAGACGCGGTGAGAATATAGTTCTCGTTGACTGGGGGGTAGGAAGGCAGGAAACAAAAGATATTTGCCACCAAAAGACATTCATGCCCCCCCGAAGCTAGCTAAGCTCCTATTTAGAAGATTATAAAGTGCAGGTTCTTCTGTAGATTTTCTTGTCCTTTGACTTGCAAAAGTCTTGCATGAATTGATTTTTGAATCGTCTGTCCAGCGTTTATTATCACATTAGTGTAATATGAGATCAGTTATCTCACTGGACCAAACGAAATCCCTTTTTTCAACGGAAACTCCGACCCATGCATGTAAAGCTGGATTTCAGACTTAAGATCAATAAGCAATGCTCTGAGCTGTCATATTTGGACGATGATTTTAGGTCGAAGAGGCTGAAGTCTTGGCAGCTGAGTTAGCCGGGGAGGAGGCTGATCCACAAACGAAGATTGATCTGTTGAAGAAAGAGGAGTTGTTATGCGAGGAAGAGAGGGTCGAGGAAGAGATTTTGAAAGAGGAAGATATGAAAAAAAAGGAAGTGTTGGACTCAACTGAGGTACAAACAGCGTATTAGTTATTACTGCCCCCTCGTCTCCTCCCCCCCCGCTTCTGGGTATACGACGGACGACCCTCGTCTCCCTCCCCCGCCCCTTGGTATACGACGACCCTCGTCTCACCCCCGCCCCTGGGTATACGACGGACGACCCTCGTCTCCCGCCCCCGCCCCTGGGTATACGACGGACGACCCTCGTCTCCCGCCCCCACCCCTGGGTAACGACGGACGACCCTCGTCCCCGCCCCCCCCCTGGGTATACGACGGACGACCCTCGTCTCCCGCCCCCCCCCTGGGTATACGACGACGACCCTCGTCTCCCGCCCCGCCCTTGGGTATACGACGGACGACCCTCGTCTCCCGCCCCCGCCCCTGGGTATACGACGAGCCGTGTAACGATTAGAATAGTTTGATGCGGAATCTTTACAAAGATTGTTAGACAATCACACAGTCCTCATCAATACAAATCACATCGCATGGGTTTACCTTACATTAATCGCGATACATAAATTCGTGTAGCTATATCAAGTTTAATTAATACGTTTAATATGTAATGATGTATGTGCACAGTTAACATATCATGTCATTTTGCATTTAATAGCTAATGGAGGCCAGAGAGATTTTGTTTAACCAGATGGAACTGCTTAAGGTACCGTAAGACCATTCCTTTGGAAGCGACGTTTAACTTAAACCGTGGTAGAGCTCAAAAAGATTTCTTGAACGACTAAATTAAAAGCTAGGACCTTGATCGATAATATTACAGCTGCACATTCAATTTAACTTTAAAAAAGATTCGTCCGCCATTATATCCTTATAATATTTTCTAATGCAGTCCAAGTGCTAAATTACACAAGATGGAGCATTTTGATTGGTCGCTTGCTCTCGGCAACCTGCAGCGAGGAGAGCTCAGTTTTGGCGGGAAAATTTGAGTTTCAAGTTTATAGCAAGTTCTTTAATATTTTGCTTCAAAATTTTGCAAGAGCGGAATTGTAAAGTTTGAAACTTGTGTGAATGAACCAATTATTATCGGATTTAAACAAAACAAGCGTTAAAAAACTCTGTACATTTGTATTGTTTTGGAAGCAATATGAACTTTCATTTGGCCAGCGAATTGACCGAATTTTTTCGGTATGCACAGAAAGATACTGCATTTCTCATTGTTTTAGAAACAAGACTTTGCAGTATCTCTCAAATGAACCTCGTGTATTTCTTTTAGGAACCCAGTCCATTCTTACATCGAGATGATGATCAAATATCCAAAGAGGAATGGAAAACGCTGGACCAATCTTGGAAGAGCAGCCATGATGCGGCTAAAGAGGACCTCCATAGGATACGCGAGGATCGCGTAGAGTACCAGGAGGTAATATGAAACGCTTAGGTGTCTTGTTGTACATTATTGAACTGATTATGTTGGACGTACATTCATGATTAAAAATAACAAATATGCGTGCAAAAACAAGGAGGAATTTCGTTTGATTTAAACTAATCGGCAAATTTGTTTACATTTTTTCGTTTAAGCCAATCAGAATGCCTAAATTATCAATACTTCATGTAGAATAATGTACCTTACCTGAAATAGTCAATGTGTATGCATTCTGATTGGTTACTGAAAATGTAAACAGATTTTGCTGATTTGTCTAAAAAAGAAATTCCATCTTGTTCGTGAAAAATCTAACTGCTTTGATTTTTTACAAAAAATAGATTCAAACGTTTAAATTGAACCTTGCAATGCAAACAAACATGGTTAAGTCGTCGTTAAAACTGCAAAGTGTGAATTTTATTTCTCTATAGGAACTGCGGGAATTGAAATCTCTCGATGTCATGAACACGATGAAAGAAAGTGCTGCGTCAGTACGTATCGGAAAACGAGTTGATAAACTGATCGAAGAATTAGAGCAAGAACTGGACGATATAGAAGAAGATACAACATTGGTTCTGGATCAAGACAAGTATGTGAGACAGTACAGTAAGACTGCGACAAGCTTTCTCAACACCTTTTGTCAATAAGGAAATATTGTCACCTTGGTTGATATTAGGAACCTTTAGCTTACCACTTAGCCAACCGCTAACGGCAAACGCTCTTGTAGCCGGGGTTTGTTGTTCACCGTTTGTCAAAGTTACGGGATGTTCTTTACTCATGCTGGGTTATATGATTATCCGAATGATTGCATTTTATTTGGTTATCTTTTATAGAGATGGAGTCATTACAACAGCAGAGTTTCTCAATTACATGAAAGGAAGAGAAGGATGTCCTAAAGCCACTAAAATTGAGAAAATATCGAAGATTTTAGACGAAGATCACGACGGAAAGATAAGTGTTGCTGACCTCAATAAGGTACAGTTGAACTTTGTATAAGACGCTAGCTGTGTTTATTCACCTATGCCCGAAAATTGGAAACAGTATACTGCATCTATGATGGTGCTTGGATGGTATGGCCGTATGGTATTGTGCATAGTGTGATTTATAGCTATATCCTATATGGTGTGGTGTGGTGTGGTATGGTATATGGTGTTTAGTGTGATGTCTGGTTTGGTGTATAGTATGCTGTATGGAATGTTTGTATTTCTGTATGGTAGTTTGTAGTGTATAGAATATTATTAGCTGTGGCGTATCGCTAACCATTGTTTCCAAACAAACTGTATCAGGTTTTAGCTCTGATTGCTGAGCAAGACGTTGAACTAAAAGAACCGCAGATATCTGACATCATTCGCGTGGTTACCATGGAAAAGCAAGCTGAAACACAAGCCCCATGAAGGAATCTAACACCCAGCTAAGTGGAAACATCGTATAGCTCGTTTCTTCAAAACATACATTTTTAACGACCCAAATATGCGATAGATCATTCCACTATTGAACTAAATTTTGAATCAGGAAAGTTCATATTTACAGTTAGAAAGAGCATCTTCATTTAATAAAATTGGGAGCTTTGGTTACCGAATATCTTACAGTTGGTTTCAGCAAACTTTTCACACAAATATTTGGAACTTTGTTTGGAAATTCGCAAGTTCGTTACGAAGTTCAAATATTCCTAATTAAATTGCAATCCGTTTTGTAAACAAAGCTTTTTACTGGTTCAGAATTTGAAATGATCCAATCAAATGCGTTGTTTGCAAACCGTTTTAATGTTGATTTAATTATGAATTTTTGAACTTTCGAACTTGCGAATGAATTTCTAAGCGATATTCCGAATATTGGTGTGAAAAACCGACTGTCGGGCTGGATTTCAGCATGCAGCGAAGTGGTTCGCTAGCGAAATATTTGCATATTTTCTTTTCAATTTTAACAGCATAAATAATTGCTGTTCTCAATTAGAAAGGAAATGTGCAAATATTTCGCTAGCGTCTGGTGAACCATTTCTCTGCAAATCGAGTCTGCAAGGAAATCCAGAATAACATGCACAATTTTTTTCCACAAAAGCGTTATAACACTTCCCAATTTTACTAAATCTTGGTTGTTATTTCTCTGCTGTGCGGCTCTGTTCTGACGAATTTTCCTTGACCTTGTTTTTCAAAAGTGAGTTGGTGGAATGGTCTGTTAAAGGAAATAAAGGAAATAATAACTCAAAAGCAGACGTATTTGTGTAATGAATATATTATCATTTGTGGTAATATATTTGAAATACTATATGCAATGGAAATCTCTGATTGACTTTAACTTAATGTCTTTTACAAATAATTATTATATGGGAATCAATTATATTACACATAAATCGAAAGAACCTTGTGGAGAAATGCCAATTGTCTCGGGTTCTCTCGATCAATCGTTTTCAATCAATCAATCTTTTAGGCGATTTTAACGCATTAACAAAATGGCGGCATGTAAACAATTATTTAATTGGTCTCGGATCTGAGAAATGTCAACTTTTTTCTTTCCGCGCGTATTATGCAAAAACGGTAAGTAGTGAATATAATTTGAAATATATTAGCGGCGATTGCTTGTGGAAATATTTCATTCATAAATCTTGTTTGGAGTTAGGTACTGTAGCAACCTCGTATACGAGGGTATTTTGCCTCCACCCCAATGAGACTCTTTGATATATAATGAACATAACACAAACGGAACACCGTTTTTGGCACCGCGTTAGATATAGTTACATTCCTTCATTTCTTTATTTTCCTTCATTAGCAATCCATTGTTTTTTTTAAACGCGCCGTTTGCACAATAGGTCGCGTAAATTTCTTGCTTATATACGTTTATGATACCCACATTATACGATTATATAAACTAATATTAATAGTATTAACCATGTGATATTCTGGCAAAACAAATGAGATTATCAGAAGGTATTTAGTGTTATAAAATCCAAGTATCGGCCCTTGCTTTGCTTTGATGCTTGATTTATTCCATGTCTTTCAAAGAACGAGGGCGACCTAGAGAAATCTTGTTGATGTAAAAAATTGCAATTGAACAAAATCTCTCATAAAGTCAGGGCTTCTCTATCAAGTCGATTTCAAAATATGAATTATATGATCGGCCCACAAGCTTCTAGTACATGTGAAAAACTGATGTGAACGCATCGATCTAACCATGAAAGTGTTAGTCTTTTAGATGAAAGTATGAAAGTCTTTTAGATGTTATGTTTTTTTCACATTGAGTTTGATTTACCCGTCTTGGTGCACTCCGTGTCCGGTATTGTTCCTGGAATAGTTTCTTGAAGTACCATAGTACCCTTGAAGCTTTTCTCCGCGACAACAGGACTCCTGCTGATCTCTCCGCTCGATTGATTTCGAGTCATAAAAATGTCATCGGGCCGTTCACTCTTGACGCAAAATATGACGAATAGACGTTGTCCAAATAGCCCCGAGAGTGATACCAAACCTATGACCAACATCCCGATTGCGCTGAGCGCGGACTCCTGAATGGAGTCGCTCAAATTTAAATAGAATGCGAAGAATATTGCAAAGGTAACAAGCGTGGTGTAGAGGGTGAAGCCGATATACTTTGACTCGTTGAAATTTCTTGGAAATTTTCTGGTTTTGAAGGCGTACACTGTGCTGAGAATCATGAGGACTATGACATACGAGAGGCCACCAACATAAATTGTAGATTCCATGCGGCATTCGAGGATGATTTTTTCTTTGTCAGCGAAATAATATTCTGACGCTTGCGGGAGATGCGTGAGCATGCCCAGTAGGGTGATGAGAAGCTCGATCGAGATCAAGCCAATCGTAATGAAGACCTGGGACTTGGGGCGTACCAGGGGGGGACGCCGTTTCGTGATCTTCGCGCTGGTGAACACGCGGTATACCCGGTTGATCTTCATGAACAGCGCGGAGTAGATTATGGAGAGCGCAAAGCCCGGGGCAATGCTGCGCACGATGCATATCAAGTCTGTTGGCTTCACGATGAAGATAAAGGGAGTGGCAAAACAGAATAAGATTCCGGTCAGAATGATGCAACTGAGCTCGCGACCAGAAGCTTTTACTGTGCGGTTCTTGTGATGAGTTAAAAAAATCAAAAGAACTGCCACGGTTAGGATAATAGCAATCGCCGACACGACACCGATTAAAATAGGCACCGTATTCGTCCACTTTAAGTACAGAACTTCTCGCTTTATCCATGCATCTCTCCTCGCGTTCGGTATGTACCCCGGTAACCCCGATACACACGTGTTGTTCACGATTAATTGTAGCTTACCGCATTTGTGGCAGTTCCAACAGTAATTGAAGGGGTACCCCTCTCTCTCTTTTCTCACATAACCAAATTCACACTCCGCTGAACAGTAGGACTGCGGGACGCTGCCATTGCCGGCTTCGAACCACGTGACGTCATCGGTGTCCATTTCTAGTCTCTCCCTAGTCTTCTGTCCGTCCCACTCACCAATGACATTATATGTATACGAGCCACCGTTTTTCTGAAAATTGAGGATGTGATACATCGCCATTACCTCGCCGTTCTCGTTAAATTCCAGACTTGTGTTGAAAAAGTTCTCGAAAGAAACATTCCTAAGATGCTGTAACAATCTGTCGCGCTTGAAATGTCTCATTTCCGAGCACAGTCCTGACTTGTTCCCACACAATTCTTGTTGTAATCTATGAAGTCCATGCGCAAAGGCATAGACCGCTGACATTATTGGCTGAAGGGTGAATCCTCGTGTAACATTGCTCAGGCTTTCCTTCCCGGTGCACACTGGGTAATTTTGACTCGATGTATTCTTGACTCGACATTTGAACCAATCCTCCCAGAATTTCACGACATGAACATGTTGCTCCCATTTTGGATCTTGCATGTTTAATTCGTCGAGGTGCTTCTTAAAGCTTCCCGAAAGTCCTTCTTCTGCCATTTGAATGGTCATTATACACATGTCTCTGAGTTCCAAGGTCGTCGTGTCGAAGGAATCGCTTAAAATCCACACAAAGGCGGACGCCTTTGGATTTCTTTGAGCGGCCTTTGTAATGCCTTGACTGTGTTGAAGGCTGCAGAATAGCACCACAGTGGAAATTGAGGTCCCATCGGTTCTTTCTACCAGATTCCTGACGATGATTTCGTACTCCTCTTCATTAGCTATTCTCGTGATAGAGTCGATGTGATCTGTATAGATATTATTCTCTTTGGCAAACTTGTGAAACGCTTCGATCCCTTTTTCGCCATAAATACCTATAGTGTAGCATAAATATACGATGTGTATTAAAAAGGTAACCTAATTCAGGCGCGCTACTGTGCGAATTTGGTAAAGAACCATTCACACTTGGAGCTAAATATTGTTAAATATGCTTACCTGCGGAGTTAATAGTCAAGACGTACGTCCAGTTAAATTTCAGACATATATCGACCATCGACGCAGCTTGGAATGAGTCCGGTGGCACGGTCCTCATGAAATAACTATAAATATCTCTGTCGCTTAGTAACACGCTTGTGGACTTGTAGCTTATCTGCGGGATTTCGAACACTTGCAGGATGCTGGCGACTTTTGCTGAAACATCACTGACAGACGCTCCGATTATCCCTGCCAACTGGTTCTCTGGATCCGGCTGTAGGGTCATCTTAATGAATTCTTTCGTGTGACCCGATGCGATCGTTTGGCTTCGGCAAGTGTCGTAGATATCCGCCACGAGAGTAATATTCTGAAGGATGTCATCTCGTGAGTTCACTTGGTCAATGGCATTGAGCATCGCGTGTGCTAACATGAAGCCAGAGAGGCGCAATTTTTCCCCACATTTTAGTTCGGTGGTCAAGCTTTTGGTTCGCATTGGAAGCAATCCACCCAGTATTATCTTTTCTGATGCGCCCTCTGAAATATTGAAAAAATAATTTGTGTGATATGAACACCAGAAGTGCAGTGATTCTAAGAAAAATGATTAAATTAAGATATCGAGGGGCAGGTATCAAGATGAATAAAATCCTCAAAAGAAGATAAATGAAAAAATATTAAAATTCTCAAAAAGAGATAAATTTCTTGGAATCAGCCAACCAGCGCTACAACGCTGGACGACGCTTCCTTCTCTCAATTTAGAGTAAACTATATTCATGTTGCGTTTCATTTCGTTCATAATGTTTGTCCGAAATTTAATAACAGCGTATAAAAGCTTTCGGGGAAAAAAGTTAATAATATAAGTTCAGAATCTTAATCATTGATCTTAATAGTCATGGGCGCCTTGTGTAAATGTACAGTTTTAACGCCGTCTTCATTTTTTTACAGACTTTATAAGATTATTGTTTTAGAAAAAAAATCAAAGTAGAAAATTTACCGCAATACTTTCACGAATTCCACCTTTAACAATATTAACTTCACCGAAAAGCCACAGAAACAGAAAAATACTGCGATAGCCAGCAGGACGTATGTCCTAACCTCAATCCTTGACGTAATTTATATATTTTTTGCCAGTATTTATATGAAGGGTTTTAAATAATAAGACTCAAGCAAAATTACTCTTGTGGAAAGAAGCTATTGTAGAAAAAAAATGCAAATTAAAAAGATTACCGCAATACTTTCACGAATACCATCTTTAACAATATTAACTTCACCGAAAAGCCGCAGGAACGGAAAAAATAAAACGAGGTTAGCAGGATCTCTGTCCCAATCTGCTCAAACCGGCTCCTAATTTATTATTTTACTACCAGTGTTAGGACCTTTCTCATTCGCCCCCCTCTGTCCCCACCCACACGCGATCGATTTGGCCCTATAGTGATGATCGCCAAACCTTTTCTTTTCAGCGCCAACGCGACGCGAATTTTAAGTTTTCAGAGGCACGTACGTAAATTAAATTCTAGTGGCAAATTTTGGAATGTATCAACGTCAGAGCAGTCAAAATGTATTATAGTTAAGTAATCTACAAGATTAATTATGATTTTTGGCACTTCACTCGATGTATGGTAATTCTAGAGGTTGAAAGGGTCTTAATTCGAGTGGAATTATACACACTTCAAATTCAAGCCAGGAATAGTTGATGGAAAACGAGTCAACTATCGGTCCTCCGGCAGGAATCGAACCTACGCTTTTGCGATGCCGGTGCAATGCAATAATTCCACTCGAAATTAAGACTCTTTCAACCTCTAGAATGTAGAATGTAGAAGATTAGTATGATAGGTTTAAATCTATTTGCTTTTGGAAAATAAAAAACGTTGAAAATTCGCGCCGCGTCACCAAATCGCGTCCAGTTTGTGTGGGCCTTAATCCCCGGAGATATTCGTTTGTACGAAGGCTAATCTTTTGAGCCTCTTTAAAAGATCGTAATTCAGATTCTTCCAAGGGAACGTGGAATGACATCAAAATTTAGATTTTAGTTTAGATTTACTTTCTCTCATGCGGTTTTATTGATGGCGACTCGTCTCAATAAATTGAAGTAATCTTACTCCCTGTCGCGCTAAAAAGTTGGGAGGAAAAATACACGATAAATTGTGCAAACAAAGTGCAAATATATTTGCAAGTTATACCTTATACAAATTAAAATAATTTTTATGAGCCGGAACAATGGGGTTTGTTGTCCGGCGTTGCATATTATTCGGCGAATCAATCACACGCGATTATTTTACTGCTTTTGGCAGGAGAAAGATCGTTCCTCATTTTTTTAAACTCATAGATTATAAAATGTGCTAACCAATTAACCCAGCATCTCTCACCGAGGGTCAAGTAAAACACATGCGACCTGCAATTTTAAATGTAATATGTGGCTCGCTTATTGGAATCATAATTATATTTTTCTTCAGTAGATTCCTTCCGGCAAACTGGCGATGGCAATGAAATGTACACATCCAAAATGTATCAAAAATTAAATATTATTCTGCGAAAACGAAGCGGTTTGTTACTTTATAAAATTCTCCCAAAACAGCGGTTGTTGACAAAGGCGGGCTCTCTGTTATCGCCAATTTTTAAATTCAAACGCTTCAACAGCTTGTTTATAATAATGTTTAATGTGTTTTCCACAAATATTCTGGATAAATGAAGTTAAAAATTTTAGCTAAGGTTAGGCCGGTTTTTGACGAGCGATAATTTCGGGCGAAGCGACATTTAAATATAAGCCGGTTTTCCACCAGCGATATTTTTCGCGCGAAGCGACTTTATTCCTTTGTATTTGAGCAATTTGTTCCAGATGGTTGCAGTTGAGAGCTCTGAAACAAAAGTAAAATGTCGCTTCGCGCAAAAATATCGCTAGTGGAAAACCGGCTATAGCCTATTCTCTTTGCACAATGTCAATGAATAAAACAAATTCAGAACGCTTCAGAACTGTCAACTGCGCCATCTGTAACAAATTGCTCAAATACAAAAGAAAGAATTCCTTTCGCGCTAAAAACATCACTTGTGGAAAATCGGCTTTAGTACCGCTTTAAACAGAATGAGATGGCGATTTTTTCGACGTTTCAATTTCCTTTTGCGTGAAAATTACATGGCTTTACCATTGCCGGGTATTGACCTGAGCCTACCCGAAAAGTTATCGCCTGCCAACAAGCAACTTCGTTTGCGTTGCTGAAGATATCAAAATTACTCCATCACACGTTAATCGGCTAAAACTTTTGTAAGCAGACATTTATTTCACTCGACAGCCTAAAATTTTAATGCAGATCTCCTCAGAAAATATCATTATTAATTTCGATATTGAATCGTACCTTTGTTCAAATCCAGCGCATCAGCAAACACTGTTGACATAAAAGTTAGATACAGGCAAATAAAGTTAGACCGATTCCTCTGTTTTGTAGCAAACATCGCCTGGTCGAAATCCAATATTTTATCCAAGCAAACAGGGCGACATGATCGCGTATATGAAATATTCCCCACGGTAATCAATGCATTTTTAAAACAGTTTATACATCTAAGGGCAACGCACGCATCAGCATACAATTTGCATCGCCGACTGATGTTTAATTAAATCATTTCGTCCGTGTTCTAAGATTTGACAATAAATTTAAGCTTATATTGTAAAGGTAAGCAGGTAAATTGTGTTATAAATTATTCAAAGTTTCGACAGCGTTTTTTTAAAACCCGTCACCTTGCAATATTGCATGCATTAATATTTGATCATTCATATCGGCCCTAGTATGGGGCGCCTTTTCGTTAAATGAGCAACAAGAGGTTTATTTTTTTATCATTTTATGTGGCTTAACTTTTATATTGCGATATCAATAAACCTGAAAAGTGCTATCGTCGACCATGAAGGCAAGACAGTTGAAATGAATTGTGACTGGTACCCAATCCTCAGGTTTAAAAATGGCGACCGAGTTATGGGTCACTGATCTATGTATAGTCCAGGGCCAGTTGTTTGAACGGCGTTTAGCTTAAACGGTGCCGACGGATAAGTTCAAAATGGAAAACAAAATTATCTATTTATTGGACAAATGAGCTGAAATGTGAATAGTTTAATTTTCAATGGACTTACATATTTAATGCATAAGATGTAGTTTCAGTCATCCATAAGATCTATCGGAGTATTTTTAAACTTTGGCTTATCCACTTTTTAAGCTAAACGCCTTTCGAACAACCGGCCTCTGTATCTTAAACTAGCTCCAAATTGTCACTACTTGCGTTTATTGTGAATATCTTATTTTTCAAAAGTAAACGCGTCGTTATAAACACTTCCTGAAACATGCATCACCGTTTTTCATTTGTTGATCTTTTTTAAAAAAAATCTATTTCCAAGCCTGCAAGTTAAACGCGCCAGAACTTTCTCTTTTTAAAGACGCGGAGAAAGCACATTTACATAATTAAAATAAAATAAGCAGTCAAGCATTGTGATTGGGCTAAATTACTCGCAGCGAGTTGGTTTTTGCGATAAGTGTGTCAGGGACGCCTCTAAGACAAAATAAATTGGGTTGGACTTTCGATTGCTGTTTGTGATGGCCAGCAACAGTGTTTATTTGTCATCCCAGCCATGTGGTTTGGGTTCATTGTATATGGAAGAAGTGTGAGTCAACGCTGTCATATTAATCTGCTTTGTCTCATTGTTTATTTTCCTTTATTAAAGTTAATTTTTATCCCTGACATGTGGGTTGTAGAGCTTATATATGGAAAATAGTGTCATGCACTCAGACCTGGGTAATTATTTATACGTTGTCTTCGCTTTATTAAAGTATGACATCTCAAAGACATAAAGCCTATTTCACTTATTTACTTTAAACTATGTCAAAAAATCCGAAGAAAATCTAAATTTGACCTTCTTAAAATCCTTAATGTAAAAGAAATTACTGTTAATTTTATTTAGAGTTCACTGAAAATTTCCTAGTTATACAAAATAGCTCAGTGAATAGATCAAGTTAAACACGTTGATTTTAGTTAATAACTCCAGTTAAACAAGTAGAGTTCCGTTTCCTATCCACTCGATGTCTTGCTGTGTTCAACCACAGGTTCAACTTGAGTGTGCGCGTTCTTCCCAGACCGTGCCGTCATCACAGTATCTTCATTAGGCAAATCATGAACCAGATACACGACGTAAACCTTCGGGCCAAAGAGACCAAACAGCGTCACCAAACCAACGATGGTGTAAACACCCGAAACCAGAGTCGGGTGAATGTCGCGGTGACCAGCGTTGAGATAAAAAGGAAAGAAGATCACCCACACTGCGCATGTCACGTACATCGTAACGCCGATGTACTTGGATTCGTTGAAATTCTTTGGAAACTTTCTGGTCTTGAAGGCATAAACCGTACACAGGAGCATTAGGATCATCACGAAAGATAAGTTTCCGGCGAAGCCGAATGAATCAGTAGTGCACTCCAACACAAGCTCGTTGCTATCGCTATAGTAGATCTCTTGAGCCTTCACTGATTTGGCCGTCATCCACAACGCCGT